ACCCTAACCCTAACCCTAACCCTAACCCTAACCCTAACCCTAACCCTAACCCTAACCCTAACCCTAACCCTAACCCTAACCCTAACCCTAACCCTTAGCTAATACTAGTAATAAAACTAGTTATCTAGAATCAGTTTTTGAATTAGTTATTAGAATTAATTTATCTATAGTATTAATATTCCCTAGTTACTAGCTTAATTAATTAGCCTGGCTAAAGTAGACTAATAATAGAGATAGTAAACTAGAAAGATAGAAAGTAATTATTAGGAAACTAGTAGATTTAATATAATAAAAAAAAAGAAGAGAGAGAGAGAGAGAGAAAAAAAGAAAAGAAAATAAGATCTTAACTTAATCTTAACTTAATCTTTAACCAGGCCACAGGCATGCTACTTAAGTTTATTTTAATTTAAAATCTTAATATATAGATTAAGTTATAGACAGGTAGTTATCTGACTTAAATAAACTAGATTAGACTTAACTTAATTACTTAGAGATTTAACCTTCAGGTAATACTATATTTTACTATAGTTAAAGTTAAGAGCTATAGATTAATACCTATTTTACTATAGTTAAGTAAGAGAGAGAGAGAGAGTTAGTCAAGATACTAAGTATAGTTAATTAGGGTTAATTTTATAGTCTATACTTTACTATAGTTAAACTAGGTAGCCTGTTAAGATACTAGTATCTTCTTTTATTAATTATAATTTAATAAATTAGATTTTATCTTTAAGTCTATCTATAAATCTTGATTAGTTTATACAAGCTGGAGAAGGATAGATAGATAGATAGATAGATATATATATTAGTTCTCTCTTAATTTAGATTCAGGTTAATTAATTAATTATTAATAACTAGTCCTCCTGCCAGGTCTGTAGCTAGATAGATTAATTATTATTCTCTTAATTAAGGTTTATCCCTCCCTCTCTTATTAAATTATATATACAGGGTAGTTACTATCTGCTATAAATAGTAGAAACCTGGTTAAGAATTATAGAGAAGTCAAGCTGCAGGAGTAATAATAATTAAATATAGTTTAATTTTCTCTAACTGCCTATAATTCTGCCAGGGCCTTAGTCTTAGACCCAAGTAAGCTAGTATATATAGTATATAGTTAGTCTCTATTACTAGCTGTACTACTGGCCGGATAAGAAGAAGATATTAAATCTATAATAAAGAGATATAGAGGCTACTATAATAGATTTTAAGAATTAAACCAGGTCAGGATAGAAAGAAAATAGTACGGGGAATTAATTCTAGGGGAAAAGATACTAAGAATTATAATAGAGAATCAGCAGGGAGGGAAGAATCTAAAAATACTAAAGTCTTAGTAAAAAGTACACTACTAGGGTTCTGTGCGCGGCTGTAATCTCGGGGGCGGCCAGCGAGCGCGCGGGCGAGCTATACAATAGGGTGGTGGCTCGGGAACTCCATCCGGGAAGTAGATATATATATAGTAGGACCTCTAGCAGCTAGGGAATAGCTGCTGCTATACCATATAAATATATGATTACTTGAGCTTAGCCTGGCCCTTAATCTACTAGGCTATGCTAATCTAGCTAGTACAGGACTACTATAACTACTAGTGGTTCTAGTACTAGTACTTATATATAGTATCTATATTAAATACTAGATACTAGTACTAGTTAGAATCTTATTAATAAAATAAGTCTATCTAATAATATAATAAAATTAGTAGTAGTATATCTAGTATCTATAAAACTAGAATAGTCTTATTATTCTACTTTAGATCTAGAGATTACTAGATAGTCTAGACTAGCTTAACTATATTAATATAATAAAATTAGTACTATTATTTTAGATAATACTTAATCTTAACTAGTTAGACCCTATACTAGTACTAGCAGTAGATAATAATTTATAGATATATGTGTTAGCCACGCCAACCATGATCCCGTGATCTAACCCATAGACTAAAAAAGGTCCTGAGAAACTGCTCACTAAGCAGTTTCTAGTTCATGGTGATATATAAACCTAACCATGTGGCTCAACTTTGCCTGAATCCTAAGGCACACACATGATCCATCACATAGTAAATCACATGCTTGCTCTTCATGTGATCACATATAGAAGTTTCTTAAATAATAATAATTCTATACTAGATAAACTATAATATACTATAAATATAGTAACTAATTAAGTAAGATAGCTAGATTCTAGTCTCTAAAATTAATCTATAATTATAACTAGTAGACCTATTATATTATATAGCTTAGACTATTACTCTAATAAATCTAATCTAGTTAATCTAGTTACTTTCAGCCTATATTATATATATAATAATAGATTCTAGATTTTAAAATTATAGTTATAAAAAGATAAGTATTATTTTTACTTTTTATAAAATTTATAGCTTAGCTAGAGTAGTATAGAAGATATAATTATATAATCTTTTTTAATCTAGTTATACTCTATCTAGAGTTAGCTATATCTAATAAACCAGGTAGACCCTAATCCAGTCAGATATACAGCCGGATATCACCTGTGGGTTAGGCAGCAAGAACCATACCACGTCTCCTGGTTATGTGTGTGGGAATAGCGATTTACTCGATTTCGATTCTTCCACTATAGGGGTACGACTGTTCAGCAATCAACTCCAGCTGATTCTCTGTCGGAACATTTCCAGCCCCCTTAGTCGAAGCTCCCCAACCAAACTCACGTTTGAGTCGAACGGCCTCGCCCGCTCCTCTGAGGGCAGCAACAGTTGGATCAATAACAGGAACGCCCACCGCTCGCATCAATCCCCGCCAGCACCCGGACATAGCCGTGCAGCCCAGGATGAGAGTCTCTGCGCCATCCTGCCTGACTGCTAGCTCTCCCTGCGTGGCTAAGCTCTCGCGCAAACCTTCGACATTCATTGGCGTAAGATCATCGTTGAACGCCACGTCGATAAGCGGATGCGAGACCGCAGTCCTTGTGTCCGAGAGACAGCGCTGAAGCAATGGGTCTTGTGAGCCCTGCATGTCGTACAGCGACAGCACGGCGTACCTGCACCCAAGCCTCGACACCGTCTGAACGGCCATTTGCCTCGCACCGAGAACAACCATATCATCACCCGCGATCTGCCTGAGCTCGTCCACCATCGGGTCGACGAAGCAATTCACGATGAGCGCATCGTAGTTCTCCTTGCGGCACTGCAAACACGCCCGTATCATTTCGCCGTAAACCAGAGGCCGGAGCACCGGGTACGCCAGGGTTTGGGTGCCTCCGATGCGGTCGGCGAGTGAGGCGACTGTGACGTGGGTGTTTGGGTCCTTGTATTTCATCACTGTTTCCGCCACCAAGTCGTTGAACCCCGCGCCGCCACTGGGGTTGAGTATCATTATTCTGATTTTGGCATCCGGGAGGGACCTCATATTTTGGAAAAGTCGGCGGCGCAATGGAAGGTATTCGCCTAGCCTGGGTATCGGATAGCGCTGCGCGATGTAGTGCTTGGCAGGGAACCCGTGAATAGGTCCTCTGTGGGAGAGGCGCGCCGGAGATGATTTCAGGATGGGTGTTGTTCAGAACAGCACGAGCAAGTACGAGCCCTAATATATTCTCGCGCTCGCGATTGTGATCATTATCATACCGGGGACAGGCCGGGAATGTTCAAACCTTGCTAAGGACAACGCACCGTTCTATTAGCACCCCCCTGGACCAGTGACTCACTGGAACAGGGGATATTAACGTGGACCAGCTCATTAATTTACACCAGCATTCTGTGACGAAACCCTGCAGCGGAGCTGTAATAGAGTTAGCTACTCTTAACAACATAGCTATTATAATAGTCAAGCCTTGAATATAGATTTAATCAACTATAATAAATATATAGAATAATTATTATAACTATATTTTTTAAAATGATAGACTAGCTTATTCATAGAAGTATTTAATATAGAAGATATTAAAAGGTTAGTACTAAGTAGCTATTAAGCTATAAACTAATCTTCTCTACTATCTTGAGATTAAGACACGAGGCTCTCTTTGATCTCAAGAATACCCTGATGGCCTGCCTTGGGAACAGCCGACCTTATCTGACAATAGACATCCCTTGTACCGCCTAGACTGCCCACTTGAGATAAGTCAACGCACGGCCTTGGTAAAAATACAGAGAATACGTCAACAGAGGGATGGGCCACCCTTCGCCTGGTCGAGAATGGAGGATGAGCCACTCGGGAGAACTGGCTGCACGGGATAATAATCCACGATGTAACACGGAATGGAGCTCTATGCACTTGTATGACATGACATGGCTAGAACCTAATGCGCCCTTGCTTCCTCTCCATCAATTGGCGCAACCCTTCATTCTATACCGCAGTCACGAGAACCTGTACACAAGCAAGGAAATGTACGTACTATTGTCATAGCGTCTGTGAAATAGTCAGTATACATACATAGGACATCGGATGAGCACATCCGATAATTGACTGTTTTATTCATGGCTTTTTTCGCAAGCTCGGGTTCTCTCCACAAACCAGCCCACGCAATGACTGTCTCATCTCATGATCCCAGTGACGACCAGGCAACTTTGAAGCCTTGGAAGGCCCTGGCCCAATCCCTCAAGTTCTCATCCGAGCAACAGCACAAGTGGTGGCTCCATACGGCCCCGTTCCTCAACAGTCTCCTAGAACAAGCCGAGTACAGCATCCACCATCAGTACAAATTCCTCAGCTTTTACCAGCAGTTCATCATTGCCACGCTAGGTGACTTTGACGGTGCATCTGCTAGTGTATTGCGCAGCCTCTCTCCAGATATCTACCCCTTGGAAATGAGCACCAATTACAGCAAGAATGGCAAATTGGTTCGTATCGGACTGGAACCCCTCGGTGTTCACGCCGGTACATCGCGCGACCCTCTCAACCAAACCGTCCTCCGACTGTTCTACGGTGAACTTGCAATCCACTTCCCACATGTCGATCTATCCTTGTTGAACCACTTTGAATCGTGCTTCAGCCTCTCTCCAGAGGAGTACAGGCTCGCCGCCTCCCTACCGGTCTCCGATAAAAATATACAAGCGCGGTTCGCAGGATTCAATTTCCAGCGAAACGGAGACATCACCCCCAAGGGGTACTTTGCATTTGGTGCCAAAGCGACCGTCCAGGGCGTCTCCAGGACGGCTCTCGCTTTGAACGCCCTTCGGACCATAAACTCGTACAGCCGTGACTCGAAATATCTCGCTGCCGTTTCGAACCTCGGCGATTTCCTCACGTCCACGGGCCTCGAACCGTTGATGGTCGGGACGGATTGCATCGAATTCACCAAGTCCCGGATCAAAGTGTATGTCACGGCGCCTCAGTTCACAGCAGCCGGCCTGCGCGACCTGTGGACGCTCGGCGGGAGGGTAGACACCCCGCTGACGGCCAAGGGCTTGGAAATCGCTGAGCATTTCATGCGCCTGATTAATTATAAGCCAGAGCACAAGCGCGTGGACGTGGATATTTCCTCCCTCCTTGCCAACTATGAGCTCAGGGTTGGCTCGCCCCATCCGAAGCCTCAAATCTATTTCCCGCTGCACAGGGTGGATGATGAGGAGGCGTCGGGTGCCATTGCCCGTTTCTTTGAGTATCTGGGGTGGCACGGTATTGCCACGACCTTCAAAGAGGATCTGATTTCGAATATGTAACGGTTCCCCAAACTCTCTACTACTAATAACGTGTCACCCTTACTAACTATGAATAGGCCCTCCACATCGTGGAAGGACAACAAGAAAATTCAGAAATGGGCTGCATACGCCTATTCGGAAGCGGGTGTATATCTGACGGTCTACTACAATGCTGCTAGCGCCAGGGCTGGGAGTTTGTAGATCATTTGGTACGACTGCCATAATAGACAGCCAATATAGGTATACGGAGACTGCTGTTGAGATTGAGTTGTTTTTGTTATTTTTTATCTTTACCGACGCCCTGTATGTTTGCCGTCCAATTTTATATCTAGTATGCTCTGTTTCACCTCGTATCCTTATTTCTTGTTCCTAGTCCCTGAACCATCCACCTACATATATTATCCTCAGAGATTACAGTGATGATGTGTCCGGCGCAGCGGAGAGCGATGGCAGACGACAGACCATCGAGTATTAATAGCTATTCTTAGCCCAGCGGGGTTTGGTGTACAATTGGGGTAGATTAAGAAACAGAGAGAAGACTATACCAATCCCGCCTCCGATAATGCCAACGTTCAGGCGGCGCCAGGGGTTCGGGGCAACTGTCATTGTCGCCAGGTAGATGCGGAATCAGTTCCTACCCAAATGTCAATAACTGCCAGGAAATGAAAAAGAGAATATAATTGGATTTGGACCGAGTAAGCTGCACCAGTGTTTGGAATGATGGGATATTCGCAAAGCTTGGCTTTTAAGGCTCGATCGGCCTGGCCGCCGAGTTCTTGCAATAGGATTGTGTGTATGGAGACCTTGGTCGGTAACCCACACGGGCATTGGAGATGTTAATTGGCAGCCATGCCGTGCAACAAAGATAAGCGTTGTCGTGTTCTGGCCATCGACACCTGCACGCGCCGGCATATTGTCGGGTTCCCTGCCACGGAAATCCCCTCATGACTCAAAAGGGCCAGCATTCTTGACCCTGGCTCCTGTCCTGTCCAGTGAACGGCAGATCAGGGTGATGAGGGGTATACTGAGCAATCGACACCGTCCTTCATAGGGTGTTGTCTCCACGTGTGGATGGACTCAAGAAATCCCATCCGTCAGCTTGTGGATACCCCGTAAGGGATACGCGGGATTGCCGTAACGTGGTACAGCAGGGATAAAATCAGTCAAGGGTAACAACGAGCTGCATACTAGCAGGCTCCCTTCTCCCCCTTGCAGCGAAGTAAGGAAAGACTCGTAATGTAAGCTAAACCAGCACATGCGTCTATCCGAATATTTGTCTGGCGTTGTTGTGTTTAGTTTTGTGTAACTAACCCCCTCGCGCAGGTTAATTGTTGACGCAGGGAGCATTCCTTGATGATGGGTGAAGTTGTCTGTTGGAGTGTCTTCTCCGTGAAGCAGTTCACATCCTTGTGAGCTCTGCTCTAGTTCTTGCGTGCTTGTCCTGATTAGCTGAGTCATGCCGGATCCTTTTTGCACTGGTCTCGCGATCCTCTGGGGCAAGTCTTGGGGGTTCGGACCCTCGCTAGTCTACTCCATGCTGGCATAAAAAGTTTCGTGCTGCCTAAATGGCCCCGTACCTTTTCCCTTTATTCTCAAAGCATAGGTAACAGTAGCTGTGCTACGTTTAGAATAGCTCTGACTTCAGCTAGTGTATGCTTAGCTATGGAGCCGCTTATATATACTTCACAAGACTGTTCTGATATACATGTCCTATGACACATATGCCCTTGTTTGTAATGCACTATCAACAGGTATTAGGGAACTCACAGTAATTAAGCTTCATGAATAATGCTGGGTTAATATTGTTAAATAAGAAATGTAGAACTGAAGCTTGCGAAACTCAAACATATGTATTGCAACCAGAATCCTGTTACTGGGCCAGAGAGCTGTTAACATATTTTAAATAACGAGCGATACATCAAGGCTTCCTAATAGTATGATAAACCATGTTAAGCTTTGATTCAAGGTCCTATTTGGGAGCACAAAACTGCAGATTGAAGTATCCTAGCACTATGAATAGTGAAATACCTTAACCCGACTCAGCTCAGGATCGGTTACTATTTGAGGAGTCCAAAAAAGGCCACGGTCCGTTCTGCATCACACCTTTGCATGGACTCAAGAATAGAGACCTAAATTTGACAGGGCCAGAACTTCAACACTAGACCGGCGCGGTCGAACAGGTCCGCAAACTGCGCAGGTGTCTGGTTAACCCTATTGATAATTACCATGATATCTAGATCGCGCTGATGGCTATATCGCTTCGCGATGTTACATTGGCTAGGAGCAGTGTCAGTGCGGTCCCCGTCAAGGCATGCATGGTGGTTTTTATAACCTATTCATAGATAAGGAGACGGGGGTATGGGCCCATTGCCTGCTGGATACTAGTAAAGATGTTCAAGCAGTATTCGTCAGCCCAGTCGTGCCTGTGACAGGAGGGAGCAGCGTTTAGTTGTTCAGTATTCAATTAGATAGACAAAGTGGTTATCGACCACCTTCAAGATATATCGCAGCCAGTAGACGGTTGCTCCCTTTACGGGGCTTGGCGTGAAGAAATCATATGCGAAGTACTTGGCGCGTTCTTGCTCAAGTGCTGCTTTTCCTTCTGCCGGCCATAATTTGGTTTCGGCGAGCTCGATGTCGGCGAGCTCGATGTTAGGCTCGCAGTCCTGAACTACGAGGTTCAGTAGCGGTATTTCTTGCTCAGCTCCAACATGAATCCCCATGTAATATAGCAAGACGACAGAATGAAGCAAACGTCAGCGATTCCATTTCATCCACTCACCCAGGGCTTGATCGCAATATCTGATATTAACCATCCTAAGCCCGGCAATTGGGATTGTTTCTTGATTTCTTACAGAACGACCTTGTCATCTATCCTATCGTGGGCCCAGTCCACATCGGATGATTCCCATACATGGAAATGTAATGTTCGTGGTATACCTTATCACAGTAATATTGAGAATCTGGCTTCACATCCCGTATCTCTATCTTAACGCTACATCCCATCCCACAGCAGACGCTCCCCGCCGCTGAACACTATCGTCTGCGGGTAATATTGGTAATAACTTCCTCCCTCCAAGCCCAACAAACAGCAAACGCCACTCCCGGCCCGCCCGCAATGGCAGTCCCGGCAAAGACCGTGGCAACCTTGAGCAACGAAATCTGGATCCCATAGACCTGAAGGTCAAGAAAAGATAGGATGATCCAAGTCATACCACTTAGCATGGTGAATAGCGCGTCATATTGGAAGGGCGGGAACTCGCGAAACGAAGTCGCGGACGTATCCAGCCGCACATGATAAAATAAAAGACCAGAGACAGCAGCCAGAAGGATGATGGTCCAACGGACATGCACCATATCCGGCCGCTTCTCTTTGGTCGGCGTTGTCGACGAAATGAAAGCGGCAAGCAGTAACTGGAGGCTGGGGACCAGCAAGCCATTGAGCGGCCACATAAAGGCACATATGCGATTCCCCACAGGTGATAGGGTGGTACAACCTGCCCATAAAGGCAGGTAGTAACCCAGGATCAATGCTGGCAGCAACGTTCTCGCGGCGGGAAATCTGATGGAAGAATAGTTTGACACTAGTATGTACTCTAACGGCGATTGAAGGTAGTCCAGAAGGAAATAAAGGGTGGCGGCTCCTCCGATGCCTTGTGACTGGGACACAAATGCCATCAAAATAGGACTGGAGACCTATATTAGTTCACATCCGATCCCCTAGTATATTGGTAGACGGCACTCACAGGATGACACCAGCTAAGCTATGGGAATAGCGATAGCTCTCCAAGAGCCAAATCCCGTACAAAAGGCCAAGGTCTGCAAGGAAGGAAAGCTGTTGTAGCTGAGCAACTGGATCAGACGACGCTTCAAGCACGTAATATGCATTCTGTGGCTTCGCAGGTTGTAGGTACCAAGCTCCCACGTAGCACAGAATTAACGGTGTGGTGTAGAGAACTCGTTTTGGGAAGGACATTTGCTGTAGATTTCGATATCGGATGTCTGCAGGCATCTGACACCCCCTGGAGATTTTTCCGGTCGGGAGATACTCGAGGATTTCCGAGCCCACCTGGGTTAGACAGGTCATGTCAAGGAAAATATCGCTGATATACGGCATCGCATAGCATAACATCAGCCGATGTAGCACACTTTCCCAGGCCTCAACCCGTGTCATCTGGTTGGCAGCGCGGCATATTTTACGCGCTCGGGGCTGCCGTGCCGTCGACCACGCAGACAAGGCACCGTGGAGATCACTCATACTGTATGACGGGGCCGGGAGGTCGACGAATGTCTTCAAGCGATTGGCTAAGCTGGCTGCACTTTCTATTGCGCAGTTGCCTCCCTGGCCCATATTCGGGGTCATCTCGGGGTCAAGTTAGCAGTCATCGCTCTCGAGACCTAAGCTCAATCACGCACCTTGTGGACCGAGTCGCCAATGCAGACGAGTCGATCTGCAACCCATTGCTCGTAGAAAGCTTCCTCAAGGGGCACGTAGGTTTTGCGAATCGCTTTCTTATACAGATCCCCAAACGAAACATCCGGGGAAATACTGACTGGAAAGTATTGAGCCGCATGAGTTTCGCGATCTTCTGCCGTGAACCGTGGAAGGTCCTCCATGGTATAAGTCCGCTCCATCCTGGCGAACAGAAACCAAAAGGTCCGGTGGTTTTTGCCCACCATAATCACGGTGGTGAACCCCTTTCCAAACGTGCGGTACCCGTGCCCCGCTACGAGCTGGTTCATATCTGGTGAAATGCCGAATATGCAAGAATACCGAGCAAGCATTTCTGCCCAGTTAGGACATAAGCATACAACTGCAAAAGCGGACCTCGCTTACCCTTTCTTTCTCGAGTGACACGGTTGCGGGGATGATGCTCTTTGTCAAGGCGGTTCCAGATCTCGGTGCGGATTGTACTGTGAATCCCATCGGCTCCAACAGCCATGCTTCCAGTCCATAGACTGCCATCTTTGCAATGGACAACCACCCCCCCGGGCACATCTTTAACATGCGTCACTTTCTTGTTCAAGAATACCTTGCATTGATCTGGTCCGAGATGATCATATAGGATTTCCAGGACCTTGTGCCGGTCGAGGAACGAAAGCGGGTAGCCATGTCTTCACGGACCATTAACTATGGTGGCCTATGCCGATAGTAAACGCAACCGACTAACCTTTCATGTAGAACAGTTGCAGCTTTATCCTCGAATATCTTGTTCCCTGTCTCTGTGTAATATTGAAAGCGGCTCAATGGCTCAATCTCATGCAGCACATCGTCGAACATCCCTAGCTGATCTAGGATGCCACAGCCTGATGGAGCCAAGCCAATGGAAGCTCCTAATTGAGGTGCTATATCATTGTAGGCCTCTAGCACGAGGTAGTCGATGTTGTATCGTCGCAAAGAATGTGCCAGTGTAAGGCCGGCAATGGAACCGCCGACAATAATCACCCGGAAGTCCCTTCGCGATGCGCAATTCTCCGCACCGAGATTATCAGAGCAGGTCATCGTCATGTTGGAGGAAGCGAGCTCTCTGTTGATTGACAAACAAATGATACTGATCTGCAGTAAGACTCAATGCATCCGTATGACCCAGGGATACTTCTCATGCGTTATATATATGAAAGACAAAAGAGGCTACGGGCCAACTATTTCCCATCTCCGTATCGTCTACACCTCAAGTATGCGAGATATTAATACATTGCAAGTGGAAATCCTGGGTATCACGCAAGGGGGGCATGAGGAGGCATACAGTGCAGGTGTCTTGGAATACCAATGAAAGTAGCACTAGGGCAATGGGTTGATGACCAGGTGTGACAACAATGGTCTAGGTTACTTGCTCGCTCCACCTACAGCTCAAAGTCAGCCAGCTATTGTGGTGTTGGACAGTATGGCTTGAACTTTCTAGACAGGATTTGACATTAGCTGCTTTGTCCTAGAGTTGATTCCGCGCAGTTAGATAACCATGTGATATGCTTAACAACAGACTGTCAAGATAGAGGCTATGCTTCATTGACATGTGGCTCGCCGCCCTGTCACTCCTCCTGCGCCCCTGCTATTTACCAAGAGCCCTTAGCAATCCGCTTGCTGTTGTACGTGGTGGGAACCACACCGCTGATAAAAGGGATAAGCCCCCTTTCTCGGTAGCTATGTAACCCTCAGGAGTACTTGTCCAATTACCTGCTTGTTATTAGCCGAGCCCATTCTCGACTGCCTTGGTATCGACTACATCCTGCCATATGGACTTCAGTCGACAATTTATCAGTTGCCAATCTTTTGATTTGGCCACTGGCGTGCCATTCCAAGGCTCAAACAGAGAGCGCCTCCACATGACAAAGGTATTCACCATTCCTCCTGTTGCTTGGAGACCAAGACCCCAACCATCGAATCCATTATTGAGTGATCTGATCCTTTTAAAACATGGACAGACCCTCCCATCATCCAATCCTCCAGACCACTAATATTCGCCACACCGGACCCTGATAATGCGCTGCTCACTCTTGGCCACCCTTGGGCTTTGCGCCTCGTCGGCCCTGGCAGCAGGCCCGGATGACCTCTACGATATAGCCGTTGTACGTTAAGCTGCTTATATACTTTGTATTATGCTTCTCACAACACAGGTGGAAATGACTGCGTTGGGTCAACAGGTAACAGACATCAAGAATCCAAGAGAGAACGAATGTGTTGCATATGACTCGCTGTATGCCCTTGCCCTACATCATCTGATTGATCATATCCTCTGGTCGTATACACCAGCACTAACAGTGAACAGGACAGGGAGTTATTCGGTCGGGAAGGTGGTGATCACTCCACTTTCTCCTCCTCTGCCCTCGCCCCATGTGAGGTGCACTTTCGACTTGTATGTCCGACAGTCAGACCGTATGTTGGCGACTTGCGAGCTCACCGAAGAACTTGAAGTGCGCCGCACTGCCAAGTGGAAGGCCCAGGAGCCCAAGGAAGCGCCCAGGAGTGGACAATGGACGAAGGAACATGGACATTCTCCCGCGATTTTGTCATCAAAAGCTACAAGTGCTTCAGGCCGAATTAGTGAGCGCACACTACTAGTAGTTGAATTAAGACCGTTGCCCAGCTTCACCTGCACCAATAACAATATACCAACAGACTCTGATGAACTATCACGCTTAGACTGTAGGATCCTCATTACTTTGGTCTAGCTATCGTTTGGTTAACCTGTCCCGGAGAGTAGTGACTGGATGGGGTGGACGGCTCGGTTGGGAATTACGTCAGGCGTAATCTGCAGCTGTAGTAGGCTAGGGCTAAGCTTGTTGATCATGTAAATTCTCGCAGGAGGATTCTGAAGTCGCTTGACGTTCAGGGCTTTCCACTGTATTGTGGCCGGCTGAACCTGCACGGGCAGAGATCTCAAGCTGGTATTCCGACCAGGTGTCTTAACGGCTGCTGGTATGTTTGAAATATGCCGCATGAGTTCGACATTCCGATATGCGTGGCGGAAGGGAAAGGCCAGTTGGGGCTGCTGCATAGATTCTTCGGCTTACCTGGCTGACGCCTTACTCCAACCCCCTTGGCACGTTATAGCTCGGACAGGGTTACTTAGGGTTACACGAGGCCAGGCCTGTTACACCAAGGGCAACTCCGACGCGTCCAGCCTAAGCCACGGGAACGCCTTTGCTGGCCGACTCCTGATTCAGTAAGCTGCGGTGTGACACTAAGTCGTCGAGAAGCCGACACCGAGCTGCCTTGCAAGATCCATTATGTAAAATACCACTACTGCATTTCGGACTATAACGCCAGGGAGAAGAGGACGGGGCAGAACAGAGCATATTCCTCTCCTATCACCTTACTGCCCTTGTTTTCCCTCTCTCATCTGACGCAATACAGCGACCATTGGACCTTTCTACCAAAGTGGAAGGAATAAGGAGAACATAACAGTGCTAGAAAGGAATAGCCATCCCTGTCCCAACAAACTTCAGCAGATATAAATCAATACAGTGAATGTTGACGTTAAGTGCTACGCGCTGTAAATTACTACTTGACATCACGCTGCACCTGTTGACTTAGAATTCGATGCCGGGTACGAATATGACAGCAAGAAACTTGACTGGGAATACAAATCCGACTCGCGCAAGCGCAACCAAAGATGAAGTCCAAGATCACACCAGCGGTTGCCTGTTCCCCGAGCTCACGGGCAGAACGTCTCCCGCTACGACTACGACACCGAGGAGACAAACCACACAGCTAGAGAGCCAAGTGGCAGTCGATCTCCAGGACTGTGCAGAGCTATACCAGGCTCCCAAAGATCTGGTCCTGGCAGGCATTTGGGCGGTTGTGCCACAGAGATTCACACGCGGTGACCAAGCACGGTTCGCCCTCCTGGACACCCACGACCGGAGATTGTACATTGCAAGTTTGACGTTCGAAACGTCATGTATTGGATGGGGATGAGCAGGGACTGTGTGTATCAAACAGCGTCGGTCTGGATGACTTCAAGATTACCCTCATCTCCACCCACAACGCGGTATTTATCAAATACAGCACCGACTTTCTATCTAATACCTTTGCGCGCGCAGTCGCTGGTGCAATCACACAGGCCTTGGCCTATGTGCGTGCGAATCCTCCAACTCTGATCAGCACAATCAGCCTTTTGTGTCCCAAACAGCAGGACCTTGTGGAGTCATGGAACCAACAAAAGAGCACAGAAAGTGTGCCTTTCCTGTTCCAACATATTGCCCGGCAGGTAAAGCACCGGCCTACCGCCATCGCACTGGAATCGCATGAAGGAACATGGACATATCGCGAACTCGACCGAATCTCAACTGTGCTAGCTGCTAAACTCCAGGCCCGGGGTGTCACCTGCGGATCTCTTGTGCCCGTGTGCTTTGAGAAGACGGGATGCGCGACGCTGGCCATGTTGGCAGTGAACAGGGCCGGGAGCGCATTTGTCCCCTCTGACCCCTCCCACCCAGGGAAGCGGCGAGACGAGATGGTGAAACGAGTCAAACCGACTTTGATCCTCACGAGCGAGAAGCAAAAGAGCCTTTTTCGTTTTTCCGATGTGGATGTTTTGGTTGTATCGAGTCAGACGGTCGACACCAACACTGACTGCAGACACTTGAAGTATACACCCCCCAGGGACTCCTCGTCGCCAGCCTACATCCTCTTCACCTCGGGCAGCACCGGCATCCCCAAGGCATGCGAGATCTCACACGCCGCATTTTCAAGCATCGACAACCATGTGCCTGCTCTTCAGCTAGGGCCTGATATCCGCGCCTTGCAATTCGCCTCGTTTACCTTTGGGATGGCCATTATCGGACAGTTCTGTACCTTGGCTGCTGGCGGAACGATCTGCATGCTCTCGGACTACCAGCGCCTGGACTCCCTGGCCGCGGGTATGTCCGCCTTGCAGGTCAACTGGACGATCCTTACGCCGACGGTACTTGGGTCGCTGTCGCCGCGGGATCTACCTTGTCTGCGTCACTTGATTATTGCAGGTGAAGCGCTCAATGGAGAGCAGCTGGCGAGGTGGGCGGCGAGTGGTGAAGTCAAAGTGTACCAGGCGTTTGGGTTGACCGAATGGACGGGTATCTTTGCTGTTTCGGGGGATCTGGCATGCTCAGCCTCCAAGAATAATCACTTGAAGAGGAGAGGCAACCCAACGCCGACGATTTGCAGACCTGTAGATGGGCGTGCCTGGCTCCTGGATCCAGACAATGTGGACGTTCTGGCGCCGGTGGGCGCGCCGGGAGAGCTCGTCATCTCGGGCCCGGGGCTGGCGTCTGGGTACTTCGATGACCGGGAGGTGACGGAGAGGGCCTTCTCAAGTGCTACGGCCGTACCCTGGCTGCGAGGCTGGCCGGCCCTTCCGGCAGGCACACGGGTGTACGCAACCGGGGACATCATGCGGTACGACTCGAATGGCGCGCTCGAGGTCTGCGGGCGGAAGGACCACCAGGTGAAGATCCGCGGGATGAGAGTTGAGCTCGGGGAGGTCGAGTCGGCCCTGCAGGCTTCACTCCCCGAGGCAAAGGGGGCTGTGGCCATGGCTCTTACCCCGTCCGGTGGCGATGGACAGCTCCTTACGGCGTTTGTCGTTCCTCTTCTCCCCCTACCGGTTACAGAATCGATTGACATCAAGACGCAGGTCCGCTTCCTGGAAATGGATACCAACTGCCAAGCCGCTCTTGCTACTTGTAGGGGGCTCCTCAAGGACAGGCTTCCTGATTACATGGTTCCGCGGTATTTGCTGCCTGTTGCCGCGCTTCCCACTACGGTTTCGGGCAAGATTGATCGCCAGAGGCTCGCCCAGGTGGCGAAGCAGTTGACTGTGGACGAGCTGCAGTTGCTGGCTGGTTTCAAGCGGCTGAAACATCGGGATCCTACAACGGACACCGGGCGGTTGGTCTGTGATATGGTCAGCAAGGTGCTAGCGGGGGTCTCGGCCCAGAGCATGGCTAATAACTTCTTTGAGCTTGGCGGCGACTCGGTCAGCGCAATGAAGTTAACTGGCCTTGCTCGGCGGCATGGGTTCAAGCTCACCGTGGGCGATGTCTTTAGGCGGCCTATGCTGGCCGACTTGGCTGCTGGGCTAGTCAAGACAGTCCAAGTAACATCGCAGATTCAGCAGCCGTTTGCCCTAATTGACGGTCTTGGTGCAGCTGATATCAAAGCCCAAGTTGCCCAGCAATGCGGTCTCGATGCCTCTCAGGTTCTAGATGCGTACCCATGTACGCCACTCCAGGAAGGGCTCTGTGCCCTCTCCGCGCGTGATACAACTGCGTATAAAGCTCGCGTCGTATGCGAGTGCAAGCCAGGAACAGACGCCTCATCAATCAAGACCGCGTGGGAGCGCATCTTCGAGAGCCATGATATCCTACGCACCCGACTGGCTGCCTCCTCTTCCCAAACCATTCAGGCCGTTGTGCGCGAGGCGTTTGACTGGGACTATGCTCCCACAGTAAAGCGCTACGATGCGACAATGAATGATGAGCCCATGGGAATTGGCAAACGGTTGGTGCGAGGATGTTTGATCAGTGGTTCTACACTGACGCTGGTCCTCTTTATCCACCACACCCTCTGCGATAGATGGTCAATCCGCCTTCTCGAGCAGATGCAAATTCTTGTTGGGTCTTCTACAGCACCAACCCCTCGGCCGTTCCGTCCATTCATCAAGCATCTCCTTAAGGCCCGGAATGAAGTCACGGAGTACTGGACCTCCCAGTTCGCCGGTCTCGAGGCTACAGTCTTCCCCGAACTACCTGAGCCTGGATACACACCACAAGTCGACCAACGGAGCACATACACGCTACAGCTCCCCTCGCATGTTGCTCGTAGCCAGGGGACAATGGCCACCCATATCCGGCTTGAATGGGCCCTCGTCCTTTCCCACTACACGCGCCTCAACGATGTTCTTTTCGGCGCCACAGTTACAGGGCGCGGCGCTCATCTAGCAGGCGTGGAAACGCTCTCGGGTCCGACAATCGCCACAGTTCCTGTCCGGATCAAGTTGGATACATCGCAGACAGCAGCTACTGCACTTGGCCAAGTGCAACAGCAGCTCATTGACCTGATTCCATACGAACAGGCTGGGTTACAGAACATCAGACAGTACAGCCCCGAGTCAAACGCCGCGTGCCAATTCCAGTCCCAGCTTATCATCTAGCCTGCGTGGGTAACAGGGCTCGATCTCTTTGGAAGTTGTGAAGAAGGGGCTGCCACGACGGGTGGCTTTGCCTCGTACGCACTGTGTTTGGAGTGTTATCTTGCGGAAGATGAGCAGACGCTGGATCTAGTGGCCCTGTTTGATGAGACTGTAATCAGCAAAGACAGAGTGCGCCGACTGCTCATGCATCTCGAGTATGTTCTCTGTCGGATCCTTGAGCAGCCTCACCAGCCTTTTGAGTCTCCTGTCACACGTCAGTCCCCATGACTGGACACAGATACGCCAGTGGAATGCTGTCGTTCCTCCAAGGACTAAAGAAACGGTGCATGGGCTAATTTCGCAGCGCGCGCAAAGCTCTGCTGACAAGCTGGCTGTGTCTGCATCTGATGCATCGATCACATATCGAGAGCTGGAGCACTACGCGACAATCCTGGCAGATGAGCTTCTGCGCTGTGGTGCCACCCCAGGGAGTATCACACCGGTATACTTTGAAAAGGGGTGCTGGGCTATCGTTGCCATGCTAGCGGTGCTGAAGGCCGGCTGCGGAATTGTGCATCTAGATCCCTTGTATCCGCGCGACCGGATTCGCAAGATACATGCCCAGACTGGCTCGCCGGTCATCTTGTGCTCGGCGTGCTTTGCGCCTCGCGTGGAAGAGCTAGGGGCCAAGGCAATCATTGTCAACCAGGGCTCTGGCCTTTGGCGGCGGTCTATACCAACAAGTCCCTTTCCACTCGTTGCTGCCTCGGCAATTCTCTACTTGATCTTCACCTCCGGTTCCACAGGCGAGCCCAAGGGGTTGATGGTCGACCACGCGGCCTTTATCGCGTCTGCGCGTGGCTACATTCCTGAGATCCAGATCAACGGCGCCACGCGCATGCTCCAGTTTGCGTCTGTCGCATTCGACGCCTACTACGTCGAGATCTTTCCTGTCCTTATGGTCGGTGGAGCCATCTGCGTGCCCTCTGCCACCGAGCGACGAGACGACATCTCAGCCTTCGTGCGGCAAGAAAAAACCACCCACGCGCTCTTTACGCCTTCGTACGCACGCACACTCGACCCTAGTACTGTTCCCTCTTTGCTCGTACTCTGGATCATTGGTGAGGCGGTGCTCGACACAGACGTCGCATTGTGGGGGCCTCACGTCCGGCTGGTAAACGGGTACGGGCCAGCCGAATGCGCTGCGTGCGCTACAACACAGCACTATGACATGCCAGCCGTATCCAGGGGACAAATACACCCGCACGATATTGGGCACCCTCGGGGCTGTATGGCGTGGGTCTGCGACCCTGACGACGTTACGATACTGCTTCCCATCGGTGTGGTTGGCGAGCTTATCATTGAGGGGCCAACAGTGGGTGCAGGATACTACAAGGACCTCGCTAAAACAGGGGAAGTGTTTATCAAGGCACCGCAGTGGCTACAGGAGTTCCGGGGGAATACTTCGTCCCGTGTCTACAAGACCGGTGACCTGGTGAGATTCCACGAGGATGGAAGACTGAGGTTTGTCGGGCGTCGCGGCGAGCAGTTCAAGCTGCGAGGGCAGCGCATCGAGCCCTGGCATGTCGAGCACCAGTTGCTGCAGACTTTTGAGACCGCTATCCAGGTTGCTGTTGTTTTTGGGGTTCCCAAGGGCGCGGAGGATCGCCCGGCGCTCGTTGCATTTGTGTTGACGGAGGAGACGCGTGTAGTGTCAGACAAGACTGCGAATACAGTATGCACAACACCAAGTGAATCCTTCCAGCACCGCGCGCAGATGGCGAGAGCTACACTGGAGTAGACGATGCCCGAGTACATGATCCCGACCCTGCTCCTCGCTGTCTCTTTCATGCCGCGCACACTATCAGGCAAACTCGACCGGCGCAGATTGAAACAGGAAATCCCCAGCAGGACATTCCCGGAGCTAGCTCAGTATGAGTCCTCTGTCAATACAGCAGTTGCTACCATTCAGCTCCCAGGAACAGATGCCGAGCGCGAACTTCAAGCCACCTGGTCTCGCGTTCTGCGCGTCCCAGCTGAAAGCATCGGGGTGAACCAGTCCTTCTACCATTTCGGTGGTGACTCGATCATAGCCATGCTCGTCGTGGCGCAGGCGCGGAATGGCCCTTTAAAATTAGTGGTGACGGTGGATGATATTCTCCGTCTACGCACTATACACGCCATCGCTGCCCAGGCGCTGAAGAACTCCGTCAAAGACACTCTACAGTTAGTTACCTCCTTGTGCCCCGGATACCCCATTTCCGCTCTCACCTATCCAGCGCCTCTTCTTCGATACCAACCCGGGGGGCCAGAACCAGTTCAGCCATTCTCTGCTTCTCCGTCTGGGCCATCGTATCGAGCCATGCCAGCTCAGGGACGCCATGGAGAAACTAGTAGCAACGCACAGCATACTCCGAGCGCGATTCGTCCAGCAAACAGATGGGCAATGGGAAGAATTTATTATCAAACATACTCAACGATCTGCAGCTTATCGCTCGCATGATATCGCTGATAAATTTCTGCTTGACACTGTTATGGCGCGGAGCTTAAAGAGTCTTGATATCACCAGGGGACCGCTCTTCTCTACGGATCTGATTACTGCTGGTACCACCCAGGAGCAGTGGGTGTTTATCGTTGCGCATCATTTGGTTGTGGACTTGGTTTCTTGGACCGTGCTTCTCAGGGATCCGGAGAGCTTGCTCCGTAGAGAAGCAGTTCTGGCTCCGTCTGTTTCGTTCCAGCAATGGGCCAGTTTGCTTGCAAAGCACGGAAAGGAGCAGCTCTCCCCGCTTCAGTCGGCAAAGCAGATCACAAACAGTGCCTTTGATCTGGATCTGGAATTCTTCTGGGGCGTTTCCAGTGGCATCAACGGCAGCTACAGTAGCACACTTGGCTTAACGCGCGAGATGGTTTTGACGATTCCCCCCTCAACTACAGGGTCCCTTCTTGGCCACGCAAACCAGGCATTTGGAACTCAGCCTGTGGAACTACTGCATGCGGCGCTGGTCAGTTCATTCCACGAGACATTCCCTGACCGAGCACCACCAACAGTCTTCCTCGAAGGCCACGGCCGCGAACCCTGGGATACGGCCATTGGCCTTGCACGGACAGTGGGGTGGTTTACTACACTGGTGCCCGTGCCTATTCAGCTTCCAAACAATAGAGCTGGGGATGAGAGTGCTCTATACTCGTTTGTGCGGCTGTGCAAAGACGGGCGGCGAAGTCTGCGGCACAATGGGCTTGAGGATTTCACAGCGCGGTACTACAACAAAGGCACTTGTACGCAAGGCAGCAGGACGCCAATGGAAGTTGTGCTCAACTACGCCGGCCGCTACGAAGGGCAACTTGCGCACACAGCCACATCTGGCCTCTTCGAGGTCTGTTCGTTGCAAGACCATAATATCTATGCCGCCTCTGATCAGCTGAAGCGGTGGTCGCTGGTCGATATCAATGCACTTGTTGAGATGGACGACTCCTTGACTTTGTCATTCACGGTGCCAAAGGGATGTAGCAGTGCGATACTCGAATCCTGGATATCTAATCTTCGGAAGACGCTGGATTACATGGCGGCCGAGTTCAGTGCACTCGAGCACAGGTTGACGCTTGCTGATTGTCCGCTTCTGGACTTGAATTATGAACAGCTCGGTCTCCTACACGACAGTCTTGATATGGCGGGAATTGAGACGAGAAATATCGAGGGCGTGTATCCCTGCGCGCCGATCCAGCGCGGGATTTTGCTCAGCCAGGCAAAGAACCCGGCTTTGTACCATGTGGCCGTCTCCTGGCATGTCAACACCAAGGCCAGCGCCCACGAGTCTGTTGTGGAGGCAATCAAAAAGGCCAAAGGAGCAGTGCAGCAGGTTGTTGCCCGCCATGCCGCACTGCGCTCTGTGCTCATCCCTGCTCTGTCTGGCGGCGGTGCGTATGAGCAGGTCGTGCAGTCTGTTTCCGAGAACGAGATCCCTGTGATATATCTTGACGGTGAATTACCAAGTCCAGGAACCGACTTTCGCCCGACCCCTGAGTGTCCCAGCCGTTTCGCCCTCTATGTTTCTCGCGAGCAGGTGTATATACGGCTCGACATTACACACGCCTTGAGTGATGCACAGACGCTGCAGAACGTTCAGAGTGAGCTCAGGCTCGCCTACGCGGGTGAGCTAAGTACGGTCAAAGCTCCAGCATATGCCAACTACCTCTCCTTCCTCCGCGTGCAGGACGAACACGCCGCAGGTAAATTCTGGGACGAGTACCTCACCGACTGCGAGCCGTGCGTGTTCCCAACCCTGAACGAGCACAGTCCAGATCAGCCGGACGAAAACCACACGCAGACGTTAGTGTTGACGGAAAGCCAGGTTGCTGCCATCAACAGCTTCTGCCAGGCTCGCAACCTCACAGCCGCAACGATCTTCTCTTCCGCGTGGTCGCTGGTGCTGCGCGCCTATACAGGGTTTGATAATATCTGCTTTGGGTATGCCAATTCAGGACGCGAGCTGCCCATCGAGGGCGCAGCGGAGATTGTAGGCCCGCTGATCAATGTCCTTACGACCTCGTTGAAGTTGGCCAATCTCACGGTGGGCGAGCTGCTGCAGACCGTGTCTGAGGCGTACCTGGCCGGCCGCGCCCACCAGACGTTCCCCTTTGCTGAAATTCTGCATCGCAAGGGACTGAGCGCCACGTCGCTCTTTGATACGGTGCTTTCTATCTAGCGAACACTAGCTCAAGCCAGCACATCCGACTCCTCTACCAGCCTGGACATAGTCCAGCGCCATGATCCGGCTGAATATGCCATCACCGTGAATATCGACATTGAGGAGACAAAGACCGTCGTCCACCTGCGGCACTGGCTGTCGCGTGTCTCGGACGAGCAAGCAGCCCTCATCGCCTCGTCCTTCCAACATGCAGTGACCCCGATCATCAGCAATGAGACAGTACCCGCAACAGCCATTTCACTCGTCAGCGCCACGCACTACAACCTCCTCCAGGGCTGGATCCAGCGTGTCCCTGCCACCCCCTCATACTGCATCCACCAGGCCATCGATCAGCGCGCTCGCCAGCTTCCCAACAAAACAGCAATCTGCACCTCCTCTGGCTCCCTCACATACTCAGAGCTCAGCTCGCTCTCCGATGCCCTCGCGTGGTATCTCTCCCGCGGCGGTGTCGGACCCGGCGATTTCATCCCACTGTGTTTCGAAAAGGGCCTCTACACCATCGTCGCCATGCTCGCTATTCTGAAAACCGGTGCGGCATTTGCCTTGCTTGACGCTACGCATCCAGACCAGCGCCTCGTCAGCCTTGTGCAGGAGGCGGGGAGTAGCATCGTTGTTGCCTCAAGCGCACAAGCCGGTCGATGCACCTCCTGGGCGCAGAGGGTCATCACAGTCGGCGCAGACGACGACGTCTGGCGCGCTTCCCCCCCCGCTGTGCGCCCAGGTCCCAGTGCACGCCCTCATCTGCATTCTGCCTCGTCTTTACGTCCGGCTCGACAGGGAAGCCGAAAGGCGTGATAGTTGAGCACGGCGGGTTCGGAGCCATGGCTGAAGCAGCGCACGATTTATGGAGGATCACACACGCGACCAGATTCATCCACTTCGCATCCCATGCTTTTGACGTGGGGTCGTTTGAGATGTTGTTCCCTCTCATGTCTGGTGCCACGACATGCGTTCTGTCCGAAGAGGAACGACGTGACTCTCTAGCGGAGAGTATGACCAGTTTCAAAGCAAGTCATGCATTGCTGACGCCAACGGTCTCACGGACGATCCTCCCCTCTGAAGTGCCGCATTTGCGGGTCCTGGGATTAGTCGGTGAGGCTGTGACACAGGTGGATATTGAACTCTGGGCCGAGCCTTTGAGTCTTCTGAATATATATGGGCCTGCGGAGGCGACAGTCGAAGCTGTATGTCAGGGGAATATCACGACCGCCCCGCGGGCAGGGGACATTGGGCGCCCTGTCGGCTCTGTTGCGTGGGTGATTGACCCTGAGAACCCCGAGCAACTGCTCCCCATCGGAGCCCTCGGTGAATTGCTGATTGAAGGGCCGATCGTCGCGCGTGGGTATAGACCGGATGCTACGAGGGCTGCGTTTATTGACCCCCCAGGGTGGCTGCGTGAGCTGCGCGGTGATACGAAGCAGTACCGCCTATACCGAACTGGGGATATGGCTCGCTACCGTCCCGATGGCCAGATGACAGTCTTTGGCCGCAAGGATACGCAGATAAAGATTCGTGGGCAGAGGGTTGAGCTTGGCGAGGTCGAGTATCAAGTGCATAGCTCGTTCGAGGGCAGCCAGGATGTGGTGGTCGATCTGGTGTACACTGGAAAGGACAAGACACCCAACCTGTATGCGTTTATCTGTTTGGATGCAGATACCGCCAAGAGCTCAGCCATCGAAGAGAGCAGACCTGGCTTTGTCGCTGTTCCAGACAACTCCTTCCGCGCCCAGGCAGCGACGTGCGCCTCTCACCTGCTCGACCATCTGCCGGCATACATGGTCCCCAGCTACTTTGTCCCACTGAACCAAATGCCTCTCAACGCATCAGGCAAAGCAGACCAGAAACAGCTGCGCTTCTTCGTCACGGCTCTCACCAGTCCCGAACTCCAAGCCTACCGCCCCATCGCTAGCAAGCATGTCGCCCTCTCCACACCCGAAGAACACCTCCTGCAGACCCTCTGGGCTGAGGTATTGGACTTGCAAAGAGAGCACATTGGCGCCGAAGACCACTTCTTTCAGCTTGGCGGTGATTCGGTAAACGGTATGCGCCTTGCTGCGACTGCCCGCCGCCACGGACTGCACATTTCGGTTTCCCATATCTTTGCGAACCCGCGACTGGGGGCTCTGGCGCGCGCTGGAGAGACACAGGAAGGCGCGAATCAGTTTGAATACACGCCCTTCTCGCTCAGCCCGGTTCCCAAGGAATTCTTCCCGACGTGGGAAGCACTTATGCGTTCCAGGGGGATCGTTTCTCTGGCTGCGAGGCTTGTTGATGTCCTCCCTGCGTCCGCTGGCCAGGCTTTCTTCCTCGAGAGGCCGACTCTACATCACTTTACGTTCCAGCTAGATGGCAGGTTGGACGTGGAAAGGTTGAGGAAGACATGCGAGATTGTCTATGCCCATTATCCGATCCTGAGGACCGTTTTTACCAAATATCAGGACCAGGTCCTGCAACTTGTCCTCGACAACCTCCCTCTCCCGTTCCACCACATCGTCACAGACGACAACACTGACCCAGCACTTTTCGGCGAGAAGCTTCGGCTGGCAGGGAAGCAGAACCAACATGGCATCTTCATCGATCGACCCGTGTTCGCATTTATCATCATCAGCAACCCCGCGAAACGAACAGCACAGCTGTACTTCCGTATGACCCATGCGCAATGGGACGGTGTCTCTCTGGGTGAGCTCTTTGCTACATTCCGCCAGGCATGGCACAACCAAGCCACAGCCCCTTCCACACCACTATCCCGCGTCCTGTACCACCGCTTCACGAGAGATAAAGCCTCGTCTTTTACCTTCTGGAAAGAGTACCTAGCCGGGTCGACCATAACCCCTCTTGCGGGCCTTGCCACCCTCCCAACACGCTCAGAACTAGACCTCAGCAAGGGCGAGACGATCTGGCCCAACATCAACCTCCACCCCGCCCCTGTCCCCCCAGCGGGCATAACGATGGCCAGTGTTGTGAAAGCCGCGTGGGCACTCGTCCTCGCCTCCGATTCCGGTAGCAAGGAACCGAAACAGGACATTGTCTTTGGCCAGACCGTCAACGGACGAAGTTCAGCGCCGCTCGCTGATATCGACAGCATCCTGGGCTGCTGTTTGAATTTTATTCTCGTCCGCATTCAGGTCGAGGGCGGAGGTAGAGGCAAAGACTGGACCATCACCGACCTGCTAACACACACACAAGCCCAGTACCAGGAGACCGTCGCCCACGACGACATTGGGTTCCCGGACCTGGTGTCGAACTGTACAGATTGGCCCTCTGACACCACACTAAGCACAATCGTGCAACATCAAAACATCCCCTTGACGCACAAGATGGAGCTGGAAGGCCTCGAAACAGCATTCGCGTTCAATGGCTTCTTCCGACCAGGGCGCGAACTGTTTATCTTTACGGAGCCGCATAGTCTTCCCGATGGGGATCTGTTGAGTGTGCAGTTTTGTGTCAACCCGAATATGATGACAATTGAAAGGGCGAGCGTTTTGCATAAGAAATTGGTCGATACAATTGTTAGGCTTTGTGAGCCTGGGAAGGGTGGAGAGAGTGTTGCTTCGTTTCTATAATTTATCTACCTCGACCGTTGTCTTATCCTCTAATTCTGCTCTTGTTCCTGTTATTGTTATGTTGGTTTGTTAGTTAGATATTGCTTACGTCCACATTTACATTATTGTATCCACACTGCTGCCTAAGCCTCCTGCAAGCAATGAACAGCTACAATCTGTGACACAAACTAATCTTATCAACAAGATTCGCAAACAAAATCAGTATCGCTTGTTGCCTTGGGGTTAGGGATCTGTCGTATGCAAAAATATTGTCATCCGTGTTTAGACCCACACCTAAATTTCATAGTTTTTTTCCACATTTTTGTTTTTTTCAATATCACATCTATTTAACCATATTTTATCAGGTTTTTAACATGTTTTTAAGGTTACCAAGGCTTCCTAGTTCAATACTATCAGTGATTTATATAGAAAAATATTTAAAATGGTCTAATAACTTGGGTGAAGTCGGGTGTGGGTCCCAACACGGATGACAATATTTTTACATTCGACAGATAAAGCCTCCAGGTCCTGATATGGTGCCTAGAGGGCAGAACCGCGGCGGATTTGATTCCAAAGCTCCATACGGGCTCCGAGTCGACATCGTTACATCGTTCGGCCTGTGGAATGTGCTCGCCCTTGGTTTCACATTCCCAACAAGCATCCGCTGCCATCCCGTCGTGAACTTGCGGCCAATAAAGGCAAGAGGCAACCCAGGCATTGTGCAGGAGGCACGGGGCGAGTAGCACAGACCCCTTGCTTAAAGTTGTAATGCTAGGACCTCCTAGCTTAATGTTCTTTGCAGTCAATCAGCAAGGCGCTAGCCTCAGCACTACTTGCCTACGCAACGAGCCAGCCAGCTCAGCGATGTGTGATTACCATACAACGGCTCAGGCAGCAGATATTGGAGCTTCTCGCTAACTCTGTTTGCCCTGGTATCTCGCAGTAACCCTGGCATAGTTACTTAGCTCGAGTGCCCCCCTGGTTCAGCTCGTCTGGCCTGCTGTGCTCTGAGGAGCCCTTTGACTGGTTGATTTAGATAGAAATATGTATATGACGGGGGGTCACGAAAGGGTGTGAGAACGCCCAACCTCCGGGGTGAGTATCACGATGCGGCTAGATTGAGGCTATGGCCAGACGGAAAAAAGACGGGTCAATTTTCCAGCTGTGTCAGCTCACTTGCCATTGCTGTATTTGAATATAGACTGCTCCACGCCCCATAAAGCCCGGATATGCTTCTGAGAGTGGGATTCCTATGGGAACTACTGGAGAAGTCAACAGTGTAGTACCGGCCGAAGGACGTTCTGTCGTGATAACCCTTGAAGGATTTGAGTTGGCTATGCCTCGTAGGATATCCCTATACAGTCCTCGACGGCGTTGGAGTTCCCACCCGACTTCTGGCCACGCTTAAGTCACACCCGGCTGGTTCGTAGCATGGTGTTTTATTATACAGCTGTTGTATGTTTTTCTTCCGAGTAGCGAAGAATCATCTACTTTTCGTATCCATAGATAGATAGCATCAGTAGTCCTTCATTTGTTGTTTGGAATGAAGTATTAAAAAAAATAACCAAGTACGGCTAGTAGATAAGAAAGTCTAGTAACCATGAGTTAATATATATTTTAGATAACAGGACAAACATGTCCCCGTAGCTGCTAGAGACTACTCGTGAAATTGTAGTTGGTAGCATAGAAGGATAGTAGTTATAGTAATCTCGTGGTCTTGCGCTCGGCTGTTAAAAATAAACTAGCAGGTAAGAAGCTTCCCCTTCTATTATAGCCTACTTACCCCTATCAACTTGATTTCATTGTATCCTATAACCAACCGCTCCGACGAAGGGAACGAGACACACGACCACAGAGTGTGGAGAACAGAGCTACGTACTTAAGCCGCCTGTTGAACATGATCAAGCAGATGAGCCCCGAGTGTGTCTGTGATTAATAGGATAGAAGAAGACTAATAAAATAGCCTCTCTAAATTGTTCTTTAGCTTTTTATTAGTACTTTGAAATCTTCTTTGCCCACGCCACTGGTAGCTATTGAAATAGTCGGATTTGCCTTACTAGTTTGATAATGAGAATCTCATCACGATGAATACTTTTATCGTGTTAAATAAGTAATAGCCAGTCAGATAACTATATAGTCGCTAGCATTGTGTATACATTGAGCCAAACCCCTGGACGGAGGTGCTGAAGTATTAAACATTCCAGCTCCATGCTTCCATTCACGGCCAGAGTGTCGTTGGGACTAAGTATGGTCTGGCCTTGACTCCTTCAACCAACTGGTCAATGGCTTCCTACCGGATATTGGAGGCGTTCTCGGCTCTTAACACTGCAAAAATGCGCCATCAGTTGACCGAGCTTGCTGACCGGGCCTACTTTTGGGACATTGAAAGCATTCGCCAAGTCTTCATCATCAACAGAATCCCACAAGCCCTCAATATGGACTGGCTCTTTGGGCGCAAGCTGCCCGACACGATTATGCGCCCTCGGCTCTGATGTACTCATTACAATTGATGTATTTGCTACGTAGTTCTTGTAGCAGTATTCCTGAATCGATGATACAAGTACGCACAGCAGCTCATACAGAAAGCACACGTCAACCGTTGGAAATTTTGGCATTAGTGAAAGCCTGATAGTCATTACACATGAGGAAGCGTCGGTATTAGTCTTTCCAGCTTGAACGAGGACTTTAGGAGATGAAACAGCTATGATCTTGCCTCCAACGTAGCCGCTGTCGACCTGGGCGCAAGATCGATAAATGGAGCGAATCACCTCTTCCATACTCGCACTACCTAACCAGCAGGTGCAGACCATCAGCTCCCTCGCCAACGGCAGGGTCAGATGATGCTTCAAGCTTCAATGCACGTCGTTTGTTTTCCCAGACAAGGTAGAAGCGCAACCCCAAAACCAGAAGAACCTCGACGGCAAGACACACCAGCATAGCCGCGAAACCGGACGGGTAACTGGGGGATTCGTCTTCGAAGAATAACTGCGGTCCTATGATGTTGCCGGTGCAGTAGGCGATAAAGGTCTATATCAAGTCAGCTTTGGGTCCGCATGCTACATGCCAGTAACATACGAGATAATTTACGGTTGCTTTCTTAGTAACCCCGGCGGTGTTGGCGACGTTGATGGAGAGCAGAAGACGGAAGTTGACTGTGTAGGCGGAAAGCAGGCAGTAGCGGGAGTATCGCGCCCAGAGGTGTGAGTTATCAACCTGGCGGATAACGACTGCGCCGACTACGGCAATGACGGTACATATATATAGCCATCGAGATAGTCCGCATGTTGCGCAGGTAGGTGCTCGCGAGGGTCGCGGCAATGACAAAGAAGCCCTGGAATCCGGTGACGATCATACTCACCAAAAAGGTCTCGTTGGTTGAAAATCCGAAGCCGTGGATGACGATTGCTGCGAACTAGAATGAGCACAGCGGGAGCGTCAATCACAACATAGTATGTATGGGCTTTCGCTTGTAGCAGGGCAATCACGGACATTACTGATTCCTCTATTCGGGATGTTTGCACACAGCATGATCAAGACGGAAAACCATGTCTTGGGGTCCTTGAGAGCTTCGATCACTTGATCTTTCTTCCAACTGTTATGCTTGACCCCGGTAATGTCCTCCTTGACACGGTCAACCGCGCCAACTCGCTGGGTCTCTGAGAGAAACCATGCAGTAGAAGGCGAGTCTGGCAGAAGGAGGACTAGGCAGAGTCCCCAGACCAAGGTGATCGCACCGAATACAATAAACACGAGCTGTAGATAAAGGCAAAAGTAAATGTGAGTAGGCACACGACAGCATCAATCATGGTTTAGGTGACAGGTACCCTCCAGGGTGGGAAATTGTGCACATGCCCAAATGCGTACATCAGCGGGCCGCTGAACAAGCCGGAGATGACGTTCCCAAGAAACCACACGCCATGGCGAAGGGGCTGTTCGGACCGCTTGTACCACATGGAAGTAATAATACTGAACCCTGGGGCGACGGCCGCCTCTGTAAAACCCAGGAAGAAGCGGGTAGCCATGAGGCCAGCCGCATTTTGTGTGGCGCCCATACAGCACAGGACTACAGCCCATGCCGCACTAGGTTCCATATATCAGCAAGGGTAATCAGGTAATATCAGTAAAGGTTGACATACACGGAAAGGCCATGGCCTTGCCAATAGGAAACTTGACTATGATTAGGGCCATAGGTCCAGAGGCCGCGAGGTATCCGAAATTGAAAAGGCTCGATGCCCACGAATATTCGTTCCCAGTGAGATGAAGGTCGTCGCGCAGCCCGAGAATAGCAGCATTGCTCATAGTGGCCTTGTCCAGATACTGGAGCATGTAAGACACGACCAGGACAGGTAACATACTGCGGCGTGAAGGATTGTCAGCGGCATCTCGTGCACAGGCAGGATGGTGGGCAATGGGACCACTTACAAAAGATCGATTCTCCGCAGCAGCCGACGAGACTCTGCTGGGTCACTAAGTTCGGAGATGACCTGACACGAGGTGGGCGGTTTGGCGCCGGACACCTTTGCTATCTGGTGTTTTGCGACTTCTGCCATTTGGTGTGGACTGAGATCATGAACTCGCGGTTAACTGTTGCTAGGATATACTAACTGAGACTCTTCATGGCCATATATGTACAAATCCGAAGATAACGAGAAACGAGATATAAGATAGCAAGCATCGTCTCCACTTTCTAGAGATGCTGACCCAGAGTTCATAATTAGGCGGCGAATTTGCCGACGCATGCCAGATTGACCCTGCAGAGCCAATACAATAATCAGATCATGAATCGTTCAATTTCGCCAGACTCGAATCTCGCGGAAAAATCAACCCATCCACCACACTTCCTCTGCTCACCCACAACGAAAAGCAGCGCCTTCTCCGCTCGCCGGTAATTCTCGGCGGTATGATCTCTCTAAGTTAGGTTATCCGGCAGCTATATAGTTTTTTTTAGTATATTCTTTCTAGCTAGGAATATATAAGACTATAGTTACCTTTATAAGATTATAATATATCCATTCCTTGGAAGTAGTGGTTGTTAGAGAGTCACGTGGCACGGCATTGGCAGGTCGTGACAGTCGAGATCCTACCGAGCTGTAATCCGAGTCACCTTTGCCTGGGATAGTTGATTGAGCTTATCCCGAGGGTACTGTACCATCTCCATCGCTGTCGTCGTCAGTACCACCAAGTTCATCGTCAGCGTCGGGACTCTCCAGTTCTCCAACACCGCCAAGTCTCGCCCCCAGATGAATCCTTCTCAAAAAAGACCGCTGCCTCGTATTCTTGGTCTTTTGGGATGCTTCTCGTGGCGAGCTCCGATCGTGACTGATCACGTTTGGAAAGCCACAGCAAGGCGGTCGCCAATGGGGCGGTGGTGCGCACGGGTGAAGGGAAGCAGACAGGAGAAGGAAGTGTTGGCATTATCAATGAATGGCGCTGAGGGGAGGGAAAGAAGCTCGGTAGCGACACGATCATCTCTGTCTCGTAGGGATAGTAAGCAGAGAAATGAGAGGGACCGGGAATTAAGGTTAGGGCAAGCCAGCCGGGGCATTGAAGTGACCAACGTCTCATGAAATTTGGCTGGAATGGACAGACTCCGACAACGCGCCCCAAGCCCGCTATCAGTCATATCCCCTCCACATTGAGCAGATCTAGCTCGCTCTGAGTAATGCGATGACTACTATCTGGGGGTTGGTGCGGACCCGAGACAGCACTGTTGAGCTCCATATCAACCTCTGTTAACCGCCCAGGCAGGATAAGGGCTTGTCCGAGGACGCAGCAGGCCGCCTGCTTGGCTCTCGGACGGCCAAGCCTTCATCCAAGGTCGTGAGGAGTTCGGCGGTGCCCGTCTGGGCGCTGATAAGACTGGGTTTGGCAGCAAGTGACGCTTCTTATCCAGAATCCACCACCAAGAGCTGTTGGACGAGGGACCTACCATACGGCCCGGCTGCGTGCTAGCCGAGACCTCGACGCAGCCAACGGTGCGCTAAACTCCTGGCGCCCAGAGATAGACACTATGGCATTATTCGATTCATCCACCTCATTCCCTCGCGATACCCTCGAAACCGCTGATAATCGCTGCTCTGTCGCTGTCGTCCTCCTCGCCCGGACAATGCCGTCGTTTATAACCTGCCTCCACGCCCGCCGCGGTCTTGGGTTGTGCTTCCCCCGCATTCCACCTGGCTCCTTCGCGGCTATTGCTTCGTGATCTCCCCCCCCCCCTTCCCACCTGTCTAGCTGGGTGTTGTGACAGATTGTCGCGCCGTCGATCGATCCCGGCAATTTGGTATATATTGCCGGGCTGTTTCCCGCATTTTCTGCCTCGACATCCCGGGTAGAGGCTATTTATCCATCGACGGATACATTGGTTTGACATTAGACTCAGCTCAAGTCTACTACCCCTCGTCCGCCTCACCATGGATGGCCCTGATCAAATTGGCCCGGACTACCGTCCCAAGCGCACCCTGGCGGATCGTGGCCGCCGCATCGTCAAGACCTTGACCACCCGTGAGGGCCTCTTTGGCGACTATGACTACGCCTTCCTGTTCACGCCGCGCATCCCCTTCATCACCAAGGGCCACAGCACCGCCCCGTTCTTCGGCCTCGACGACAAGGTGCCCGTCTTTTTGGCCCTGCTGCTCGGCCTACAGCACTCCCTGGCCATGCTGGCGGGTGTGATTGCGCCTCCGCTCATCCTCGGTGGCAGCGGCGGCGTGGGCTTTGTCGGTGCCCAGTATCAATACCTCGTCTCCACCTCGCTGATCGTCTCGGGCCTGCTGTCGGCGGTGCAGATGGCTCGCTTCCACGTCCACAAGACCCGCTACTACATCGGCACCGGACTCATCTCTGTCGTGGGCACCTCCTTTGCAACCATTACCGTCGCGACCGGCGCCTTCGCCCAGATGTACCAGACCGGCTACTGTCCGCTGGATGACAACGGCAACCGCCTGCCCTGCCCCAAGGGCTACGGTGCGCTGCTGGGCACCTCCTGTCTCTGCGCGCTGCTCGAGATCGGTCTCTCCTTTTTGAGCCCGCGTGTGCTCCGGAAGGTGTTCCCGCCGCTGGTGACCGGCCCCACGGTGCTGCTCATCGGAGTGCATCTTATCGAGAGCGGCATCAAAGACTGGGCCGGTGGTTCTGGCGCCTGCGGTGAGAACCCGGCGGCACAAATGCTCTGTCCCAGCCCTGACGCCCCGCGGCCCCTCCCCTGGGGCAGCGCCGAGTTCATCGGACTAGGCTTCCTTGTCTTTGCGACGATAATCCTGTGTGAACGCTTCGGCTCGCCTATCATGAAGTCGTGCGCCGTTATCATCGGCTTGTTGGTGGGCTGTATCGTCGCCGGCGCGTGTGGCTACTTTGATCAGTCCAGCATCGACGCCGCCCCCGTAGTCTCCTTTATCTGGGTGGAAACGTTCCCGCTCTCTCTCTATCCACCTCTTATCCTCCCCTTACTGGCCGTCTATATTGTTATTATGATGGAGTCTATCGGCGACATCACCGCCACCTGTGATGTCTCCCAGGTGGAGGTCGAGGGGCCCACCTTTGACACGCGCATCCAGGGCGGCGTGCTGGGCAATGGACTGACCTGTTTGATCGCCGGTCTGGCCACTATTACGCCCATGTCTGTCTTCGCCCAGAACAACGGCGTCATTGCCCTGACCAAGTGCGCTAACCGCAAGGCTGGCTTCTGCTGCTGCATGTTCCTTGTCCTCATGGGCATCTTTACCAAGTTTGCTGCCGCCCTTATCGCCATCCCCAAGCCTGTCCTCGGCGGCATGACCACCTTCCTCTTCTCTTCCGTCGCCATCTCCGGCGTCCGCATCATCTCGACCATCTCCTTCACCCGTCGCAACCGCTTCATCCTTACCGCCTCCTTCGCCATCGGAATGGCCGCAACCCTCGTCCCGGAGTGGTTTAAGTACTTCTTCACCTACCGCGGGGATAACCACGCCCTGCAGGGTCTGCTCGACGCGATCGTCCTCGTTATGACCAACGGTTTCGCCGTCACCGCCGTGCTCGGCCTGATCCTCAACATATGTCTACCGGAAGACCCAGCCGAGGAGGCCGCCCTGCTGGGCTTGCCATCGAATAACGCCGGCGAGACCGCCATCACTGAGAGCCCGGATTCCTCCACCCATTTCAAGAGAGATCCGGATCCCCCGGCGCCCAACACCAAGGAAGGGGATGATCGCGGCCCCGGGCGTGTATAATACACCTACCTTCCTACCTGCCTACCTACCTCCCTTCGTTTACGACTTCTACTCCATCCATTCATGAGTTGGTTTCTCGGTTTATGTATTTAGTCTTTATGTTTTTTAACATTGTCAATTGGATGCCTACATTTGAACACCGCTAGTTCGATGCGTCTGCCAACTTTGGGTATTTTGGGTACGCGTGGCTGATGACGCGTGGCGGGAAATCCCAGCTACTGATTTTATTTAGCTAAAGAAACAGGTGATCGGGGTCATGTATGCTGAATTGCCTACTTGATCGGCCAACATGCTGCCTCCACATTCTCCCCACGAAAATATCTGATATAACGAGTATAGTGAACTCTGCAAATGTGGGCCGCACCTTAAGAATGTAAATTTACCTGCGGTACAAAGCAAACACTCTTTGCCATAGTGACATAGATTCACGTTGTTCCCCTTGCCTATGTTCATGCTTATCTGGTACATCCACAACCTCCCCATCCACACCTCTGTTGTTGATGGCATTTTGCTGTCTGCCGAGATAGTAGTTAGGCATGAAGAAAGAGGCAATGAACGGAACGGCGGCGAGGCAGATAGAAGCAACGGTGATGTTTCCATTGACAATGGCATAGGCACGGATGGAGCCTTGGCGAATTGGGTCTAGGAAATCATAGCCCGTGCGGAGAGCTTTGATATCACCGTAAATCTCAGTGACGGTATCGGCGGGCACGTCAGGCAGCTCTTTGTACATCTGTTTGAGCATCTGGTTAGTCCAGATGGCAGAAGCGACGGCGCTTCCGGTACTCGATCCTAGGGTAGACCACAGAGAGATGATGGAGATCAAAGATGCCACGTCCTCATGGGGGACAGATGCCTGGACGCCAACGCGGGCACCGACGACGTTCAGCGAGGAGAGGCAGAAGATGAGTTGCGAAGCAACAAGGCGCGCAGTATCCTGGGTCATAATGCCGTTGGATTGGACCAGGATGGCGTAGCCAACCAGTTTGGCTGCGCCACCGAACACCATGACGCTCTTGTAGCGATGAGAGGCTCGATGAATCAAGCCTACAAAGGGACCGATCAGGGAGAGCCCCATGGTCGTGACACCCAGGAAGATGGTCCACTGGTAATTAGTCCAATCCTTGATGATGTAGACATAGGATGAGAAGTAAGTGTTGCGGACAGACGAGGCCATCTGGTTGAAGGTGTGAATGATCACGCCGGCAACGAAAGCTCGGTTATTGATCACTCGCTTGGTCATGATGGGTTTGGGCGCGATGAATACCTCAAAGGCAATGAAGATGATGAGACAAACGAATCCGACAGTTATCATGGCAATCATGCTCGGGTTGGCCCAACCGCCGTCGGAATCTTCAGCCAGGCTGAAGGGCAAGAGGATCAGGGAGAAGGCGAAGCCAAGGATGATGAGACCAATAATGTCAATTTCGATGAAACCCTGGAAGGCCAGCTTTGCCCAGTATTTAAAGCTCTTGGGCGTATTCTCGGCGGCGCCAGTGCGAACATCCTTTGAGTCGGCCAAGGTGACCATGCCTGCTTTCTCGCCACGGCGCTGCATCGCGTATAAAGTAATAATGGCGGGCACGAGAAGAGCTGGCACGAGGATGGCGAACATACCTAGACCCCATCTCCAGTTGTCGGAGAAGCCCTCGACAATGAAACCGTTGATGGGCACCGTGACGACAAAGGGGAGGGAAAGGCACGCACTGAAAAAGCCACGCCATTCCAGAGGAGTCAAGTCGGCAACAATGATGTCGCTGAGGAGGTCGAGACCCGACTTGCCAATCGAGGTGAAGCAGATACCGACTGTATACGACGCGAAGCTTTTGGCGCTCGCGGCAACAGCAAACCCCACGGCGTAAAACGCTAGAATGGTGATATAGGTCGTTGGCCGCGAGGTGATGTCGGCCAGCTTTCCAATAAATGGTTTGCTAATGGCACGGATGGTTTGACTGGCAGTATTGACGGCGCCGAGCTGGCTGTGCAGACCAAAGGTCGAGGTGGCCAGGGTGCCAAAAATGCTGGTGGTGATGCCCATGTCGAGGGCGTACGCAAACATGGTCAACCAGATTGAGATCCCCAGCAGCCAGAGCAAGACCTTGCCCGTTTTCCCGGACCGGTACATCGCCTTGTTGAAGGCTTCTACTCTGCCAACCCCGGCCTCTTCATGACTGTTGAGGGCATCGTGAGAACCCTTGTCGGCCCCTGCGGATGTTGCAGTCGTCTGCGGAGCCACATTCTCTTGGACCGTAACCGATTCAGGCCCGATGCCCTTGTCGAATGTCGGTGGTGACATGCTCGGCTTTCACCTCTTGGTCGTCGCTTCGGTTGCTGAGAACTGGAAAAAGAAACAAATCTCTATCGACGGTAGCGCCATGGTAAATTGGGCGGTAACCATTAAACGCCTATATCGGCTAAGATTTTTTTCCTCTTCCCTGGACATCTCCAGTCTGGACGCAAGGATTCCTTAGCGCTGACATTGCCAAGCGTCCCCAGGTAGAATTTCTCGTTTATCGTCTGTCCAGGGAAGAATTAATTAAGGATTACCGGGAGTTAACGAGGATGCCCAGCCCGGAGTGTTCCCAATCGAGCCTCCACTCCGAATAAGTCAAAGGTTCTTTTGGTAAATAATAATGATCGTCCGACGAGCGACTGGGGCTGTCTGGATCCCGAGTGTCGCCACATTGTTGATCTTATCTGATCTGATGATAAATTGGGCCTATATCACAATATATTTTGAAAACTCAACTCAACAATGGCGACTTCGGACGTCTCTCTAACCAGCTCCATATTTATTTGCACTTTTCATAAATTCTTTCGGAGCCTGTATTTCTGCTGGCTCCTGGCCCGGAAATAAATGCGGAATATACCTGCTGGGTCTGCTTCGCCATTGACATGCACACAACAACGGCATCATTCCTAGTTCAATCATCATTATAGTAAAAGGACAAGTGATCTAGTCTCTTGCCCCGTTCTACTGTCTAAATAAATATATTACGTCTTTTCGCTTGACTATCTCTGTTGATGGTGCTCACGACTTCTCTACACGATTTTGGTCTCGGTGTTCCGGCTGTTAGATGGGATGAGGCTTATAAATTGGATCCAATGAATAGATTTTGAGATTCTCTATCTCGTGAGTTCGGTGGCCGAAGGCGAAGGGCACAGATGCTGCTTGAAAGTCATGTCAGACACTGCCCAAGGGCCAGAAGGGACCTTTTCGGTCCATTCCCCTCGAGGTGGCCTCCAAAGAAGCAGAATACCAGGCGGCTTGCACTCGTGCACTAATCGCAGCCATTCATCACTTGGCTTTGGCTTATCAAGATCGACATGCAGCCCCATCACTCGCCGATACCCATACTCCTCATACAACCAGCGTCCTATCGGACTGCCTTCAATGAAACTCTCATATCCCAGAGGATCAATTATTGCGTGTCCCCACTCCATAAGCAGTCGCCCAACGCCGCATCGTCGATACTTCGGGTGGACGCCCATGGCATTGACACCGGCATGTGGGCGCTGAAACCAAGATTGCCGTGGAAAAAACGCCTGGGAGAGCATACACTCTGCGTACTCGGCACGCTCTGACCCCTCAGGATACCAGGTGCACTTGACAGGCTGCGGTCCGTTCGGGAAGGGGTTTTTGTGGAAAATAAACCACTCGCAGCCCCCTGCCACTTCTCCCGTTGCTTTATCGATCACGTATATCAGGTGTGAGTAGGGATTTGCCTGACTCATATCCCAGCGGATTTCGGCGTCGAGGGCTTTATCTCGGGCGCGGTCTTCGCGAGTATGGCCGCTTACTGGGTGGACAGCCGTGAAAACAGGGCTGTAGACAAGTTAAACCTGTCGGAGTATCAACTGACTCGGACCTACTTGTATGGATTGAAATTCGCCGCCCATAGGACGTCGACAAGGCGAGAATATTCCTCCTTGGTTGGAACAACCTTGACTTCGAACGGGGATTGAGCCATGTTTGACACTGTTGGATCATCGCGGCGAGAGGACGAACGGGTACTTATAACGACCGGGATACTAGAGCTGCGTAAGCCTGGGGCGTCAGATTGAAACTCAAAGACAGCGGGGTGGCAGAAATCCCTGGCTGACAAGGCCGTAGTGCATCGGCCAGGGCATGAGGGTCCGCTTTGGGACGAGGGCACGAAGCAGTTAGGCTATACACATCCTGCGATGATAGGAAACCGGAACATGACCACTCCTGGTTCTTTTCCTGATTCAACGGGGCTCTGCGCTGTCGGCAACTGACCTTCCCCGGCGCAAGCCACTGCACTCGCAATGGTGGAGGCTAATTGGGCCGGTCGGAGATGAGGGGACAGTATCAGCTCGATTCATTGGGTTGGCCCATGAGGCCGTCTCCTATTATCGACATAATTTCGATTCCATTGGGCCAGCAGTGCCGGTTAAAAGTCTTGGAAATCTGCATTTCCTCATGGGTCTTAGTTCGTAAAACACCCAGCAGGGTCACCGGCGCCCTACGATTATTTGTTAACATGGCCTGCAACGACGTCTCCATGGCCAACACGTACATCAGCGGCAAACTCCGAAGGGGGAACCATATTAGGGCCAGCGTGCCCCTAGGAGAGAAACGCCTTCTCTCGGGGTAGACTGCTCCTGCATATCGTGATTGAAATGACTGATATATACTTGTCTTCGGCGTCTCTCGGGTCAGAGTGGCTCCACCTGGACTCGTGAATACGAAGTGTAATGACTCACTCGGGCGCTTGAAATATGAGTGGAACCCTGTCGTCGTTGGTTTTCATTATATCCATGATAATGATCCTTGCCAGATGAAACCTCAATTTATTCTTCCTTCTTGTGCGAGCATTCGGCGAGTAGACAGATTCGGCCTGCTCGACTGTGATGACGATGAAGTGCCATTCTGGGACCTTCTCAGAGCCGTTCTTAGAAGCGAGCTGGCCTCTATTCACGATACTTCCTCTCTGCTAGAGGCTCTTGAGGTTATCGCGGTAACTCTGAGAGGAACCACAGCTGGCGCGGACTTTTCGCTACTTCGAGAGTTCATGTCACGGCGCTTCCCTGAGCAATCTGCCCCCAACTTCTTCCGTGATATCTGGCCTGTGCTCGTGGATTTGGCACTGGAAATGCCGGATCTCTTCCCAGAGGGCTTGCTGCCATCGCTGTCAGCCACTAAACCCGCCGAGGTCGTCTTTTCACGCAAGCAGGTGGCTTGCCTCGTTGTCCATCAATTCCTGTGCTCGTTGCCGCCACATCCCTGGTCTACGGAATCCTTCGTTGATCTCAGTCCCTGGTTTTCTGCAGCCAGCAATGTTCACCGGGGTGCCGTGGATGCATATCTCACCGCGTTGTTCACTTACTTTGAAAGAATAGTCGGATATTCTCAGGACAGCAGATCAATTGTCGACTTTGACGTAGAGGAATGGCCCATTACCTTTAGCATGCGAACAATGACAAACGAAAATATGAATCACATACAGGATGCCCAAGCCAGAAACATCATGCTTTCATCTACGCGTGTCCAAGTCGTCAACCTCCCAGAGTCGCGGACAACACTCCGTTTGCTGGGCCATCCCGATGGAGCATGCGTGATCTCTGCGAATAAATGCTTCGGACACGGCCCTTCCGGTACCCAAGAGGAGTTGAATGTGGGCTCCACACCAGAGGCATATCCAGTTGTACTCCTGGCACCGCCCCTCTCCGACCATCAGGTATTGGTCTGTCGGGGCGCCGAGGCAATGGTGTCCATCATTGGATACGGTCGTGATGCGAGGCTTGGTGACCTTCTCCCACAGCCAGCTGCAAACCTCCATGATGGCCTGTGGTGGAGGATGCGGACAATGTTGTTTATGGATGCCCTCGAGCTGGACACCCTGCCAGTGGAGGAAGACTGTCCCATCCCGGACATTTGTCCTTCATCTCGTCTCTCTCGGGATATGATCCTGAAAGCATACAATGCGTTCAGTAGTGGCACCTACGGCCACGTGTCTACCGGCCTTTGGGGCTGTGGCAACTTTGGTGGGAACAGATATGTAAAGTGTATATTACAATGGTGTGCGGCAGCCCTGGCAGGAGTGCCCGAGCTGAGATTCGTCTTCTCTACAGCAGAACAACATGCACTTGGGGAGGAGCTTGCCCAGTTGTCAATGGAGTTACAGGTTAAGTGTGTGTCGGTCTATCGCATGTTTAATATCTTGGTCGAGCTGAAAGACACTTCTGGGGTTGGACCCGATGGCATTTTTACGTATATTGGCCAGAGGATCTCAGCATTAACCTAAGCCAACTGCTATATATTCCAGGCGAGTTTCCACACTAAATTAACAAATCATACCCTCACTAGCCTAAGCGCCAGAAGTTTCCCTCCGTAGTTAGTGCCAGATCCAACTTCTGTAGACTCGCTCTTCCGAGGATAGAGCCCTGGAGCTGTCATCGCCAGCAGAGGGAGACGAACTGGGCCCAGTGGAGCGTCCAGCTGGCTGATTGTGGGCACGGAATTGACTCTGTGAATGACTTCACTGCTGCTGTACAGCTGGCAGTCAAATTGGCTGCTGGATGAAGCATTCCCTGTCACAACATCTGAACGATTCATTCTTGAATAGCGATAAGAGCCGCAGGTAGTTGACTACTGCTAAATTGGTTCTACATTCGTGATCGATTCTATTCACTAGCCAAAGGCCCTTCTCAATTTCCACTGGGCAGTTGGAATAGCCGACCGTATCTGCTCTATGGCTTTCTTGTAATCTTCATCGCTCGCATTTATTTGAGCCTGTTATGCCTTGTTAGTGAATAAACTACCCCGATCGCCACCGGCAGGCTTACCAGAGCCAGATATGTCGGTAGAGTGTCCAGCTTTTCGTCCTGGTATAGAACCTGCCAGAACTTGTATATACCAACTCGCTGCAAGCGCAGAGAGGCGAATTTCTTGGTAAACCAATTCCAAATGGCCCCAGAGTCGGACTCGTCGACGTCGGATGGCGGATTAAATTCCACACTCAGGAGGTCGCAGGCTGCATCTGTACAACACGCGGCATCGTCAGGGTTAAGGCACTGCGCTCCCTTGAAGACTGCAACTTACCAGCCAGGATATCAGATTCGCTCCCACTCGCGACCGGGAGATATCCCCGGATGTCGAATTGCGCAGCATCAAAGCAACTGTGCGTGGGTCCCGGCAAGAGATCGCTGGTGCTTGGAATGCTTGCATAATCCCCCTTGACGAACTGAGGCAGATAGTGGACGGGGTATATTGCAAGGAACGGCCATGGCGTAGTGTCCGTAGCGGCATTGTAGCGGTACGCAGTGCTGACAGCCGATGTCTTCAGCACGTCAGGGACATGGACGCTGTCGTACCAGGCGTGGAAGCCATCAACTGAGATTTTAGGGGGAGAGCGGACCCTCGAGGCCACATAGAGAAGATCTCGGTGAGCTGCCATGGTTGCAATGAAGCAGACTCTAGGATTGCAACTGTTTAAGAGGGGCAGACTGCTGAACAGGCTCAACAGGCCCTCGGTTAACTGTGCGAGCCGACCCCCTCTCATCTGGTGACGATCACTGACTCGATCGCAGGCTAATGCGAGTCTGCGGACGAACTCGGCTAGCAGCTGGGTTGCCAGTGCCTTACTGACTGTCGCTGTTTCTGCTCATGGTAGACAGTCGCTGGCTGCACTGATATATCCGAATTCCGATATATCTGGTCTGTGAGGTTGGATATCCTCATGGTCCGCGAACCCTTCTGCACGATCCAGATATATCAGGTCACGGATCGCATGTTGACAGTAAACGTCAACTCCGACTTCCTCACAGAAGTATAGAATACTTATTCCGTGTAGCTTTGCTGCTTGTTGAACCGCAGAAGTCGAATATGTCCTCATCCTGCCGTAGAGAGTCTTGCCTCTCTCTGTATTGCCCAGACGCGAACCGCAAGGAAGATTTGATGTTTCAACACGGTGTTTCCATGGCATTCCATGTCAGCTCAGTCGACTCACGCCAGCCAAGAACCGGATCGGTCAGTGATAGTGATCGGCCGCAGGCTGGCACAGTATGGATAATGACATCTGCTTGAGTGAAACAGCGGTGAGCAGACTGTCAAAGTTCCAGCTCACATTACAGAAAGTGAGAAGAGGATAGCAGGGACATTAAATCGCCGACATTACGCGGGGGCTGTCGGTAGGATATGGCATGTCGCTATAATTACTGCGCTGACCGAGACATGGCGAATAAACAGACAGAGGCAATATGCAGTGGCTTCACCACCAAGTGCCACTGTGGGGTTTCAGGTAGACTATGCCGATCAAGACCGGTAATCGATTCAATTTCTTTAGTCAAGCTGCAGACTTGACCGTTGTCCAATGGCTGCCTGGCGATGTCTCAGCAATCAAGATGCTGGGCAGTGGCAACTGAGACTCGACCCCCGTGCACCACAGCAGGACCAGCCTGGTCAATACCGATGAAGGTTATAGTGTTATAAGTATGGTAGTATCCATACAGCCTCTTATTATAGCCCGTTCAGGGGAAAGCGCGGAGATCGAGGACCCAATTTCAGGGGAATTGAGACGACAGAATTGAATTGCCGGAGGGGGTTGTATTTTTAGATTCTTCACGAGTCTAAAAGTACTCACTAACTACATACGGTCAATTAATATGGGTTTGGGCGGCGAATTGGCTGGTTTGGTGGAGAGTCCGAGACAGCAGTGGAGATATGAAGTCACAGCGCTGGGCTGTCGATTGCTTCAATCCTTGATCAGAAGCAGCTGGTCAGGCAATTCTCGCGATGTCTCAGTTGCTGTCTTGATTGTCCCTGGTTTCTCGGTCTGTTCTAGTATAAATACCCGGTCCTGCCAGTCTCTTCGTCCCATTCCCATCACATCTATTCTACTTAACAAGCAAACAACATATCGAGCAGCTCAGGCATCAGACATCAGACACTATGAAGTTCAACTATCTCGCCGTCGCTGCCTCCATGGCCCTCACTGCCTCCGCGCAGCCTACTGCCACCCCCGAGACCTTCGGCCTCATTGCCATCCACTCTGGCTCTGGTGTTCACAACTCCGGCTTCAACGCGGCCAAGGGCAGCCTTTTCGCGGGTTTGTCCGGCCAAAACGCTACCTGCGAGGGTGCTGGTGACGGTTTCGCCACCTTCTACCTCAAGGATGAGGCTCTGTTCCTCTACGGCCCCTCTGGAAGCACCCAGCAGGTTTACGTCGACCGCTCCGGCATGGGTACGATCCCAATTTCCTTCTATGTGGACATCAAATGCTAACAAAATGTAGGCCAAGGAAAGCTCGGATACACCACTGGCGACGAGTCTGGCCCTCGTAATGGAGAGCGCACCGGTTGGGCCACCGATAACAGCAACCACCTGCAGTTCGATGGCAAAGGCCTCATTGCCTGCCCCAACAGCATTGGCGGCGCCTACAGCATCTGGGTCTCGGCTGGAGTGGCCAACCCTGGTGGTAACGAGAACTGTGTTGGCGTCGCCGCTCGCGTCGAGAAGAGCACGAAGCCCGTCCCCTGCACTTACTCTTAAGTGGACCTTTGTATTGTCTGTATATAGTATCGCATGATATATATTGAATAGCATGTTCGTATTCGTCTTGAATAAAGGTACTCCCTTGCTGCTACACAATCATACAACCAATGAATAACCTAAGTCACCCTCCACGCTGGTGGACATGCGTTGGTTCTGATTGCCGTGCAGACAAGGCCTTCACAAATCCGAATAATGGCCTTTATACTACAAGGGGGAAACTATAATTGCACTACACGTTGAAGAACGTGGTTCAATGATTGTCATGTTTATCCTCTAGACAATGGTTTCCTTTCATGACAATATAAAGCACTATTAGTATGCAAACCAGAGCCCCAGTTATATAAAGACCGCTGTCTATCATCTATATCATCTATACCAGGTAAGCAGACTGTTCAACAGCCGGTATCTCAACCAGAATTCAATACTTTTAGAAACAATGGTCTTCGGCTTCGGTCGTTCGTCGTCGTCAAAGCGATCTTCCAAGGGTACTGGCTCTTCTCTGAGCAGTGCTTCAAGGTCCTCTGCGTCCTCCAGGTCCAGCTCGAGAACTGGCTGGGAATACCTCAGTGATAGGTCCTCTGGAAGCTCCCAGAACTCGCGAAGCTCCCAAAGCTCCTACTATTCTGGAGCATCCTCTTCCACCATCCGTGGATGTGGATCCTCCCATACGGTTCGGCCCAGGGATCTCACAGCCATTAACATGATGGCATACGACAGGGCCAGCGGGAATCGCCTGGACGATCTGGAGTCTGTCGGTGCTGGCTCATCCATCTCTCAGGACCGATATGGCAATCCTCAACGTCCCAAGAGCAGCAGTCGCAGCCGGTCATACCAGCCCGAGTCAGGCGTGATTTCTCGAAGCTCGACCAGCAGCAGCACCCCCAACATTGTCACTATCCGTCCTAAAGGAGTGCGCGCCGATTCTGACCTAGGGTATGGAACGTCGAATGACTATAGCAGTATCAATAGCCGGTCCTCTAGCAGTGTGCGTAGCCGCTCCCCGGCTCCCAACACTCGATATGCGGTCCCCAAAGGTCTTGGGATGCCTCCTGCCCGGCCCCCGACGAGTTACCCTTACTCTGACCAGCAGTCGGTTAATTCATCTCAGGCATACAGTGACACGTACAGTGACACACCCATGGGCATGGCTATGGTGCCTCAACCACCGTCCAGCTACACTCCTTCTAGCCTTGGCTCCGTGGGTAGTTCCGCTGGAGACTTGCGTCTACATAGTAGCACTAATTTGGCCTATGGGCTTCCTATACAAGGATCCGGGCCATTACCCGTCGCTGGGTCGAACATCACGCTCGTGGTAAACACCATGCCAGGGCCGTATTGCAACCCATGTCCTCCAAAATGTCCTCCACCGTGCTGTGGATTGTCATGCTCTGCATCATGCTGCTCCTTTGGGCCTTGCCATTGATACCATGACATCGCTACAATGGTGTTTCCACGGTGCAGTTTACAAGTATGGGGCCTACAACTTACCTGATGCTAATATCGGCTACATAGAAATGGCAATCAAACGTTTTCTTTTGCGAGCGAGTGTTATAGTAGGCTATTCTGTAGCTTGTAGGCTGTCGGTTGAGGGTTTCCATGGATCGCAGTCGCCTCTTGCATCATGCTTATGCCAGGCTTCTCACCACGAAAAAATGTATCCCTGCTTCATACCATCATCCATTGCCTTCAACATGGTTTATATGCACTATATTGCTTCAAGGCCCGTTAACTCGGCAACAAACTCGCCCCATTTCGTATGGGTCGCGATATCCCCCGATCGCAACACGGCCGATACGCTCTTTCGCATCCTGCAGGAGAACAAGGGAAAGGCCTTGTCTGTACCCAGTCTAACACTCGATCACACATGTCTGACGCCCTTGGACATCGAGAGGCTCTCGCCAAAGCTCTGGGTGCTGCAAATCAAGGAGAGCCCTGAAAATGTCGCTGCGCTGGGGACGGCTGTGTGCCCGCATACCTCCCACGACGTCGATCCAGCATTCGACCCTGTCACTGGAAAGATGTTTCTCTATTCCATGGGGAACTATCCTGACCTGGGCGCCAAACTGCTTCCTGCAACCGGCGACATGAACCATGACTATATCTCGGGGTACAGCTTCTTCATCCGCCGCCGGGGCTATCCCAGCACCTACTGGTACTGCTGCGGCAATCTCATCTGCCTCTCTACTACTAAACGCTCACGATTCGTCGTCTCTATCGCAGACAGAGGCAATGACCAGTGGAATTCTTCGCCGAAGACGCCGATGGTCGATCATGACGAGGTGTCGATTCAATGGATCGAGCGCGACAGGTGTAGAGAAGTCGGCGTTGACGAGAATGAATGGCTGACCGTCAAGGCAAAACGCCCCAAGGCCTTCCAGTTCTCCGACTTTGAGGGCCGGTTCTACTTGGGGAATGAAGGAACTCTCGACAATCCAGACCCTTTGAGGGCAGGGACCACGCTAGATGTGGTGTGCTGGTCATCTCCCCCGGTGTTTCAAGACAGCTTTGAGCTCTGCTATGGGATGCCTCCCTACGGTGATTCTTAAGTATCCTATAGTCCAAATCCCTCTGTGCCGGCATCAGGAGTCTCGCGCGGTGTTTAGGTGCTCTTGAGGGTAATCTGTCGTCGAAGCAACAGTCACTCATGCAATATCAGATAGTTGCCATCCATAATGGCACATAATACTCACAGGCAGTGTGTCAGTTCATCAATATATTACTGATTCCTTCATGTAGCGCAGTGACTCATCAGGTACCCGGATATATATCCTGCGTAACCCTATATAGCATATACGTTAGGAATACCGCGTCAAGCCACTAGGGGCGTCGACGGTCCCCAGAACAATAAGTCTCCGTCAATTTGCCTCTTCCTGGATGTTTATCTAGTCAGCCAAGCGTGGATATCTGGAAATTCGCCGGTCCAGGCCCACCATGGCTAACTCCACGGTCCCCAATCTCATTTCGCCCTGTGCTGGTGTCCACCAGATCCAGCCAGTCAAACAGTCGTCTTGGCTGCTCGATACAAGCCTTCGTTCAGCCGAACAAGCTTTGATTCAGGCTAGCCAAGCATGCGGGTCTCGAAATTTCTGTCCGACTCTTATCATCGGCGACCCCGTGCGAGACACAACAGCACCGGTCAACTGCCAGAGGAATACTGCAGCAGAGGTAGGATACCAAAGGTATTGAGGGATCCTACTGTTCATGTAAACCTGTCGGCAGACTCCCATCACAGTCAGTGTACTTGGCCTGGCATAACTATAAGCTAAGAGTGAATGGCGGTTGTTATAACACAGGCAGCTTGACCCCAAGGTCCTCGTGCTAGAAAAGACTGCCACAAGGTGGATTGACCGGCGCGATAAGTATCCCACTTCAAATATCTCCTATAAGTATGAGCATCAGCCCCGAGACCAGATTCCGTATGCGAACCCTCCAACAAGTGCTCTCTCCCGTCACTTCCTTACCCACTACGATGTCTTTCAACCCCAACGCCGTGGACTTGGACTCTGCGGACCCAAGAGATATTATCTGTTACCTGAACGCTGGCGAGAACGACTACGATGGGCGCCTGGGTGCTCGCATCTCTGCCATCTTCGTCATCTTCGTCGTGTCTACGGCGGTTACCTTCTTCCCTGTGCTCGCCAAACGCAACCCCCGACTGCATATTCCCCAGTATGTCTACCTGTTCGCCCGATACTTCGGTGCAGGTGTCATCGTCGCCACCGCGTTCATCCATCTACTCGACCCCGCATACGACGAGATCGGCCCAGCAAGCTGCGTGGGCATGACGGGCCACTGGGCAGACTACTCTTGGTGTCCTGCAATCGTGCTCGCCTCGGTGATGGGCATCTTCCTGTTGGACTTTGGAGCTGAACGCTACGTGGAGGTCAGATACGGGGTCTGCAGGGAGGATCCGGAGACGTTCATGACCAGCACTGCGGACAACGAGGAGGCTGTACGCGCGCAGGTCGATCGCACTGCGAAAAAGACGGACGATGAGCTCGAGGCTCGGTCGCTGGATTCAGGCTGGATTGAACGCTCCTTCAGGCAGCAGATTGCAGCCTTTCTGATACTCGAGTTCGGCGTCATCTTCCACTCCGTCATCATCGGCCTGAACCTGGGGGTCACTGGCGAAGAGTTCCCAACCCTATACCCCGTGCTGGTCTTCCATCAGTCCTTCGAGGGCCTGGGTATCGGAGCCAGGATGTCGGCCATTCCATTCCGCAAGGGTAGCTGGCTTCCATGGGTACTCTGCCTGCTCTACGGCCTCACTACTCCGATTTCCATTGCCATTGGACTCGGTGTGCGCACGACCTACAACTCCGGGTCATACACTGCGAACGTCGTGTCGGGCGTCCTCGATGCCATCTCAGCGGGCATCTTGATTTATACAGGTCTTGTCGAGCTGCTCGCCAGGGACTTCCTCTTCGACCCGCATCGCACTCAGGATAACAAGCGCCTGGTGTTCATGGTGGTTTCGCTGCTGTTGGGAACGGGCATCATGGCGCTCCTCGGAAAATGGGCATAATTATGCCAATAACACTTGATATCCAGCTTATACTTTGCAAGCAGGGACATTGTCTGAGCCCGATCATCTGGCAGTGTCTCTACGCATACTCCCTCTCATCTCCTGAATTCGTTGTCAGTGCACTCTTTCGATTCATCCACATTCATTACCAATAGTATCGTTAATAATAAGCAATAAAACTTTTGGATTTTTTTTAAGGCGTCCACATCTTGTAGACCTAGTTGTCGTAGCTCCTAGGCTCGACCAGATTGTTCATCGACGAGGAATCTGCAAAGTCTCCATCATGCTTTGGCGTATCCCGGCGTCGACTGACTGGGGCCTGTGGTGCAGCATTCTGTATCTTGGACAGCGAGGAAAGAGGCATCGACGACATGTAATTGCTCAGAGATCCACTGATGTGCTTCAGCCACACGGCCTTCAACGAAGGTGCGTTTGCTGCCATGATCGCCACATTCAACTCTGCTGCCGATATTATCACCATCTTTCCGAGGATATATGGGAAATCTGGGTTCACAGCGAACTCGTGGAGGACGATGAGACGAAGGCAGGACACGATGACGGCGACGCTTCCAACGGAGACGACAGCAATAACACCCAGGCACCGCGAGAGACTAGGTTGCATATTCCACAGGGGCCGGATGGGGAGCGAGAGGATTATGAAGTCAGTGAGGATGTTCTGCAACAGTCCATCAATGGTTAGCTCACAGTGTACGAAACAGGGCCAGGTTATACCAACGAAGCGGGCACATAATAAGTGACTGCGACAGACTGCATCAGGGTACATTGTCGGGTTCCAGAACGCTGGCAGAGGACGACACTGGAGGCAGTACAAGAGCCAAATGGCCACCGCAACCGCGACATTCAGGGCCATGGTGGCATAGACGCTGTAGGTGAACGAGATCTTATTTGCGAGCCGGAGATAGAACTGGAGGAAGGCGTGTTTGATGATGAGGTGCATCCAGATGTACAGGATTTCCTCTGCAAAGAGAAGCTTCACAAGGAGAGTTAGCGACTGACTGTTAACTGTCTACCAAAGTGCAACTCTACCTTTCGGAGCATGGCCTGATGCTCCATCGGGACCTCAGTCGTATGTCTATTTAGAGCTTTGATTAGCACGTCGCCCATGTGGCGCAGTGATGAAGGGCTTATCACGAACAGTCCACCGCCATGGTATAGAAAGACGCAGAATAAACCCTGCTGGGCCGTATTGAATGCCTGAGTGAAGGTGAGAGGCTTGCTCCTGCACGGGAAGAGAAGGAGAGCATACAAACACAAACAGCATCCACCAGTCGTCTCTGCCAAAGCTTTTGATGATGCATTCCGCGAGTACATACGAAGGATTGCCGTGGTCAGGGACAACGCAAAGAACGCAAAAGAGACGCCATATGCAGATGGCTGGAGAGTCTCGAACATTTCAACATGGGGGCTGCTCAACCCGTCAACAACTCCACTCCTGTTGGCCCCGGTATTGCGGGAAAGGGGGCATTTTATACTGCTGAACGTACTGATCCGCAATAATTCAACCCACATGGGCCCCTGGTCTCAAGGCCCCTGCAGGGTCCGACACCTGGTGTCTGGGCCAGCCACTCGCTGGCTGACAGGCCATGACAATAGAAACACTAGCAGCTCGGCAGTTTCGCGGCCTTCGTCCGGAAGCACGATGGAAGCCGTTGTTGCAGATCCATATTCCAGTTGGAGATGCCCGATCCATCGCCCGCTGCTAAGAGCCCAGACAGCCAATGGCTCTGCACCGGATTCAAACCGATTGCCGAGATGACAGGGGCTGGAGACGGTTCGGTCCATGCTCCACGCATGTCAGCACAAGTCTTCTTGAAGTCTGATTGCTGACTCGTTCTGGTGGGCTCGTGGGGAAGTCCTCGCATGTCGGGGAGATGACCGTTGCTGTGCATTAAAAACACACCGTCCCCTCATTCCCCTTTCCTCGCCCAAGGTCCAATTTTTCGAAAAGGCTGAGGGAAGATATTCAGGGTTTACTGAGGGGAATTCCCGTCAGTCGATCCGTTGCAAGATGGGCGCCACGACCATCCTGGTGGCCTTCCTCAGCCCCGAGCCCTCGCGAACTGCGCTCACTTTTCTTGCCCTTGGAGCAGCTTTCCACCAATTCATCCGCGTGGGCGAGATTGACAATCGGCTCAGGCTTCTGGCAGCTTTTTACTTGGGAGGGTTCCTGGCGTTGTGCACTGGCTACGTCCACCTCTTCTCGTTCAGCTGGCCCCGGGCACTTGCAGGTGCGATTCTGGCCTCGCTATTCTTCAATTGTGGACTCACAGCCAGCATCGTGCTCTATCGATCCTTCTTCCACCGTCTTCGTCGCGTTCCGGGACCATGGACGGCCAAGGTGACCCGGCTCTTCGCGGTGACTCAGGCCACAGAGCGGACGCAGTACCATCTCGACCTGGAGACAATGCATCGCAAGTACGGGGACTTTGTGCGCACAGGGCCGAGAGAAATATCCATAAATCGACCATCGGCAGTTAATCTCATGGCCGGGCCTCAGTCGCCCTGCACGAAGCCGACCTGGTACAGCCATGTCTCCGATGATAATACCCAGATCTCGCTCAACTCAACCCGCGACCCGGACGTCCATCGTCGGCGCCGGAGAGCATGGGACCGGGGGTTCAGCATGAAAGGTACCAAATCAAATGGCCTGTAATTGCGGTCTCAAGCTAATCCTTGTGATACAGCATTGCCCGTATACAAGCCCCGTCTTCAGCACAAAGTGGACGTCCTTATTTCGCAGATCCGATCCCGTATCGCAGAACCCTTGAATATCTCCCAGTGGACGATGTACCTGGCGTTTGACGTTATGGGCCTGGTGGGGTTCTCCAAGGATTTCCAGCAGCTCGAGGAGGGCACTGAACACGCGGCGATCAAGGAGCTACACGGACAGATGCTGATTCTGGGGATCTTGAAGCCAGTGCCCTGGGTCTTGACGATACTCGGTGCCATTCAGGGGCTTGTTGGGAACTACGGGCAGTTCATGACCTACTGTGCCGACCGTATAGCAGAGAAGAAAGCTGTAGGTTACCGTGCATGTCAAAGCCTACTGAGCATCAGTTCTGACCCGCGTAGGAATGGAAAGCTTCAGAAAGCAAAGTCCCCAAGGACGTCATTTCCTGGCTGCTCAAGGCCATCGACGAGAAGGACCAGTCAGCTCGTCCTGGGGAGCAGTCGCTTAATGAGGACGGTCGACTCATGATCGTCACAGGGAGGTAGGACTTCCTCTCCATCTCTCTTGCTCGCTCGCTGTCTTTCTTGGGCTTGGGCTGATACTGGCAGTGACACCACCGGCGTGGCTTTGGCCAACTCGTTCTACTATTTGGCCAAACATCCGGCAGTGTATAGGAAACTGCAGTCAGAGCTCGACGCGACTTTCTCAAAGGGCGCTCCAGCGTCTGAGTTCAGTAATGAAGCTCTCCGCCGTCTGCCATACTTGGAGGCTATCATCAACGAAACACTTCGCCTGAAGCCTGCCGTCCCCAGTGGACAGCCCAGAGAGACTCCTCCTCAAGGGCTCCAAGTCGACGAGATGTGGATTCCAGGGAATACAATTGTCGTTGTGCCCCAGTACGTGATCCAGCGCGATGATCGCTACTTTCCATCTGGGGCAGACTTCATCCCTGAACGATGGCTCGACGCGAAGGACAAACTGATCACGCATGAAGAAGCCTTCTTCCCCTTTCAGATAGGTAAGGAATCTATCAAAAAAGATTCGGGAAATTAAGCTCATCATCTCAGGTCGTTACGCTTGTGTAGGGAAGCAGCTGGCTCTTATGGAGATGCGGCTTGTGATAGCACGAATTGCGTCTCAGTTCGATCTCTCATTTGCGCCTGGCGAGACTGGCGAGGCATTTGATCGCGATGCTAAGGACACATTTACATTCACTGTTGGGTCGTTGATGCTGGAGTTCCAACCGCGCGAGTAGTATAGTATATAGTCAACGGCGGGAAACATACCACAAGGCATATAATATTATAATTTGATTAGCAATCCTAATGTTCAATAGCTGCTATGAACTCTTTCTTTTATCTTCACTGGCTTTCTTAACTTCATCGCCGATCTTCTCCAGCTCTTCCTTTCGCTTCTTCAGCACTTCCTGCAACTCACCCACGGTGTCTTGCAGAACTCTCTCTGCATCCTTGCCCTTCTTTGCGCCGGCGGCTTGCAGGGCCTGCAGCTCGTTGAGCACGTCTGAACCACCTGGAACGAGGCTGGACCACTTGTCGAGATCAATTCCTGCCGTATCCTTGACCTGGCCTGCTTTCTCCTTGACATATCTCTCCACCTCGTCTGTCTTGCCAGAGGAGGCACTGTCTCTGACCAGGGACCAGAGCTTCGAGAAGTCGCCCGTTTTCAATGCGTCGGCGTTGTCCTCCACCAGCTCCTTAACTTTGGGGTTCTTGTCGAGATACTGCTTGTATTCATCCATCCCCTTCTGCCACGCCTCGTCGCCCAGTTTCTGCAGTTTGTCTCGCTTCTCCTGCACCAGCTTCCGGATTTCTTCGACAGACGCCATTCCGGCGCCTCCCTTGATAATGTCGGTTATCTGCTGCCATGTCCGGTTTACCTCCTCCTTTGCCTGCGGCCCGTAGGCATCGCCCATCTCCTTCAGCTGATCAAAACTGCCGCCAAGCTTCTCCTTGAGCTTGGGGTGGTTGTTGATGATGTCTCCCGCAGCATCGCCGGACAGGTCTAACAACCGGTTGAGGTGTTTTTGTAGGATCTGAAGCCCCTGGAACGCAGTGTCGACATCTGCACTACCTTTCTTCGATAGATCCTTCATCTCAGCATATGCGTCCCGGATGATGGAGTCGAACTCGCCTCCATGCTTTCCCTTGACCGTTTCCAGGTCGTCGAATAGAGCGTCGATATGACCGCGGGCGCCCGGAATGAAGGCAGCATAGCTCTTGGTGGTATCACGGAACCACTGCAAAGCCTTGTCGGGTTCAGGGGCATTCTTGATTATGCCTTGTTTAAGTGAGTCGGCATAGTTCTGAGTCTCTTTGACAGTCCTGACAGCTGCTTTGGCTCCGGAGACCTGGTACCAGACGTAGCCTGCACCAAAGGCCACTGCGCCGCCTGCAATCCCCCCGACCAAAGCGGAATTGGTTCCCCCTGAGGCCTGAGCTGGAGACGTAGACTGGAACCGCGCGTTGGGGCAGCCGGTTTTGGGTTTGTACAGTTGGCAGCGGCCACAACGGGCGGCGGTTCTGAACATTCGACTGAACATTGTGAGCGATTTTTAAGATTCGAAAAGTGAGGGGAGAGAAATTCTTGATGTGTGGTTTTGCCCGGCGAGTCCTGTCACTCTGACGTCTTCGATCTGGGAAGCCCAAACTGTTCCTGGGCTGCAACTGACGTCGACCACAATCGACTGTTGATTCGTTGACCGAAGCTTGTGCACTTGTACAGACGTAGACTGCGTAAATAACTAGTTATATGACCGTTGGCTCAGACAGCCTCCCAGTCCATCGCGTCGACGATAAAGTCCCAGTCCATGGTGGACGAGCCCCGACCGTTGCGAAGGGTGTCGTGCTGCGCTGCATGGGATTCAGCCAGGCGATAGGCATCCTCCAGGCCATCGAAAATCTCGGCGATGATTCTGTCGAGATCGTAGCTGTCCAGAGGCATCACTCGGTCGCCTCTCATTGCTGAGCGCCAGTCGTCGCGCTCCTTCTCCTCCTGCGACAGATCCGCCGTCTTCCAGCGATTGCGCAGCTCCTTTGCGCGTTTCAGCTGCCTGAATCTCTCGCCAGACCCAAGAATATCGCGCAGAGGGCTTGTTTTCGCTTCCAGCGCGTCGAGCACGTTCGCGTGGTAGCTGTGCGAGCCCTGGTAGCGCGGCGCCGAGGAGACCGTGATGTCAAACACGCCCAGTAAGTGCACCAGGGCTCGTTCCAGAAGCGCATAGTATTCGTGGAAGTCCAGTTTAAACATGATCTCGGCGTGGGCAAGGTCAACGGCCGGCTCGTGCGTGGTCGCCAGGCGATAACCCTCTGCCAGGAATGGGAGCTTCCACTTCAGGCGCGCCACAATTTTCATAAAGCGCGACAGCTCTTCAGAGGCAGAGAGCAGGCCTCGTCGGTCTGGCGGTTTCTGGCTGTCGCTGGGGGGCGGGGCCCAGCGTGATTTGGACAGACTGGACATGTTGAAAATAAACGAAGAGAAGAAAAGAAACAAAAGGACGAAAAGGCGAAAGACGAAAGACGAAAATAGACCAAACAACCAGCCACAGCACCACAGCACCGCCACAGCACCAAACACATTCACAGTGCATTCACTGCAGGAGAGTACTGCTACGCAGGAGATACTGTTCTGCATTGACTTTTTACTTATAGTGAAGGGAGGGTATGGAATTTACAGTTGTATATCCTGCGAATTGTGCAGTTTGGCTGAAGCTGCGAGTTACCGTCTCAAGATATATAACAACATCTACTACAAGCACGACAGATCTACTCATGATTCGAGTGCTACAGCCGGTGGTTCCGTGCAGCCAGGGCAGTCACCGACGCCAGCAGAGAGCATACAAACGAGAAAACTGTCCTTATTAGCCAGGATACCTCTTGGTACCATCAATAGACTTACCGTAGGCATGCTTCAGACCGGCAACATAACTGCCAACAACGATCTCGCGCAGACTTCCTGTCAGGCCCGCAATGTAGTCAATACTCGACAGCGCGCGGCGAATAATCTAAACACGACTTAGTATGATCGGTTTGTCGATATTTCATCGGGTCTGCTCACCTTGTGTGCACCTGGCCCATGCAGCTGGCTCTGTAGTTGTCTCTTGAACACGGTTCCCAGCAGCGTATAGTTAGACGTGATCCCCGCCGTCATCGAAAAGCTGATCAGCAGGAGAAACCCTCCAGTGGCCATTGCAATCTCCTCCGGCTCCAGGAAAGCTGTCATGCTCACGAATGCGGCAGACGATGCAGACCCACTGCCCACCCCCCCAAAGACTATATACAGAGACTCCCAGGGTCCGGTATGTCCGTTCCATCGAGTAAGCTGCAGTACATACGAAATACACGCGATGAGCCCTGCAGCAACCAGCACCGGTTTATAGTTGCCGGTACTTCGAATAAACATTCCAGACGCCAGGCCACCTATGGTATTACCGGCCACAGCAGGAATCAGATGTGCTCCGGCAACAGTGCTGGATGCTCTCGCGGTCACTTGGAAGTAGAGCGGCACAGTAAACATCATGCCCACCTGCGCGGCAACCTGCAGCGAACTGACCAGGTAGCTGGCCACGACATTTGGCCGTCGGAGGATGTGGATGTTGAATATCGGCTCGACGGCTACATGGAGCTCAGTGTAGATGAACAGTGCAAGCGCCAACGCCCCGCAGAGGGAGAGGACTGCTGTGGGCAGCGATGCCCAGGCGAATGACTTCCCACCCTGGTCGAGAAGGAGGATGATGGCAGCAATGCTCGTGGCCAGCAGGAACGCACCCCGGAAGTCGATGCGGCTAATTCTGGATGCATCGGAGGGTGCACTGGAAGCAGGCCGAGCGAGCTTGAGCTGAATGACAACAAGAACGGCAGCAAACCCGAGCAACGGGGCTTGCAAGAGAAACGCCCTTTTCAGCAATCAGTATATAGAGTCAATATCATCCCACTTCCACCTACCATCGCCACCCAATGGTGTCTGTCAGGACTCCGCCAACGGGGCCTCCAATGCTGCGGCCGAGGGTCATGGACACATTCACAAAGGACCGCCATTTTGCGACTTCTCGTTTAGACACGATGTCTAGAGAGTCAGTAGATGTCGCACCGACACAGCTAGAGAACGTACCGGTGATGATGATGGAACTCATGGTCATCACTCCAGCACCGCCAATGCCACTGATAGCACGTCCCACGATGACAATCCACATATCTGGTGCGAGTCCACTGCAGGATCGATGAGTTTGCCAATTCATACCTGAAGGCCAGGCCAGAAACTCACCAAACAACACAGCCCAGGGCAAGGAAGAAGTACGACCAGAGAAGAAGCGGTTTTCGGCCATAGACGTCACTCAATTTACCATACTGCACTTGTCAATATCACTCTGAGGTCAACAAGGCATACATAACTGACCATCGGCTGCGCAACACACACTCCGAGCGTGTACCCCGTAGACAGCCATGCGGCGCCCTGTAGACGATTGAACTCGGACGAGATGCGCGCCGTCGCGGTCATGATGAGCGTCGAGTCGGCATTAGAAATGAACTCGCCTGATTATCACTAACTTAGCATACTGTTCCCTTGTTTTCTTAGGGCGGCTGGTACCTAGAAGGAGCACGGCAATGATGCTGCCCACGCTGGTTGATACCTCGACTGGCGGCTTAGACGGACTCAGCGGTGCGACATCGTTCTCTTCGTCGACGACAGCATGGCTCAAGGCCGGCTGCACCAGCGGCGTTGTCTCGTCGGGGGCGGCCATAGTGCAGAGAGTCGTGTAACAGGCATGGCCTCAGCGTCAGCACGAAAAGCTCAAAAGATCAAAGGCATCGGGAATCGGGCATCGGCGATAAGCATGAGTCAAAGGAAATCAAGCACGCCATCTGAGCTGGAATGGGGTTGAAATCTGGATGTCGGTGCATCAGTCGGGCTAAAATGGCGACATTCTCCACCGGGAGAATAAAGTGGGAATAGCTTCACTTCGCCAACAACTCCAACATTCTTCACCACCTCTCCATCATCAATTTCCATCATGAAATTGATTACTCCCGCATTATGCGTCTTACCATTACTTGCAGCAGCAGATGCGACCGGCCTTTTCCCCGAGCTGCAGCAAATCCTGGGGCCAGGCCCAACACAGCCAGCGCCCAACTTCATCTTCATCATCACCGACGACCAGGACCTGCAGCTCGAGTCGGTTGATTACATGCCCTCAACAATAAAACATCTCAAGCAAAAAGGCACCGTCTTCCGCAACCACTTCGTCACCACCGCGCTGTGCTGCCCGTCGCGCGTCAGCCTGTGGACCGGCCAACAGGCCCATAACACAAACGTCACCGACGTCTCTCCGCCATACGGTGCGTCTCTCCCTCCAGGTCATGAACTCTAGCTCACTGTCTGCCAGGAGGCTATCCCAAGTTCGTTGACTGCGGCTTCAACGACGACTTCCTGCCGGTTTGGCTGCAGGACGCGGGGTACGACACGTACTATACTGGCAAGCTGTTCAACGCCCACACTGTCGAGAACTATCACAGCCCCTTTGTCAACGGCTTCAATGGCTCCGACTTCTTGTTGGATCCCTTCACCTACTCTTACCTGAACAGTACCTACCAGCGCAATCGCGACGCCCCCGTCAGCTACGAGGGCCGGCACACCACTGATGTCATCACCGAGAAGGCGCTGGGATTCCTAGAGGATGGCCTTGGTGGCGACAGGCCCTTCTTTCTCACTGTTGCTCCGATCGCGCCTCATTCCAATGTCGATGGGGGAACCTTCGAAGGAGAAGGTCCTCCAGTAATGACCGAGCCCATCCCTTTGGATCGCCACGAGGCTTTGTTCAGGGATGTAAAGATCCCTCGCACAGAGCATTTCAATCCAGACCAGGTGAGAATACAAAAGCACTCGTTGTTGTCCATTATTAACAGTTTCAGCCGAGTGGAGTCAACTGGGTCAAGACCCTCCCTAAACAAGACCAAGCGACAGTCGACTACCACGATCATTTCTACCGCCAGCGACTGCGTGCTCTGCAGGGCGTGGACGAGCTTGTCGACGCGCTGGTTACGCGTCTTGAGGCCAGCAGCCAGCTCGATAATACATACATCATCTACACCTCCGACAATGGCTACCATATTGGCCAACACCGATTGCCGCCAGGGAAAACCTGCGGGTTTGAAGAAGATATCCGCGTGCCTTTCTTGATCCGCGGCCCTGGTGTACCAAGCAATAAGACTGAAGATGCAGTCACGACGCACATCGATCTCGCGCCCACCATCTTCGACCTTGCGCAAATTCCACTGCGCGAGGACTTTGACGGGACGCCGATTCCGCTGCCTGGTGCGTCGGATGCCGTCCATCCACGCCATGAGCATGTTACTGTTGAGTACTGGGGGCAAGCTTATCTAGAGGGGGAGAAGGGTGCCTTAAGTACGCAAGCAAACGTCGACTGTGGGATCAATTGCTGACAACCTCACCAGGCAACCCCGCGAAAGTGCCAGTTTTCACTAACAACACCTACAAATCTGTGAGAATCATCAGCGAGCAGTATAACCTTTACTATTCCGTGTGGTGCTCCAACGAGCATGAACTTTACGACTTGACGGTGCGATACCTACGAATAGCCCCGCCATATGTAGCCTGCTGACTCGTTCCAGACCGATCCGTACCAGTTAAACAACCTCTATACAAGAGAGGCTGTACATGAAAGCGATGCCAGTATCCTGGGGCGTAGTCTCTCTCAGGTAGTCGCCAGACTAGACTCCGTCCTCCTCGTCCTCAAGTCCTGCAAAGGCACCACCTGCATCAAACCATGGAATGTCCTACACCCAGGCGGCAATGTGCAGAACTTGCAGGATGCGCTGAGCCCACTGTATGATGCGTTCTACACCAGCCAGGCCAGAGTCTCGTTCGATCGCTGTGAACATGCATACATCCCCGATCTAGAGGGACCACAGAAGGCGCTGCCATTTTCGAGATATGGGCTGAATTGGGATGTTTGGACGTGATATAAAACACATTTACATAGATGTATATAGAAGAATAACGGCTGACCCGGTTCACATCCGCGTATGTCCATCCAGATTGGAAACGAGTTTTGGATAATAGCAGCAAGACTTGACAGCTAAGGCCAGACCCACGGTAGAGACCCACATTCTAGTCTATATGAGAGGATAGTACGAGTCAAGCATGGCCCCAGCATGCTAAGCCTAAGCGAGGAGACAATGGAGTCGCTCATGATGGCGCCATAGCTCCATATGTTGTCGACAACATCGCACGGTTCCTGGCATGTCCGCAATCAACGTAATCTCTGTTAACTCGGTAGAGTCCGCAGATAATGCCGGCATATATAAACTCGCGTGGTTAGCCGGAAATGAAAAAAAATGACCTGTCAGACTGGACCAGGTAACCATGGCTTCAATCAAGGAGCCCAAGTTGGACATCGACATCCTTGACAGCGAGAAGAGTGCCATTGTCATTGGAAATAGTGACCACAATGGCTTGGATATCGCCACCAGTCCCATTTCAAAGGACTGGGATGACAAGGAGGAGAAGAAGCTCAAGCTCAAGTACGTCGCTGGTGCTGGCCTGCTCTATGCAGTTACTGATGCGCAGCAGAGTCGACATGATCCTCTTGCCCATACTTGGCCTCGCCTTCTTCGCTCTCCAAATCGACAGAGGGAACATCAGCGCTGCCCTGACATCCACAATCACCGAGGACCTCAACATCACCACAAATGAAATCAATGTCGGGACTCAGCTGCTGTCGGCCGGCATAGTTATCAGTGAGATTCCATCTAACGTGATCCTACAGCGCGTTGGTCCGCAAAGGTGGCTGTCAGCACAGCTCTTCGCCTGGGGCTTGGTGGCCACATTCCAGGCATTCGTCAAGTCGTACCCGGCATATCTGGTGACAAGACTGCTGCTTGGTCTCCTCGAAGGTGGGTTTATCCCGGGCGCGCTCTACTACCTGTCAACATGGTACAAGAGGCAGGAGAGCAGTCTTCGCATAACCCTCTTCTTTTTCGGGCAGATGTTTTCAGGCGCAACGTCCAGTCTGATCTCAGCTGGGCTTCTGACACTGTCTGGTAAGGGCGGCCTCGCTGGCTGGAGATGGATTTTCCTCAGTAAGTCACCTTCCACCTCACTGTCGGCCGAGCTAACAAAACTATTAGTCGAAGGAGTCATTACGCTCGGTATTGGGGTTGTATTCATCCTCTTGGTGCCGCCCAAGGCCGGAGATGGACGACCGCTCGTCAGCGCTGGTCGCTGGAGTTACTTCACTCCTCGCGAGTCTCATATCGCTATCCAGCGCGTCCTCCTCGATGATCCAAGCAAAGATGCTGGCCATCTCAAGATTACTGCGCGCGACATCTGGAATACTGTGCGACAGCCCCGGATCATCCAGCACTTTTTCATCACGCTGGTTGCTATGTCTGGGTTCCAGGGGTTGACACAATACACTCCAAGCATGATCAAGTCGTTCGGTTTCAGCGCAGTGCGAGCGAATGCTTTGGCGTCGGTGCCGGTGTATTGTGGCATGTTCTGGATTCTGATACTGTCGTATCTCAGGTAAGAAAACCTCGCCTCCTGTTCCCAGCCATGAGGAGTTGAGCTGATGCGAAGAAAGCGACAAACTCGGCCACCGTGGCCCCTTCGTCCTCATTGCCATCACATGGAATGTAATCTCATATGCCTGTCTGCGAGTCACTCCGGCCACTGCAGACCGGTGGCATCGGTATGGAGTCATTGCAGTCGCCAATGTTTCCTACGCTAGTATGCAGTAAGTGAATACCCAGCATCAATGCCGTTGCAAAACGTACCAGACTCGCTAATTAAGTCTCTAGCGTTCTAAATATCGGTTGGTTGTCAGTATACTGCAAATCGCCGCAGGAACGCAGCGTCGCCATGGCGTAAGTTCCTTCCATCCGTCCCCATTCCCAACAGGATGCTAACTCCAATTAGACTGGTCATCATGGCCGCAAACTGCGCAGGGATTTCTGGGTCACAAATCTTTCGTACTAGCGATAAACCTCTGTATCACCATGGTTTGACAGCCATCTGTGCCCTCGCCGCGGCATCGTGGGTGCTGGCTCTGGCATTGAACCTGCAGTCCTATTTCTGGCATCAGCGGGGGAAGCCAAAGGTTTCGTCAGTCAATGCATGAGATATTGCGTCTAAGCTGTGTAATAATGGCATGAATTGGTGTCGTATTCTCATTTAGATACAATAAACAGCGTCTCGGATATCTTCATTCGAACTCCGCGTCGTCATCGTAAACTCCAAATCGGGCCCTTAAGTGACACGTCCGACCGTAGTATTCATTGTTTTATCATCCCTCCTTCACTCCCCTATCCTTGTTCTGGCACGGACAACGGTATAACAGTGGACCAATCGCTCAGAGCTCGTCTTTGGGAACGCCCTCGATCTCAACCAACTCGGTGTCGAAAATCAATGTCGCGCCCCCTGGAATTGGTCCAACGCCTCTATCGCCGTATCCATACTCGGGAGGAATCGTCAACTTCCTCTTCTCGCCAATGCACATATCCAGGAGGCCCTGGTCCCATCTGCTCTGCGTCAGCTGTCTATGTCCTCCACCATCCACACCAAGCAAGACTTACCCCTTAATGACCCTCCCAGAGCCAAGCTTGAAGCCCAAAGGTGTACCCCTGTTGTAGCTCGCGTCGAATTCGGATCCGTCAGAGGCAAGTTTGCCCCTGTAGTGCATCTTGACGTTGTCACCTTTCACGGTCTTGCGGGTGCACTCGACGGCGTGGGTGGTTTCAATGCCGAGGTCGGCGGCTTGCGTGAAGCCCGCGAGGGCGAGGGCGACGATCGTAGTGAGGGTTGGGAAATGCATTGTGTATTTTGTGAAGATGGTAGAGGAGAATTGGTGGTTGTTCTTCCGTTGCTGTTGCGGTCAACGTGGTGCGGAGAGGTGCGATGGCCTGAACGTGGGGGCATCAATCTGGATGACTCAGCGGGATAGCATTGTCTTGTACAAAGTATGAAGACTGAGCCTAGTCGAGGTGGGTTTATATGATTTTCTGGGTTCTGATTCTGAGTAACTGAAACAGAGAATGTTGTCTTGATCTTTAAAAGTGTATATTGCTGCCCTGTAGCAATTCACCCCACTGTTGAATGCACAGCCGTCGGTAATTAACAACTTGATATAACCGACGGCCATTCGAGGCTTACAGGTGCTATTCGGAGTCAAAACGAAAAAATATGCTGTATTATGTCCATTAAAAGGCTATCTATAACTCTATTTGCTTTGCGTATTAACAGTGACTGTGTATGTGCACGTCCCTTCCAGATCTAACTATATACCACACAGCATACCCGATGACGGAAAAGTCTGGATGAAACATTGTGATCCCATAGAATTCCCTACTCTGCCTTTTTCGCCCTTGGAACTCTGAAAAGTTTGTAGAAAGCAATAGCCGCAATCGTGTTGAAGATGATATACACCCACAGGAGCCCAAAATCGCGCCACCGATTGCCGTATTCAATGCTCACGCCGCTCAGAAAATCGTTGGTACGCTCCAAAGCGCAGAAGTTGCACGCCTCACCACCGATGGCATCCGGATTGATCACATATCCCCCATTGTTAGCTCGGTAGCTTTCCATATACCCCCCGCAGGTCATTCCAGACGGGGTCGAGAAAGACAAGACCTCGTTATCGGCACAGTGCATGGGAGCATCTCCGAGAGTCGCAGACAGCAAGGACGATACCAGATAAGTCATCGGGTTGACGCGGTACATGAAGATCCAAAACCGAGGAAGGGCATCTGGACCGGCGAGAATGCCGCAGAAAGCGTACATCATGATGAACAGGATATTAGACAGGGCCGATGCGATCTCCGCACTGTCCATGCCGGCGATCAACATATGCGCAAATGAACTGGCAAAAAGGAAAGCCGCCCATATGATGAGCATTGTCAGAGTGCTGCGGTAATGCACTGTGTCTGTATACTGCGCATTCTGGTACAGGCCCACGGGGTAGAACCAAACTAGAAAGCAGAAGACCGCCATTACCTATGCTAGCTGTCAGTACAAGATTTGCAATTTAGAAAGACAGACATACAGTGTTCCAAACAAACTCGACGGCAATGTTGGATAGAATGAAGGCCTGCCATGCATAAGTCTTCGACTGCCGCTCGCGCGATTCGTAGAGCATTCGCTGCGTAACAAATGATGGGACAATCTGCAGGATGAGCTGGACGACCACGAAGAGGAATATAAAGACACCAAACATTTGGTTCTGGAGGCCCTGCCGAGTATTGTCTGCTTTGAAGAAGGAGAACCCAATGAAGAGCGCCTGTAGAAACCGCATTAGTTATACTCAAGCACTGGACAGACGAGCACTTACACAGCCAACCGTCAGCAAGGCCTTTGAATAAATGTAGGATGGACTCCGCCAGTACTGCTGGAACACACGACGCCCAACCTGGACGAGCTGCTCAGAAAAGGGCGCTGCGAATTCAGCATAGCTGGACTTGTCGTTTGGATCCGAGATCGGTGAAGGCTTGCTGGCCAGCTCCCTTAGCTTTGCAAGCTCATTTTGTACCTCTTGATACTCAGCGCTGCTCCTCCATACAGCTGGCCAGTCAATGTCAGTCTGGGCCCCCGGTGCAGCGCCTATCACCTCCAGCATGTGTTCTGCAGGGTTCGCGCCTTGGGGGCAGGCAGAGCCACCATTGCGGACAAAGTAGTCCATCAGTGTGCCTGCTCCCTGGCCGACCTCTCCAAAATACACAGTTTTGCCACCCTTTGCGAGCAGCAGGAGTCTATCAAAGCGTTGGAATAACATGGCCGATGGCTGATGGATGGTGCAGAGAATCGCCTGTCCGTTCTTGGTCAGGGTCTCCATGAGATTGCAGATTGACCATGAAGTTTGACTGTCTAAACCAGAGGTAGGTTCATCAAGGAATAGCAATAGCTTCGGGCGAGCTGCCAGTTCAACACCGATTGTCAACCGCTTTCGCTGCTCGACATTAAGACCCTCACCAGGGACGCCGACTATGGCATCGGCGTACTCTCGCATGTTCAACAGGTCAATGACGGTCTCAACATAGGCCAGTTTCTCAGCACGGCTGTACTGCTGAGGCTGGCGGAGAATAGCACTGAACTCCAGCGCCTCGCGTACGGTTGAAGTATGGAGATGAAGATCCTGCTGCTGGACATAGCCTGTTTTCCGCTGGAAGGACTCATCGCGCGGTCTTCCGTCAACGAGCATGTTGCCTCCAACGACACCAACTGTCGTGCGACTTGCCAGGACGTCTAGCAGAGTCGTCTTTCCGGCGCCGGAAACGCCCTATATTATATGTCAGTGGGCTGCAATATAGCCGCGAACAGGATGTCCATACCATAAGAGCCGTCAGTGTCCCTGGCCGAATCCAGCCATCAACGTGGTCAAGGATACGCCTTGGTTCGCCTTTAATTTTGATGTCGTAGGTAACATCTTCCCAGTGGAATATGGAAGATTGCTTCTCAACCCCAGCTACCGTGCCAGCTTCCACGCCAGCACTCTTTTCGTTTTGAACAGACGATGCCACCTGCTCTTCGTCACTCTGATGCCGTTTTGTCCGAGCCTTCTGGGCCTTTCCACGGCGAAAGACGAGCACCTCGCCCTTGGACCGTTGAGAAGAGACTATTTCGGACGCAATTAAGTGACAAACCCCTAGGAAGACAGCGAGAGCGACGATGATTCCGAAGTTGCGCCAGCGATGGCTGTTCTCGTACTGATACGAAGAGCGCACAAAGTCGGTGCCCTGAACTACATCCGATCCTGGCATCGCGCCCACCGTCGAACACACCTTCTCCTGGAGGGAGACATTCTCGTAGCCGGGACCCGAGGGGACAAACGAGACGCAGGGGAACTGACGGTCGTGGAATTCATTCACCATGACCGCTTCAAAGCCGTAAGACACCGGATTCAGCCATCGGATCCACGAGGCCCAACCTCGCATGTAGCTGACCGGGATGGCAAATCCTGTGTATAGCACCAGCCCCATCAGTATGATCGAAGAGGGGGCTAGGGCCTGCTCAATGGACTTTGTCAAAGAGGCAAAGAAGCGGAAGAACATGGACATGCCCATCATCATGGAAAAGGAGACCAGGAACATAAAGAAGAATGCGCCTGGCTCGCGTCGCAGATTGCCCATGAAGTAGAGGACCAGGTTAGTGAGCAGGGAGTTTGTGATCTTGTAGGGCATGTCCATGATCATCGACGAGATGGCCTCAGCACTCGGATGGTAGAGGGCATACCGGTTGTGCTTCTCGACGATTGTTCGCTTCTCGTACAGCGAGAGGATCTCGAGCATGCTAGAGAAGGCATTCAGGAGCACCATCATGAACAGAAGAGCCCCACGAGAGAAGAACGACGAGGTGTCTCCGGGGAGGTTATAGAAGACGCTTGCGATAATCAGGGCCTCGAAGAAGTTCCCAATGAGCATGGCCAGCGTTACGCTGGGGTCGTTCTTCAACCGTTGGAAGTCTCTCCACAGGCAGAGGCGGATCTGTCCCCAGTATGACAAGGTGTATGGGGACTTTGTCCGCTGTTTCTTTGACTTTTCAGCGCGTCGAGAGGAAGAGAAGAGGTCAAGATCCCCTGCATTAAAGGGGTGCTCGGTGGTGTACTGCTCGATTTCGCGTAGCAGCGCCTGGCGCTCAGCACTTTCTTTCCACCGTTTCGCAAAGTCGTCGGACGTCCTGGGCACCAGATTCTCAAATCCCGGTCGGATAATGCGTTCTATGGGGCTGGACATGGAGGTGAGGAAGTCCGGAGTGGTTTGGGCCTCGGGGCATATAAATCCCAGCTGTATAAAGTACTCCTTGGCTGCCTGCGCAGGACCAAAGTAAATCTGCTTGCCTTCGTACAGGACCGTGACTTTATCAAATATCTAAATTTGTCAGTATGCCCAGTATACACTATAAGACCAACAGTAGGGCTCACCTCATAGGCCGCCTGGGGAGCTTGATAGATGGCGACACAGGAAGTCACCCCGAAGACATCGCCTTGAGTCCGCAGGGTCCTGCAGAACTCAACAGCGTTCGCACTGTCAAGCCCTCGAGTGCTGTTGTCCCAGCACTGCAGCGGGGCGTAGCTGAGCGCCGCCTCTGCAATTGTGACTCGCTTCCTCTCTCCTCCGCTGACGCCCCGGACGAAGTCATTGCCAACTTTGGTGTTGATCGTGTGCCCGATGCCAAACGTAGCCATAATAACGTCCCGTAGATGTGATGCATATTCCTGCCGACTCATGCCTCCGGGGATCTGGCGAGGCGTGCGCGAGAGAGCTGCAAAATACAGAGTGTCCCCGACGGCCAGCTGGGGGTAGTGAGCATCCACCTCGGCCGTGTAGATGGCCTCACCACGAAAGTGCGCCGCCATCTGCTTTGGGGTAATCCCCTGGTAGTTGACGTACGATGTCGGGTCTACCTCGAAGCCATGGGTTTCCTGGGCAATCGTCTTCAGCAGAGTTGAACAGCCAGAACCGGGCGGCCCCAGAACACATAGTTGCTCGCCTGGAAGCAGCAGCGCATCGACGCCCTGAAGAATGTCAATCCGTTGCTTTTTCCCACCAAGCCACTGTCGGGCGAGGGTTGGCAGCTTCAGAAATGCGTTTCCAACACTCATCTGGTAGTCGACCGGACTTCCATAGCCCACCACATTCAAGTTCTTGACCGCGAAGCCTGCAACGCGCGGTGGAGGTGCGTCATCTGAGCTGTATCGAACATCGTAAAAGGCCTTTGCCCATTCTCTAGCGTTGAATTTGGGGTTCTGGGGGTCCAGGACGGCGTCTTTGTCTGTTGCAAAGGGAGGCTGGTGATGGGGCTGTTTCGAGCGTGCACTCAGCGAGCGGGCCAAATTGGCTACCTCGCGGTCGCCTTGAGCTTGATTATCGGTCAAAGTCGCTCTTCCCTCAGAGTCTGAGTCGCAGCTGTTGGCGCGAGTGCGACTACCAGAGCTAAAGGCTCGGCCGTCTGTGGTGGGAGTGGACGCCATGCTAAGGATGAGGACATGGCGACACAACAGGCTGCGAAAACATCGCTTTTGTTATATACAGCTCCCGTGTCGGCCGGGTCCCGCGGCCTCGGTGCCTCGCGCCTTAAATGTCCGCGAACAAGCTCTGCATTGCATTGCGAGAGTGGCTCTGGTTACGCCGAGAATCTGGCCGGGGCCCGCGCGCACCGAACAGTCTCAGCCTTCCTTTCATTCCCAAAGCCAGCCCCTTGTAGCCCAATAATAAACTACGATGAAATCAAAATTTGCTCAGATCTCTCGTGCCAAGTCCAGTAATCCGAAAGCCCGAAAATCCGAGTATTCTGGGCGCGAGACTGCTCTTTGCGGACAGGCGGCCTGATATCAGTCCGATGCCCTCTTTCACAATCACTCAATAGCCCGAGTCCGGTTCTCGCCTCGGAAATGCAGTCATACGCGGCCTCTTTTCGCATAAAGCTCTCGGTAATATCTGTAATGGTGAGATGAGCGGGCGGGTCTAACGCTATTATAGTGCGCCAGGTGCAGAGATCGAAAGGTCTGCACGTTAGACGTTAGATCAACGATATTTTGACTACTAACTACGGATACACTTCAGCTGAAATGCGATCGAGGGGAGCCAGAATGCAGACGATGCCAGGCCAGTGGTGTGCAGTGCCTGTATCCTGAGAAGCGGAAGGCCCGGGGGTCGCGGTGAGTATCCTCCTCCAGCATATTCACAGTCTAACCCTATACCTTAGACAGAGGACCGAAATCCACCGTCTCGACCACCGGCTGGAGGCCTTGGAGGAGCGCCTGAAGAGAGCTTCGCCATCAACACAGGGCAGTGAGACCGCTCCACCAAATCTCGAACCGGGGCCGGGCCATGATAGTATGCAGAGTGCAGTTCCATTTCTTCGGCCGGACGCTGACAGCGGCAGCTTTCTTATATAAAATGGTCAGCGGTGCGAAGGACAGCATTGAAGGCCTCACAAACCAGAATCGCTTGGCCTCGAAGCCCCCGTCGCCCTGGGCGCAGTCCACCGTAACTAATGCAATCACACGGCTGGACACGGCATTAGACCAGCTGGCTGCTCCAAGCCCTCGACCAGGCAGAGATGTGGTAGACAGCCGCAGAGGCCATCTGCTGCTTGGTGATGTAAAACGATACATGGACAGTATGTTTGTCGCTAAACAACACAGCCACCGCTGACGGTCGTAGCCTTTCTAGATACGGTCCTACCGCACATCTCCATGTTCCACTCATTCTCGGCGGTCGTTGATCCAGAGTTCTTGAGAGCAATGCCCCATATAGTCGATTCCCCATATGCTCAGGTTGATCCCGTAATGCGAGTGATATACTACAGCGCCATCTACTTCGGCCAGAGTGTCGGGACCGACGGCGAGAAACGACTGGGGACAAGAACCTACTACCTTTGCCTTCAGTCGGTGCCCAAATGGCTGGAGTCCGCGAAAGGAACGCAGTTGGACGTCCTTGCTGCCTCTGTGGTTGTAAGCTCGTTTTATCCAGGCTGGCTCTAGACCCCCTACTAATGATCGATCCAGGCGTGGCTGGCTATCAACAACTTTGACTATCATCTAGCATGGCAGTTCCACCGCGAGGCCTGTCGATTCGGCGATCTCCTGGGGATTCACAATGTAGACCTAAGCCCAGCTTGCTCGCCCGAGGAAGAAACTGCAAAAGAAACCCAGCGTCGACTGCACTGGTTCTTGGCCGAAATCGATTTCCTTTTCCGGGTCTGGTACGACAAGCCCAGGGCCCTCCGCTGTCCACCAACTCAAGTCCGCCTGCCTGCTATCATCTCACCGGCGACTGTGCAGCCAAAACGTAGTGGCTGCGCGCTCTTCATCGTGTGGTCGCGGGTGCTCTTCATCCTTAACGACTACTTCGACACTGTCGAGACCGTCACGCAAGGAGAACTTTCCCGGCAGATAGATCACTACTGTAACCAGCTTATAGAGCTCCATAATGATTGGGATCTGTTGACGGTGGCCAGGTCATCCAGGCTAGGCCCGCTCGAATGCTGGATGTATGTTGAGACTATCATTGCCTTCCACAGCATCATCATCATTATGCGGCGCAAGGTCACGGAAGCAGACCAGGCAACACACCCGCAGGCAGTCCAGTCTGCCAGGGCAATCATCAGCATCGTCCACGAGTGGTCAGGGAAAGATCTCGCCGAATATGGAGGGTGTTTTAATACGCAGTAAGTGTATAATCCCCAAGACCGGCTCTCTTGCTTATAGCACTTAACATAACCAGCTTCATCTCATTCTACCCGTTCTGCGCTTTCTTCACGCTCTACTACCATATCCTTTCGTCGACCGACCTCGCCGAGTGTGAAAGCGACATCTGTAGTTTGGAGGCTCTTGTAGGAATCATGGCGGATATAGCTTCTGTCCGGCCCGACTTCGTCCCAATTGCGAATGCTCTGGGGGCATTAAATGATGTCTCACGGGCAGTTCACTCCGGTCAAGCCCCTGCGCAGGGCCTCACGGTGGTCTTTCAGGGGCCGCAGCCGGCAGCGACAGATCCTGGCTCGTCCAACACTCATGGGCAAGGTGATGGCCAAGTTCCTCTCCAGCCCGGCCCTGATCTCCCCCTTCCACCGTTCGAGTCAATGCAGAGTTTCTCAGCGGACGTCCCCCTGCAAGCGGAGGCCCAACTTGATGATATATTCGGCATTCCCTTTGAGCTTCAACACCAGGTTGCCCTTGACTGGAACGGGCCTGACCCAGCCAGGCCTGGGACCGCGCAGTCGCTGGCGGAACCGGTAGAGTTTGTACGGGCGATTGAGAGCGAGCTCATCTGGCGGAACTGGCACGAGAGCTGGTGGAATTGATGTTTAAATATAACAAAGGTTAAACTCTTGTATTTGGAGGCCAAAAATGTTCCCAGCCCTGTAGTATGAAGATCCATCCAAGCGGCGAGCGGGACACAGCCAATTTTAACTAATTGGCCCTGGGTTTTACTGTACTGTGACTATCGGGTCGGGCGGCTCCATGGACGAGCTTGATCGAAAGGGCATAATTAGCTAGGAATACAGGAGTTGCCAACATACACCCCAGGCCAGTTAACGTCACGTATCGGTTCGCCGCCATTTGTGGGAAGATGTGCGGATCGCCTGCCCTTCCAATTTGCCGCAGCATTGTACTGGGCCATTGAGCAGCGATTTGTGTCTTGGGACAAGAGAATGAGAATAGAGGATGATAACGAGTCTGACTTGTTAGGAGGGACAGGAGCTTTATATACAAATCTGAGACAAATATTTATCTCCTTGCTTTATCTTACATATTTATCCTCCTTGCTTGCTTGCATGCTGGACTTGGTACGGTACCGTATCGTAACGATACCGACAAATCCACATCAAATTCCGAATTTGCAACCACCACACAACACACACAATGGACGCCGCGACACCCTTTCCTTCTCTGCTGGTCTCGCCAGATGAGCTGCACTCTGCTCTTGCAGGCTCGTCGCCGCGGCGCATCATTCCGGTCGCCGCTGGCTCAGCTTCCCATCTCCTCTCGTACCAGAATCACCACATACCGGGGTCGATGTAAATATATATTCCTCCAGCACCAACGTAAATGCATTAACTCGGTAACTAGATTCTTCAACATGGACGAGATAAAAGCTATTGAATCTCCTTATCCGCAAATGCTTCCCTCAGCTTCACATTTCGCTAAATGCATGACTGAGCTGGGCCTTCGTCCGGACGATGTCCTGGTGGTCTACGATACACTGGAGGTGGGACTCTACTCCTCGCCTCGCGTGGCATGGGCCTGTCGTCACTTTGGACAGCGAGACGTTCACGTCCTAAACAACTTCCCTCGCTACCTCAGCCAGGGCCTTCCTGTTGCTACGGGGACATTGGCTGTACTGCCCCGTTCTCAACCGGACTATCCCGTTCACGAGAGAGATCCACGAGAGGTAATATCCTACGACGAGCTGCATGACCTCATTCTTTCAAAAAGGGCGCAGGAGGAATTCCAGATCATCGATGCGAGAATTCCCGGCCGGTTCTCCGGAGCTGAACCCGAGCTCAATCCATCCCTGCGGTCCGGTCACATACCTTCGGCGCTGAACGTCCCGCTAGCGTCGATCCTCGGGGAGGACAAGGTTATACTGCCGGCAGAGGAGCTGAAGGCTCGGTTCCAGACGGCAGGAGTAGATGGGCAACGACCGGTGATTCTAACGTGTAATTCCGGAGTGACTGCGGCCGCGTTGGACCTGGCGTTGCAGCTGAGTGGCTATGAGATGGAGCGCAGACTGTACGATGGGAGCTGGATGGAGTGGACCCGACGCGCAGAGGACGACCTAGTTACAGTGTCTGAATAGCTGTTTCTGCATAGTTCAAATAAAGACAATAAAGATAATAACCAGAGACAATGGCGATTTGTTTATAGCGTCATGTGACTTTCTTCCGCCTTGGGAAGGTCCCGTGACTGCGGGGTGCCTGCCGCGATCGGAGTCCGCTTACTAACAGATCTGACGATTCGCTGACTCAGCATCTCTCCCCGCCACTGCAGCATCCCCGATTTCGCATCACGCATCAATTTTTCTCGCCGCAAGGAGACGGTGTACACGACCATCCATCACAATGATGCGCCCTCAATTGGCATCTGCTCTTCAGGCTGCCCGCTCAGCTAGCCGGGGCTTCGCGACAGCGTCCCCCGTTACCTCTGCGGCGCGCAACCACAAAGTCGTGGTCATTGGCGGAGGCACTGCTGGTCTGGCCATCAGTCACCAGCTGCTGCGCTCCGGTCGTTTTGTCAAGGATGACATTGCCGTTGTTGATCCTGCCATCTGGCACCACTACCAGCCCGGTTGGACGCTGGTCGGTGGTGGTGTGAAGACCCGAGAGCAGTTGCGCCAGCCGCTGCATGGCCTGATCGACCCCAAGCTCAAGTTCTACAACGAGAGTGTTGGCACATTTTCTCCGGAGGAAAACTACATCACGCTGGGCAACAGCAACAAGATCAACTACGACCATCTCGTTGTGGCTCCTGGTATCACCCTCGACTTTGGGAGCATCAAGGGCTTGTCTGAGGCGCTGGCAGCCCCGGACTCTTCAGTCTCGACCGTCTACTCATATGATACCTGTGCCAATGTCTTCCCCTCGATTGAGAAGCTGCAGAAGGGCTCTGCCATCTTCACCCAGCCCGCTGGTGTCATCAAGTGTGCTGGTGCTCCCCAGAAGATCATGTGGCTTGCCCTCGACTACTGGAAGAAGGCTGGTCTGTACAACCCCAGCAACCCTGCTGCGTCGCCCATCAAGATCTCGTTCGCCACTGGCACCCCAACCATGTTCGGTGTCCCCAAGTACAGTGCCAAGCTCGAGGAGCTACGCAAGGAGCGTGGTGTTGAAGGACTCTTCCAACACGACCTCATTTCCATCGAAGGCAAAAAGGCCACCTTTGCTCGGCCAAACGGAGAATCCAGTGTCACTAGGGACTTTGACCTCCTGCATGTTGTACCGAAGATGGGCCCCCACGGGTTTGTCAAGAACAGCACCCTCGCCAACTCGGCCGGCTATGTCGACGTTGACGACGCTACTACCCGCCACAAGAAGTACAGCAATGTCTGGTCCGCTGGCGATGCATCTAGTCTCCCTACCTCCAAGACGGCCGCCGCAGTCACGGCTGAGGCGCCCGTTCTCGTCCAGAACTTGCTCCGCTCGATCGACGGCAAGGAGCCCGATGCTGCGTACGATGGGTATACCTCATGCCCGCTCACGACAGAGTACGGCAAGGTTCTCCTCGCAGAATTCAAGTACGGCGGGGTCCCTAAGGAGACATTCGGCAACTGGTTCGGAATCGACCAGGCGATCCCGCGAAAGGAGTTCTATCAGCTCAAGAAGCACTTCTTCCCGTGGGTTTACTACGAGTCGATGGTGAGTGGCAAGTGGGGAGGACCCAAGGGCTGGCTGTAAATTAAACCATGTATTTCTAGATAGAGAATTAATAATAGAACGGTCGTTCGTTCGGACCATAGGACCCAGTACCGTATTGCTACAAGGCCGTCAAAGTGATGCCGCTCGATCCAACGAACTGGGGCAAGAGAGCGAGAAGGGCCCGGTTGTTTATACAGACATTCCTAAGTGGTAGGCAGTTACTGGAGGCGAGAGACTCTATTGTAGCTTCGGGTTAGTATGAACAGGTAACAGATTGTGAGAAGTCTATCCACTTATTTAGACCGAATAGTATTTCCGAACTATAAGTTATAAGCCATAATTCATTATTAAATAGTCCCAAACGCCTTTCCTACCATATCCAAGCCGAATCCAGCCGACCCTTATTATATCCAATATAAACCACCATGCTATACATCATCTCCGCCCCTTGGAGCGCAGTGTGACGAAAATGATACCGTTCCAGAACCCTCGTAGAGAATTAAGCGCAGCGACGCTCACCATAAGTGCATAGGGTTCCTGACCCGGATACCTGAATGCGTAGATGCGATTGATTGTTGCCGCGACCCAGGTCGTTAACAGCGCGAGGAAGAAGAGGAAGGGCATGAGGAGGAACTTTCGCATAGATACGCCCGATTGATGACGACGGACTATACGAGCTGGAATGCCGTTAGTCGGTGTTAAGTCACGACTTGGGTGATCTTACTCTCAAAGCTCTTCCCATCATGATCCTCTTGTGTTCGCACGACAGAGCCATTGCTTGCAGAGGCTGTGGACGACAGGGCCAGACAGTCGTTGCGAGTGAGCATCAACTCATGCCTCAGCTTGAATATCTCGCGAGCGATGAACAGATACAGCACGAAGGAAAGAATGATAATAAACCTGGTCCGGTCAGTTTTTGCTTTTTAGCTGTACTGGTGTAGAGGCCCACCATATTGGCCCGTAGTAAAATATTATGCGAAACAGCACCCATTTGGGGGATATCGAGCACCAGAACTATAATAACAATCAGCACTAGACTGAGGCAGGATAACCACTACTAACCGTCACGCCTCCGTACAAGGGGCCGTTCTCTGCATTGCGCACGAAGAGGAACACGAATGCCGGAATGAAGGTCAATGTCGTAATGACTGCAAAGTATTTCTTCTCCAGCTTGCGAAGTGCCTCGGGCTCGTAGTGGTAGAAGACGACGAGCACAACGTCGATGGTCATGGCGAGCGTCCAAAGGACATCGGCAACGGGGAACCTGCTCTGTTAGACCAGGGTTTGACTACCTGGATACTTATAGGAAGCATACATCTGCAGACAGAACGCCTGGAAGCGGCACAACCCCGACTCGTCGCCGGCAATTGGCCCGCTGACGGATATCATCGTGGCGATAAAGTCGAACAGATTGTAAAATGCATTCATGAGCATGATCCGATGCGTCGGACTGCGGAAGTTCGGAGAATAGCAAAAGGTCACGAAGATGGTGGCCACGCCCAGGAGCGACAGGGAAGAGGCCGTCCGCCCAGCAATGGACAGCCGGTGCAGCTGGTGGTCAGAAAGCTTCATCGTGAGCTTGGTGTCCCTTGGCAGGGACCGATAGATCTTGGATACTGTGCCCTGATCAAGGGTCCGACGAGATCCATGAGACGTGCAGATGTCGCATATCTATGGCAAGAAAGTGCACCAAGCCGGCGAGAGACATCGTGACAGAATGGCTGAGATGGCGCGAGTGATAGAGAAAAGCAAAGAGATCGGATTGTACTTCGCAGCAATTGTGCGATCTGGAGCGCTATTACGCCATCAGCGGCAGCTGTGATAGCCCGTCAACAGCTCCACTACCGGCGCTTGCTTGCTTTTTCTTCCTCCTCGGATTGCCGCGGCGTGAGATTGCGAGTGCGATCCCAGTGCTCTGGTTCCAAATAGACAGAGAAATCAGGATGTTGCGGTGTTAAGACCATTAAGGTGGAGATATCCTCCATCGTTTGTGGTCGAGCTGATACCCCTATCCACATCAGCCCCGTAGTAGATCGCAGCCAGAAAACGGCATCGGGGGTGCCCGCCTGTCAAGGGCTCGAGCCGAGAAATGACAATCCCAAAGTTGGACCCTGCGCGAACAGAGAAGATCTCATCGCCGGCGAGATGTCGCGATGGCAGCCCTATCCCGTTTGATGCCCGCCCTCAACCGAATGATCGACACGAGCACGAGCTTGATTTCAACAATTCATGCGGCATCAGCGGTTATGACCTGTCACTGCCGCTGCAGTTTCACACCCAGAAATAGCGCAGTGAGCGTGGCTATGCTGGCACGTTCAGGGGCCGCCACTCGTGCCCTGTCCCTGGCCGGGCGACCCATTCGTTACCAGCGAGATCAAAATTAAAGCATGACTCAGATCGAACATGTGTATTATTATTGAATGATGTGATTTCCCTGCGGGATTTGTGGGTTCGCGTGTTCGCCTGCCTGAATGGTTCGTTTACATACTGCAAGGGCACAGTCCATCAACGTCGCAGCATCACTTTCGCTCCTCCACCTGCTCCTCCACTTGCTCCTCCACTTGGTCCCCTCGCTCGACCGTCCCAGTAGCCTGGATCTTCTCGCGCATTTGCTGGAGATCAGCGACCACGACGTCCTCTCCAAAGATCTCGCCGATCTCCTCCAACGTCTTGCCCTTGGTCTCCGGGAAGTAAAAGAACACCGTGATGGCCCCGACAATATTCGTACATAAAAACAGTGCATAATATTTATATCCGACATTATCAAACGCAACCGGAGAGACCTGGTTAAAGATGATGTTGATGAGGACGTTACAGACGACCGAAATGGACGAGCCCTTTGCCCGGATGGCCATCGACATGATTTCGGGGACATAGATGTAGTGGATCGAGTTGTATCCCAGGGAGTATCTGCAAATAGTCAGCTCCTGCAACAGCTGCAATTGAATTTATGCATACATCATTGAGAAGCAGAAGATGAACGCAATGGTGAACCCTTTGGCAACCATGTTATCGCTACCCACGAAACCGCCTGAGAGACCCATGACGAGAGCCATGTCCAGCGACATAACTATTCCTGTAATCCAAAGGGTCTTCTTGCGACCCCAAGTGTCAACATAATACAGACAGACCAAGTTCGCCAGTGGTCCGACAAGGCCGTAAATACTGCGACTGTCAGTGCACCGAACTCAAGAAAGTAGAGACATAGATACCCCGCAAGCATTGTGACATTGTGTCCCTCCATCCCCAGTCCCTTATAAAGGTCTGTCTGATAGTAGTTTATCACGTTGATTCCCGATAGCTGCGTGAACGCCTGAACGAGGACAGCGAGGACCAGGCGCTTTCGGTTGCTGGGCCGGTTGAAGAGGTCTGCCCACCCAGCAACGTATTGGGCCTTTTCGAAGTGTAATTGCTCTCGCATCTGATGGAACTCTGCTCGTACTGACGAGTCATCTTCATGTTTGTTGCCATGGAGGCGTTTGATGACTGCGAGGGCCTCATCGTCGCGATCTTGCTCGAGCAGCCAGCGGGGCGAATATGGCAACCAGAAAATACCCACGAGGATGATCAGGGCCGGAAGACATTCTGAAGCCAATTAGCTCTATCGTATAGCATACTGGCTAGAACCGTACGGAAAGCAAGAGGAAACCGCCATTGAAATTCGCCGGTTGCATACGAGCAGCCAAACCCTACCCACTACCAGAGTCAGATACACCACCAAGTAGAAAGCAGCAGGGACATACATTTGCCACAGCAAATCCAAATCCGACAAACTGCGCATGCAGACCAGCAATCAGACCGCGTTTATGTGACGGCGCGATCTCCGAGTTGTAGATTGGAATCGTCATGTCTGCACTGATCAGTTACTGCTACTATGCCACCAGCGACACACGCACTCATTATGCCAACAGCGAACCCGCCCACAATCCGTCCGGCGATCAGCATACCGACGTGGACGGTGGCGGCCTGAATTATTCCAGCAATCAGCGCAATCACCGCCCCGATCGCGATGGTTTTCTTTCGTCCCAGGGCATCCGCACTCCAGCCGGCGAAGAACACGCCGAAGACAGTGCCTGCTCCAAAAGTGCTCACGACGGCTCCTTTAATGCTTGCTAAAGGCTGTTAGACATGACGGCAGAGTGATACAGGCGAACTGACGCGTAAATGGCGCAAAATAATCCAAGAACTCTGGCTGCGCGATGACCGTCGATACAATGCCCGAGTCGATACCGTACAATAGGGAGCCAACCTACACATACCATGCAATTAGCATCATAAAGTCCAACTGTGTAAAGCTTCAAGTATTAAGGATGTCTACCGCAGCGAAAAGACCGCAGGCCCATGTGTAGGCGTTGATGCTTAGATGCGCCGTCATAGCTAACTGACAGCCTCAAGTGCTGATAAAAAGAAAAAGATGACGCTGCATTTGACGGGATATGGGATATAAGATATTATATATCTATTTAAATAACCGGCACGAATACCAAAGCTTCTCCTGACATTAACTTGCCCTCGTAAGGATTCGCCGGCGAGTGCAGGCTAAATCCAAGGCCAGTTGGAGTCATCCGATCAGATCCAGCAAGACAGTTCGGAATGCTTCCAGACTGAGAGATCAGAGACTGTGCGATGGAGGCAGTGATACGATATCTGCACCCCAGATCCAAGGCCAGGACCCCACGCGGGGTCTTGGTATTCGGTCCGCCCAGACGCGAAGGACCAAATGTTGGAGTCAAGCACAAGTAAGCTCATTCTTGACTGGATAGTCGGCTAAAGAGCTGTCTGATAAAAATATCCGTCGCCTAAAATGACTCGTCATGTCCAATATCTGGTGGTCTGGTAGCCGAAAGCCGGCGATGTCCTCGGCATACATTAAGATCACCGTCGACGTATAGATTCACGTTCACTGTCTCGCCGTTAAGTCAAAGTTCGCAATATGGTAAAGTTCTCGCATGGCTGCTGGCATCCAGCGCCAGACACTCTCATCGACTGGGCTGTTGAGACGGTTGTCGCTGAAACTCGCAGCGAGGAACTGCATTTTGTCACAGTATGAACAGGCATAAACCGATTCATATAGCGCATGAACTGACCAGGGCAGTCCTCTAAACCAATTAACCACCGCGGGGATACACTGAACAACCCGACTTTGACCCATTCCCTGAGCTCTCCAGTCGACCGTGTCCTCTATCTGTCCTCTGCCCATTGGACGAGACAGAAAAGCGTCACCCAAGGACCGCACTTTGAGCTGTTTCCTGGAGGAAAGCCAGGCCGTACATCTGCTGTCCACACCAGCAAATCGGCAGAGGGCCTGAGCCTGGAAGAAGGCAGTCTTTCTGCGTCTGTGGATACCCGCCCAAAGTCGTTCGATGTCAGCTTCCATGCAAATGGTAGGCTCCTCACCAAGCTGGGCTGGCGCTCAATTGGCTATGTCAAGCAGGGAACAACAGCACTGCACCCTAGAGCAAGCTATCTTGACCCCAACAAGGGCCAGAGATGGGTGACTTACCAGCTGCAGCTCGGGGTTGGTGACAAGGTCTACGGTCTAGGCGAGCGCTTCGGGCCTTTCGTCAAGAATGGACAAGTAGGCATTGTTAACCGCACTTCTATATTCAGCTAATTCCCATAGAGCATTGAAATCTGGAACGAAGACGGCGGCACTGGCTCAGAACTGACATACAAGAACATCCCCTTCTTCGTCACCTCTGCTGGATACGGCGTCTTCATCCCTACGTCGAACTTCATCTCTTTGGAGATCCAGTCTGAGCGGACAACGCGAGTCAACATATCTGTCCCTGGAGAGTCTCTCGCAATGTATCTGATCTACGGTCCAGACCCAAAGTCTATTGTAGAGCGATATACGACCATTACAGGCAAGCCGGCACTCCCTCCTGCGTGGACGTTCGGGCTCTGGCTGAGCACCAGCTTCACAACCGAGTATGACGAAGCTACTGTCACATCCTTTCTAGATGGGATGGCAGAGCGTGGAATTCCTGTTAGCGCGTTCCATTTCGACTGTTTCTGGATGCCCGGGTTCAAGTGGTGTGATTATGAGTTTGACATAGACTACTTTCCGGATGCAAAGGGGCAGCTGGAACGCATTAAGAACCGTGGAATACACGTACGTGGTTATTGCCTGAATACTTCATCAGCACTGACCGAATGTAGATTTGTGTATGGATCAATTCCTACATTGCGCAAGAGAGCTCTATATTCGAGGAGGCTGCAGATAAGGGCTATTTCCTCAAGAGAAGAGACGGCAGCGTGTGGCAATACGACTTTTGGGTAAGAATCTACTCTGTTAAATCTTATATAGCGCTTACACTGGAGACCAGCAAGCCGGCATGGGGTTTATTGATTTCACCAACCCAGAAGCCTGTGACTGGTATCAGGGCAAGCTTCAAGCACTGATTGATATAGGCGTCGACTCTTTCAAGGTAACCTACCTTCATTAGTATTAAATAATGTCTCTAATCAAACTGACAGACCGACTTTGGCGAGCGCATCCCTACAGGCGACGTTGTATACTTTGACGGTTCTAGTCCCGAGAAGATGCACAACTACTACTCCTTCCTCTACAACAGGGTCACCTTCGAAGTCCTGGAGCGGAATTTCGGTGCGAACAAAGCAGCTCTCTTTGCTCGCTCTGCAACAGCCGGTTGCCAGCGATTCCCGGTGCACTGGGGCGGCGATCCCTACAGCACGTTCGAGGCCATGGCCGAAACCCTTCGCGGTGGAATGAGTCTGGCACTTTCTGGCTTTGGCTACTGGGCTCATGACATCGGTGGGTTTGAGGGCAAGCCTGATCCTGCTCTGTTCAAGCGGTGGATTGCATTTGGGCTATTCTCCAGCCATTCCCGGCTACATGGCAGTGGTAGCTTTCGAGTAAGATAAACATCCGAAATCTCGGAAAAACGCTGACTGGGAAATAGGTCCCTTGGTTGATTGACGAGTCTGGTGAAGCGGACAGAGCCTTGAAGCACTTCGTACACGCTAAGCACTCGCTCATGCCATATCTCTACTACAGCGCTATTGAAACACACAAAACTGGAGTCCCCATGCTGCGTGCACTATTCATGGAGTACCCCGACGACCCCATAGCCTGGTATCAGGATATGCAGTATTTCTTGGGCGATAGCCTGCTGGTTGCACCGGTGTTCAATGCGGAGGGCGATATCCAATACTACCTCCCCAAGGGAGATTGGTATGGTATCCTAGACGAAAAGATGCGCACTGGTGGTGGCTATTTGACCGAGAAGCACGATTTCTTCTCTCTGCCCGTACTCCTGCGTCCGGGCCGTGCTATATTCCGCAGCTTAAGCACGGACTTGGGCGGCGTGGTCTACGACTGGAGCAAGGACGTGATACTCCTGGTGAACTGGGTGCAGGGAATGGACACGACAGCTCGCATTGCAGACTTCGAGAGCTCTGGAGAGGTGAAGCTGGCGCTGAGAGTCCGCGACACAGATGAAGGAACCACTGCTGAGGTTATACAGGGCATCATTGCTACACCCATGCAGATCAAGGTGGTGAATAAGCGTATTGAGTCTGCTGATGTGGAGGTTGTTGGCGATAGTATCCTCCGTGTGCATGAGGGAGTCTCGCTCGTTTCATTCACACTGAACTAGATTACAACCTTTTGTTATATATATGAAAGTGGCTATAGAAGTAGTTTGGTGGTACGGGGCCAAGATATTAAATATGGAATGCTTTATATCTATTTCAGATATAACGTTCTCTTTATATCACATCCTTTATAGCTTCATTCAAGCCGTCCTTGACTTGGCAACCGGATTCTTTGTTGCCATTCTGTATATCTGTCATTCACCCCTTCATTAAAACTCATTTCAATTTATTTGGCACAATCTATCTCTCACAATGGTTACACGAAGCTGGTCTTCCACGATGTTGTGGATTGTTTTCCTTCTAGGAGCCGTGGCTTCTCCTACCTCAGATCCCGTAAGTACATACTAGAATTTCTGGATGAGATCTGATAGCAATCTACAGTATGAACCACTCTCCATAACCGTATGGGAGAGCACCGGATGTACAGGCACTAACGTTATAACAACCTTTGACCCCTTGAGACAACCTTACGGCCAGGACACACAAACGCCCCTGGTAGGTCGGAGCATGAAACTATCGCGTCCATTGTCCAAGCACGAGCAGCTGGATATTTCATCTACTGATAGCATGGGCTACTGGGAATCTCACCCCGAGTACCGGGTGACTTCGTGTTATATCTTCCTGCGCAGTTACTTCGCGTCTGATAAGATGACCGAGTGTGTTGATACTCTAGGGTTCATGTGCCTGCGACTCTGGCACAATGATGGTCTTGAATAGTTATGTTCAAAGGTGAACTTTTAATTAAGCATAGTCCAGTTCTGAAAAACGATTGGTTAGATGTGGTGTGTTTGACGTTGTTGATACAGATTGGAGTGCAAGTATAAGAGCGTAAACCATACTTATACTGCAAAAATCCATGCTTATAACGAAGCACCATTGGACTTGTCTTTCAAATAAGACTGCAACTGTCGCTTGCTATCCTCAATCACATCGTAGCCAAAATTATGCTCCCAGAACTCCGGCTGGTTTGTTGGCACACTAACACCGTCGGGCATATACTGCTGCGCGCGTTCACGTACCCTGAATGCCTGATCCTGTCCAGCGAGTGACAGAATTTGCATTGCCGAGACTCTCTTAATGCGTATTTTCTCGAATAGTTCAAGCCTCCTGCGTATTTCATCTCTGGGCGGATTGGTCTGGAGATCTGCGAATACCTCGCCTAGTGCCGCCGCATCCTCGATTGCTTGAGCTCCCCCTTGGCCTTGATCTGACTGGGTCAGTATATTATATTGCTAGCTTTATGCCTTGGACATACGGGGAAGCATAGGATGCGCTGCATCGCCGATGAGCAGCAAGCGGCCCTTGCTTAATGTGGGAATAGGATCGCGGTACAACAGTGGCCACCGCGTGATGGTCGTTGCTTTTCTGCGCTTGTTTAGCCATGTCTAGAGGCAAATATGAGTAGGTTACCTGATAATCTTTATAACATCAGGATGAAAGTCGCCAAAGTAGGAGAGCACGTCCTCCAGGCTGGCAGAGCGATGCCAATCTGGTCATTGTTAGTTTAGCAACTAAAAAAAAAAAAAACAGAAACGTTTACCTTCGCGTTCATGGTCTCCTGTCTCTCTGTCTTCGTGCACAGCGACGAAGTTTTGGATAGTGTTACTGTTAATCGTCAGAATTCGCCAAAAATAATATGCGGATGACCTACTCAGCACAAGGATACCAAACCAGGCGCCTCATGTGTCCCTCGACGGTGAATAACTTCATCAGACCGTCCTCAATCTTGGTAGCACCGTCTTCAAGCAGGGGGGCTATTTCAGGATCTGATCGCAGCTCTTCAACAGTTAACAAGAACCGAAAGACAGCCCAGCCTGTAGCCATGACAGGAGTCTCCTGGCCGGTAACATGACGGAGAGCAGAGGAATGTACACCGTCTGCAGCCACAATTAGATCGGCATGATGAATCAAGCCATTCGCGAGGGTAATAGACCCGTTCTCGCTATCGTAGTCAACAACCTCTGCTCGGAGGATAATATCCACAGGCTTCCCCAGTCCTTTAGGATCAGTCGCCACGCGTCGCAGCTCCGAATGCAGGTCGACTCGATGCGCCAGAAGCCACGGACCACCGTACAATTCAGTAAAGTCGGGATAATGCACTCCGGCTAGAGTGTCGAGTGAGGTGCCTGAGATGAACATATGCCGGCGTGCCTCTACCATGCGCGCTCTCTCCACATCGAAATCCCACTGCGCAAGGACCAGGGATGCATTAGGGCAGACATTTATGGCTGCTCCAACCTCGCGGAGCAAACTCGAGCGTTCGAATATCTGTCAAGCGTTATCCCCAGCAGTGTCTGAGTTATGAAATAGCCGCGCACCTTGACGTCGTGGCCCTTGCGGCGGAGACCAATTCCGGCAGCAAGACCAGCGATTCCAGCTCCCACGATGATAACCTTCATATTTAGGCGAGTAAGATCCTATAAGTTGCGGTTGCGTGTCTACGTGAGAACGTGGTGGATGGTTGAATATGGGCTCGGAGCATCCAGACGCAGTCTGTCGTCGTGATGATAAGAGCCGGTCAGACCGTGGACCCTGTCTCGATCTCCTTGCTGCAGTATCCCTGCCCTTGCGTCGGGCTCCGAAGACCACCGTCATCATTCTCTGCTCTCGACTTACGGGGGATGCTCCTGTCATAATATCAATACGATCCTTACTGCCTGACCTGTCATCCAAAGATCAGTCCATTGTCTGCATCCGGGGATCGATACCGGCATCGTCTGAGATAAAGTAAGATGTATTTATAGAAGTACATCAACTCTCAATAATTGTCAGCTTATGACGCCTTCTGGTTAGAATTAGTAATCGTCTCCCCGCATCTGCTCGTATATAACCCCGCGGGGTCCAGTGGGATATTCTGATCAGTATATCTGAGTCTATACAAATTACGGTAAAGAAGTAATCCAACAAGATGCCTCATGCTGTAGCAAAAGTGGGCGGTCATGTCATCGCAGAGACGGACTCGTGGGAGTTTGTAGAGGGCAATATCTACGTATGTCCATCACTCTCGACTAGGCTCTGCTGATTTGATACAGTTCCCAGAGTCTTCCATCAAGAATAAGGATGTCCTCGAATCCTCTGATCTATCTACCTTTTGCCCATGGAAAGGCTACGCTTCGTACTGGAGCATAGTTGTCGACGGTAGGCAGCACAGCCATATAATGAAGACCCAGCTAATGTATATCAGGAAAAACAAACCAGAATGCTGTTTGGTATTATAAAGAGCCATATGAAGCCGCTATTAATATCAAGGACCATGTTGCCTTTGGTGAGTTGCAGCTGTCAATGTTCTCTTGCACAATATTCTCCTGCACACGCTAACATAACACGTAGATAAAAAGCAGGTGGACATCACAGAGGAATAAGTAATGGTATCGATAATTAGTCTATGCAGAAATAAAATCATCGCTCATAGCATCACAACACCGACACAGCACTGCTGGTAAACCCCCCATCGATGACCAGGTTGTGCCCCGTAATATACTTGGCCGCATCACTGGCCAGGAATGCAGTCGCATTGGCAACGTCGATGGCATCGCCCATCCTGCCCATCGGAATGGGCTGCTGCATGATCCTGTTGTAAGCCTCCTCTTGCCCGCTCGTCTTCAGGCTCTCGACCAGCGGCGTGTACATGAGCCCCGGAGCGATCGAGTTCAACCGCACGCCCTTGGGCGCATACATGACCGCAGTGACCTTTGTAAAATGAATCACTGCAGCCTTTGCAGACGAATACGCAACCTGCGGCTTTCCAATATACCGCATGCCCGCGATAGACGCGTTGTTAATGACAACCCCAGACCCCTGCTTCTCCATAATCGGCAGCACAACATGGCAGGCCAGATAGACACTCGTAAGATTAATCTGCAGCTGCTTCTCCCACAGCTCCTCGGGCATCGTCGCCGGATCGCCCGTCGCAGTGGCCCCGACGTTGTTAATCAGGATATCGATTCGCCCATACTGCGCCACGACAGCGTCGGCGACCTTCTGCACGTCGCTGGATGAGGTGACGTCCGCCTGCATGACATCGCAGACCCCGCCCTCCTCTCGAATTCGACTCGCTGTATACTCCGCCGCCGGGAGGGAGAGGTCGCAGCCGACAACCTTTGCGCCGCTGTAGGCGAGGAGTCGCGCCATGGCAGCACCGTTGCCCCATGTGTCTGAGCCGGGGATGCGAGCCTGGCCAACGCCCATGACGAGGGCGACCTTGTCTTTGAGGTCGGGGTATGTAGCGAAGGACATGATGCGATATCGATTAAAAAAACAAACAATGCAGTGCTGGGGAAATGCGACCAGCCAGGGTCTTAAGTCTGGCAAGCTGGCAGCTCGACGAACTCGTGGCACTGGCCGCGCGACGCGGCCTTGCAATTTTTGATCAAAGCGCAGGTCGGAAAACTCCCGATATAGACGTTATGCAAGAATTCCAAGGACTGCCAATCGATGCATGGACTGCCGCGTGGTGTGGACGTCCGGACGTGCTGGAGGGAGCTCCGGGTGGACGCCATGTCCGGAGTCCCTCCGAGCTGGTGGAGCTACAGATACTCTGGCTGGAGTCTGGGTCGTCTCGGCAGATAGTCGATGCTAGAAGCCGATATACGGTGTATACTGTATACTGTATACGGTGTATCTACACGGTGTACATTTGCCTATCAAAACGTCGTGGAACGGGCCTGAGACCCCCACTGTACGGCGTAGACTACTGCAGGACGGGCATAAAACAATGTGGTGGGCCGTCAGTTCATAAGCTATTAAGGTATCTCGGTCTAGGCGATCAAATCCTGGCATAAAATCGTCGCAATCTCTGCATCCTTCGCCAGCGTGGGACCGGAGTACGCAGTCTCCTGCAAGAATCCAAGCGCAAAGTTACACCACGATCGATATCGCGAGGGCACAACCTGTGGTACTCTGGGGTCGCCGCAGTGCCGGAAGCACCATACCAGTATGATGTGGCCGAAGAGTCTACAGCTGGTGAGCAACACTATGCACGCTGGGGCAGGGCAAGAACATACTGTGAGGATATTTGAAACTTCAAAGGCATACAGCTGGGCATCACTGCGATCACTCTTATTATGGGCTCCCATTGGAAAATCTGGTCAAACACTTCTGCACATTTGCGTAGCTCTGCGTCTGTCGCGTCCTCTGGCCGGCTGATGACTTTGTGACTGTGACGGTTGAGTAAAGGGAAGTGTAGTGTGATAAGAGGCTTTTCTTACAGTAAGGGTCTCCCAAAGTGGAACTTGGCTATGATATACCGGAAGCGAAGCCAGGAGACGACAAGAATCTCACTTGGCGAGTCAGGTAATGGCGCCAGATGGTCGTCGTCGAACTGTAGACCCGTGGGTAGCTGGTTCCGCCATCTCTCAAGCTGTTGATACAGTTCTTCCTCTACTGATTGTGATGAATATTCACCTGTAACGTCAGAACCAACACAGAGACAGAGACAGATAGAGAGAGAGAGCGTACTGGTAAAAAATATACTAGACTTGGTCCTCGTCAAGAGGATCCGATGGGCGACCTGCGCCAGGAAATGATAATGGAAGAATGAATCGTCCTCTTCAGCATCCGACTCCATCGGCAGGAATGCAGGCTGCTTGATCTTGACAAACGTAGGCAACGGTACTCGCTGCGAGAGCTCGTCGAGCTGGCCTCCAGGGAGCTTCAGCTCCTGCGCCAGAATAGCATCGAACATGACGGCATTCCAGAACAAACGCGACCACATGTCGACAACCCACTCGTCGCAGGGGGTGGGAACACTACAATCGTCAGCTCTACTTCCTCAATCCCGTAGACTGGTCGAGTTCTTACTTCTCCCAGAACATGCGACAGCAGGTGCTGGCTCGGTTGGCCATTGTCCACCAGTCGACAGGCCGTACCAGTTGTGCGTAGAACATACTATAAAGAGTTAGTGATGCCGTAGACTCGCTGCAAGTACTCGCCGGAAGGGCAATAGAGAATACCTTGACAACAGATAGTACTGGCAGCTCTGCATGTCATTGTCATTGATCAGCCACCCGATACGCTTTCTCGACTCGTTAAAGAACGCGAGCCCAGGGATGCCCGCTTCAGCGCCAGGCCCCATGTACTCGTAGTCCATATCACTCCCTGATAACTTGCGGTGGCCCTGGGTCCGATACTCGTGGAACTCCCCCAGAGCCCGCTTGGACCAGCAGCCCAGGGCCATGACAGCCAGCACAACACAGCTCTCGATATCGTATCCAAACTCGCCCTTGATGGCAGCCGAGAGCGTATGGCGCAGGAAGAATGTGCGGTCCATCATCGGGTATGTGAGGTGGAATGTAGAAAAGTACGATTCACACAGCTCCTTCACCATCGACACGCTCAGGTTGCCCAGCAAGTCCGTCTCGCTTCTGCTCCCTGGCCGCAGTCCCATTGACAGCCGGGGCCTCCTCATCTCAAGCGTTGTCGAGTAGTCTACGCCGTGCTCGTTGACAATCGCCTTGATCGCGTCCGGCAGCATCGGGAGGATCGGCTTCCATAGGATGACCTGGTGCGCACTCCAGGGGACGACGGCGGACGCGGGGAAGCTGGGCGCACTCTCGACGACATCATGCGATGGGGGAGAAACGTATGTAGGTGGTGGAGGGTTGTCTGCTGTCCAGGGCGTGCCAGGGAGTGGCATGTTGCCAGCATGGGGGGAGTAACCAGTAGCGGTCTTTGCGGAGATATTATCCAGTTTACATTCCAGACGTCCCAGCATCCGGAGCAGGGCATTCGAGGAGATCTCGCTGCTAACCTCGTCAGATTGACCTTACCAAGAAAAAAGAATAAGAAAGGACATACCGAGTTTGCTTGCGATAGCTGTAGACGCACTCAACCCCGAGCCCCCGACACAGCCCGCAGGGGAACTGCTCGTCGCAGCGAGTCTTCTTCACGCGACATCGCTCACAGGCCTGATGATGACTTGCATGTTAGCCAGTCCATAGCGGCGATACAGATCACACAGGCCACAGCATACCTGTCTGGCGACGTCGTGGCGCCGCTTCTTCCCCTCCGGCGGCTCGTTGCGGTGGTCCGGACCCAGTTCCTCGCTGGGGTGACTAGTCATGGTGGGCTGAGATGGAAGCAAAGTGGATTGAAGCAGAAACGCGAATCAAAGAAGCAGCGCCGAGCGTGGCAGAGGCCCAGGGGGAGGAGCTGGTCCCGAAGTCCGGAGCTCGAAAGTACGGCCAGACTGCCGCCACAATCCCAGTCCGGGCCTGGACTCCCGGAGCGCCCGGCGAAGGCTGTTCTCCAGCGAGGCTCCACTGGCTGCGCTCGTGAAGACGATATTGGGCCAATAATCCGGTCTGCTGCGTGGCTGCTGGGGCATTCCGGAGACTAGCAGGGCTCCGGATCCACGGGTCCACCCAAACATCGTCAGTTATTTTCAGTGGTATACAGGAATGTTCTGACTGTCTCGATACTCTCATTCTATGTTCTCATTCTATCTATATCCAAGTTCGGCGGCCTTTATCTGCAGCCCCAGAATGCGCGAGTAATACCGCGACACGGCCAGATTCCCTCCCATAAACCACAGTCCCCGGTGTCCCGATGGCCTCCAGATGCCTCTCATCTCGCTGTTCTCGTCAAACCCCCAGACGTCGCCCACTGAGTCGGCCGTCTCGTCGCCAAAGAGACGTCTTGTCTGCGTGCGCATGTTCTGGTAGCCGGTCGCAAGAATGACTTCGTCGGCCTGGAGCTCAGTCCCATCGGCGAATCTAAGACCATGGGCGAGGACTTGACTGATTTCTACTCCCTGCTTGACCTTGATATGCCCGTCGATAATGAGCTGGCTGGCTCCGACGTCGATGTAGTATCCTCCTCCGCGCTGGAAGTACTTGAGCAACAGCCCTGCGCCGTTGGGTCCATTGTCTACTCTGAACCCTGCTTTCTCGAGTCCTGTAATCTTTTCTCGATCATAGTCGTTCTGGATAGCAGTAACACCGATCTGCTGCGTCTTGAGCAGCTCGGCTGGCATGGCCCAGAACCACAAATCTGCATCCTCAGTAGGGGGGCCCTGCTCATCATACAGGCCCTTGAGGCCAATGTCAGTGATGGCTTCGGACGATATAACACACGTCGTGCTCCGCTGGACCATGGTGACATCGTATCCCTTCTCGTAGAAGTCCTGGGCAATATCATGGCCAGAGTTGCATGACCCGATCACAACAGCCTTCTTCCCCTTGTTTGCATGCAAGGCACCCTTAAAGTCAGAGCTATGACAGATGCGATCGCCTTTGAAGCTGTCAAGACCAGCCAGGGGTGGAATATACTTCTCTCCAGAATGTCCCGTAGCCTGGATGATATGCCGGGGGTGCACAGTTCTCGTGGAGACAGTATTGTCCGCATTGCGACGCTCCAGAACGACACTCCATTGCGTCCCATCCCAGCTTGGGGCTTTAAGTGTCGTGCGAGTCCAGACATTCAGCTCCAGCAGCTTGGCGTAAGCTTCAAAGAACTCGGCCAGCTTGTCCTTGGGGGTAAAGACCGGCCAGTGCGGCGGGAAGCTGATGTAGGGCATATGGTCGAACCACACCGGATCGTGCAGGACAAGCTGATGGTATCGCTGGCGCCAGTTATCGCCAATCCGGTCATTCTGGTCAATGACAAGAGTGTCGACATCGAGCATCTTCAGCCTGGCAGCGGCCGTCAAGCCTCCTTGCCCGGCGCCTGGAGATGTCAGACCATATCACCATTGAATCATAAGACAGAAATACCAATAACCAGCACAGCAGGCTCCTTTTCGTCGAATTCCGCATCAGCTACGCGTCTCTCCTGCCAGTTCTTGCGGTCAGGACGACCGCCGTGCTCAACCCCCTTGCTGCGACGCCCATTGAGAGGCTCCTCGTGCCCCTTGAGCTCCAGCAACGAGGTGAAGAATGTGAGGATCTTCCAGTCCCCGTCCTCCTGGGCAAGGCGCACAACTCCACGGCCCCTGCCAAATTCCAGGTCGATTGTAGTGAAGAACTGGATGCCGTGGGAGTTTCCCAGTCCATCGAGGGAACAAGCAACCGGGCGTCGAAAGTCTGAGGATCGATCGATTTCCAGCTGCAACGGGCGACTGCAATTGGCATCGAGGAAGCTGGCAATGCTGTCTCGCCCTTTTGCGGTGTGAAGATCCCAAGCCAGGCACAGGTGGTCTCTCCAGTAACCGTCTGTAAAGAACAGCGCTGCGACGGATTTGAAGTCTCGCTTTGCTAGGGCGTCATTGACTCGATTGACGACGTCTTGGGCCAGTGAATCTGCGTCTGAAGGCGATAGGCCCGACGGCGCAGTCGCTGGGAATTTCCCAACAGGTACATTGACGGGGCCATTGGCTTGGGAGACAGTCATGATGATCTATACTGACAGTTCTATACTTGGAATTCTATACTCGACAGGGATACTGTTAGCACCACGACAAGCCTTTTATAGCGGAATCAAATCCCGCCATGGCTTCAGATCTTATCCTCCAGGAAAACATTGCTCCCCCGCATTCCCCGCAAGATTCGCAGCTTCTCCGTTGATATCGAGTGCAAATCTGGTCGGAGCATCCGGAGGGCTCCGGGGGTCTCCATCCGCAGTGGATTCAGCGGTTGGACGTGGACGACTCACGCCCGGCGATCAGCAACCCCCACGAGTCATGACTCTGATCGAGCTCTGCTGGGCACCTTGATTGGATCCTGATCCCCACTGTCGAGACCGTCGTTTCCCCCAAAGCCGTACGTTTGGTCGCTGGGACGCATCTTGCCGCGTTGAGGCAGTCCGGGGTACGAGCGTCGAGGCCCTGACCATGCGAGGAGTTGAACCGACAGCACCAGCAAATTCCTGGATTCCGATTCCCCCTTTAAAAGACGCGTTCTGTCGTGCAGCGACAATCCCTTTATTTGATGCTTCTCCCAGCCACTAGAGCTCGTGTCGCGTTGAGTTGAGTTTTTCTAGAATTTCTACGCCACAGCCATGGCCGCAAGCGACAACCTCGAGGCCGATCTGGAAACAAAGCACCGGTCGGAACAGAACGATGTTGTACAGGAACTGAGCATGGAGGATGTAGATGCCGAGAAGAGGTATTCCAGTCCCTGGTCTGCTGTTGTTTTGTTGTCGTGGACTCCCTGGCTGACCGTACCCCTATCCAGGCTCGTCCGTCGCATCGACCAGCGCATGCTTCTGCCCACGGCCATCATCTATCTTCTGTGTTATCTCGATAGATCCAACGTTGGTACGCGATGTCCACTCTCAGCTACTCGATCACCGATTAACCCTTGCAGGAAATGCCAAAATCATGAACGAGGACACGGGCGACGCCCTCATGCAGACCAACAACATCACCGACCGTGAATACACAATCGGCATGATGGTCTTCCTGGTTGCGTATTCCGTCTTCGAAGCCCCCAGTAATATCGCTCTCAAGCTGGTCCAGCCGCATCGATGGCTCGGCTTTCTTGTCGTCGCGTTCGGCGCCTTCTGCACCGGCATTGGCTTTACGCATACATTCAACGAGCTGGCGGTGCTGCGCTTCTTCCTTGGGGCTGCTGAGGCTGGCGTGTTTCCTGGTATGGCCTTTATAGCTTATTGAAAAAATTGAAATCGAGGTACTGACTGGCGAAGGAATGATCTTCTACTTCACGTTCTGGTATAAACCCAGCGAGCGTGCGATCCGGATTGCCTTCTTCATGTGCAGCGCCACGCTGTCCGGTGCATTCGGCGGGTAAGTCGTTATATTCCTGTCGATGGGATGAATCTAATTTCTCAGTGCAATTTCATACGGTGTTGGGCATTTGAATGGTCGTCAAGGCCTGGAAGGCTGGCGATGGCTGTTCATCATCGAGGGTGTACCCAGCAGTAAGAGTTCTCCTTCCTCGAGATATTGACAATACTAACCTTTTAGTCGCCGTCGGACTGCTCGTTTTCGTCTTCATGCCCAGTTATCCTGAGAAGGCTGGGTGGTTGTCGCCCGAAGAGAAAGAGCTGCAGGCGCGTCGTCTGGGCCCATATCGTTCTTCAGGGTAAGATTCCATCATTCATATTTGCATATTCGATAAATAGCTGACACCAACCAGGGAGGACAAGATCAACTGGCCTGATGCCAAAGATACGCTCACCTCGGTGCGCCTCTACCTGCACTACCTAACATACTTGACCATCGGCACTGGGGTTGCCTCGATGGCCTATTTTGCCCCAACCATCGTCAGCGGACTGGGCTACGAGGACCTTGATGCGCAGCTGTTCACTGTGCCACCGTATGCTGTTGCATATCCCATTACTTTGTTGGCTGCCTGGCTCTCCGATCACTACAAGGACCGGGGCATCATTGCCACTATCGCCTGTACCAGCGCATGCATCTCATTCATTATCCAGGGTAAGGCATTGATTGTCCGCTACATTTGGGAATCCCCTGCTAAATTCATCTAGCTGCCCTTCCTGAGGACGCCTTCAAGGCCCGGTACGCGTTCCTGATCATCGCCACGACCAGCGTATTTGCAGGCCTTCCATCGCTGAACGCCTGGGTCGGCGACAACGTCCGCACGACGACCGCAAACTCCCTCACCATCGCCTTGAACATTGCATTCTCGGGGCCCGGTCAGATCATCGGTGTTTGGATCTACAGGACGCAGGACGCACCCGCGTACCGTCTAGGGCATGGAGTCAATGCCGGCATGAGTGCCATTGCTGCAGGGCTGGCGCTCTCGTTGGCGTTATACTACCGTCGACTGAATAAGAAGATCGAGGGCACTGGTGAGATAGCGTGGGTTACTTAGAGGTTGTCTTATAACTGCTTCTTTCTCTTATATTGTCGTTGTCTACTTGTTTTGCATCAGCCAGGATCGTCGATATCTTTTACACCGTATCAGGCATTAGAATTTCTAGCAATAATAATACCCAGGTCTAAATATCATACTCAACCTCCTGAACAGTCGGCACTCTGTCCACCTTCATCTCAAAGAACGCCGCCACCAGCTTGACAGACTCCCAGATGGCCTGCACCTTCTCACTACTAACCCCCAACCTCCTAGTCCCGCGAATATGCCAATGCGTCTCCAGCTTCAGATTCTGAATCATAATCCCAGGGAGAACAACCAACTGCGTATCCAAATCATCAAGGACCTGCCGATCCGACAGATAAAACCCATACGTGATCTCCGTGCTAATCCACGTAAAGTCCTTGTGCGCATCAAACAGACCCAGCGTGTCGCTCGCATTCCGCGCATAGATCTTATCATACCACCCCATTGCGCGCTCATGGTTCGCGCTGTCGGCCTGCCAGTTCTCGCGCGTGGTCGCATAGTCCCTATCCTCGGGCTTCTCGACCTGGGCGATGGCCAGGATGGACTCGATAGGCTTTGGCACGCCGACGATGGAAATGGACTTTACGAGGGCCTCGCGCAGCCGGCGGATAAGGGCCTTGCGGGCGTCGGATGTGGCATACTCGGGCTTGTTGATGAGGTAGTTGTACAGCTGGTGGGCCTCGTATGGCTGCGTGCTGGCGGTTAGCGTTGTAATGGCGAGAATGTACCAGCGGTTGGAGTCGAAGCCGGCAGCCTCGAACTTTTGCTCGAGACTCTGGAAGAGGGCGTCCATCTTGTGGCTTGGGTTGGGGTCCTAGCGCTCAGTCTGGGTTGGAGGCTGGAGGATTGTTAGAGCCCGAGCACTCGGCCTTTTGTGCGAGGACTTTATAGACTGAGTCAGTTGGAGAAGAGAGAGCTGCATGTCGTGTATATCACCCCAGTAATACTTGGGAATGCTTGGCCAGCAGGATCTACAGACTGGCGGAGGTGTTGATATTGTCCGGGATCATAATATCGAGTCAGGCAGTACGACCTGTCAGTGCGGGCAACTTTCCGGCCCAAGATACCAAAGAAGCAATACCACGCGCCAGAGCCTGTTTGACGTGTGGTTGAGCAAAGAATATGCAGGAATCAAGCGGGGCTCCGGAGCCGGACTTGCCTCCGGATCCAGAGTATACTGAGACGAGGTATACCCACCACGTCGATCTGAGCGTGCACAACGTCCCGGGGTTTCTCCGAGGTATGCAGTTGACACTTGAAACCGAAATATCATTCAAGCTGCATCGTATATCCTGTTGCGGACCGCAAGTGTCTACCACCGACCACCGACACGCACCAAGACAGCAAACATCATGGGTTCTTGTCAACAGCCTGATGCCCTTCCCCAGCTGGCATCAAAGACCGTCATCGTCACCGGAGGCGCAGGCGGCATCGGCGCAGCCACTGCCAAAGTCTTCAACGCCAACGGCGCCAATGTAGTCATCGCCGACATTCCCAGCTCGCAGGAGTCTGCACAGAAGCTGATAGCGGGTTTCCCGTATCCCGAGAAGGCCGTTTTCACGCCCGTTGACATCCTCAACTGGGGACAGATGCTGGATCTGTTCCGCGGGACGGTAGACCGGTTCGGGTCCATCGACACGGTCGTCGCAAACGCAGGCATCATGGAGAAGACAGAGACTCTGGATATCGACACCACAGACGACCAGGGGAATCTTCTCGAGTCCACTGGCGCATTCAACGTTATCGACGTGAATGTGAAGGGGACATTAAACAGTATGTTTACACGGTTCTTACAACAAGTAAAACTAACACCAGTCCCAGCACTACGACTCGCTATGCATTACATGAAATCATCTACCAACAACGCTGCTGGGCGCAAATCAATCGTCCTCGTCGCTTCGACGTCCGGCTACTTTGGTGGCACCGGCGTGTCCGCATACGTTTCCTCAAAGCACGCCATTATCGGTCTGCTACGAGGCTCGCATGTCGCAGCACAAAAACACGGAATCACAGTCACGGGCATCGCACCCTTTTTCACATACACAAATATCACAGCCAAGGCGGGAACGCGGTGGCAGGCGGATGGGCTGAAGCCGAACACAACGGACGACGTCGGCCTGGCCATTGCACAGAGCTCAGTCGAGGGCGCGAGCGGCAGCTGTACTCTGGTATGTTGTCTCCTATTCCTCCAAGGTACCAAAACTAACAGTTTGAAGGTCGCAGGTCCGCACCGCAAGGAAATGGAGGGCAGTCGGAGCGAGGTCATGCCCCAGTGGTTGGGCCAGGGTATCTTTGATTTCTTCCAGAATGCGTTCAAGATCATTTCCAGCAGTGGAGGGTATAACCTTCCTAGGAATAACTGAGGGATACGCAATAGTCCAGTTGTTAGAATCAAATACCCCAATCTGCCGCACTCAATACAGCTGAAACAGCACCGTTGTAGTTTGTTCTCCAAATCGATCCTACGTTTTCCGTGCCTAGTATGAGAACCAAGGCAGTGCCAGCCACCAGGCAGTCGACGCAGTGGATGAGGACAAGACGACTCGCACTTGGGTTCTGATCCAGCACCATTCGGCCAGCCAAATGTAAGTCGCAAAGGAATATCTCCGTTCCAATGTGTGTGTCTTATCCATTCCAGCTGTTTCCTTTAGCGCGTATCCGGTGCATCGAGACGTGGATGGAATTACTCGGGAAGGGAACGGTGGATTCGAGGACCGCGGTAAAAGTTTGCCAATTGTTTCGCGTCGCTCGATATGAGTAGTACGAGGGTCGTTGTAAGGGAGAGTAGCAGGCAGGTAGGTGTCACTGAAACGAACGGGGTTAGCAAGCATCAGCTAGTGGCCATGGCAGTGGTCATGTCGATGGTCTCGACACAGACGCCATATCCGTATAGTAGCAGGAATTGGCAGCTCAGAGCTAAGCAATTCAGCAGCCTCGTGCTTGAAGCTGGACAAGTTGGAAGAATCACAACAAAACGGCTGCACGTGACTATGGAGCGGCACGGCGCATACTTTTTCCGTCTGGCCAGAATTTGCGCCTCAGGCACCATTTAGTGCATCTTCCATGGAGAGTGAGCTGCTCTAATACAAGGATAATAATACATGGAGGGACATGTTAGGCGGTAGAAAGCTGATAATTTGATATCTTGCTAATACAGGTACAAAATTAATGTTATTTCTGAAATTTGGAATCTGCATATTCAAGTCGAAAATATATATATATACTGTCCGACTATCAATGTCCAGGTGACCAAAGTTTAAGCAGAATTCAGCTTGGCAACAACTCTCTGGATGGTCTCTTCGACGCTTTCCTCCTTCAATCCTAGCAGTGAATTTGCGAGGACCTTATCAGTTGCATAGTTAGAGCCCAACCCAGGGATCTCGCCGTAAGTGGTGGCGCGGACCAGGGTAAGAGCACCGCTGAAATCACCCGCCTGGAGCTTCTTGGTGGCTTCGCTGACTTCAGAATTGGTGGTCGTCTTCTGGACAGTCCATAAAGCTCCGGTTGCCTTCTCCAAGGCAGTGAGGATCTTCTTTTGGGTCGTCTCGACCGAGGAGATGTAGAGGTACTGGTTGGCTGTAGCCTGAGGACGCTTCAAGACCGCAACAACAGCATCGGCCAGCTGCTTTTCATTGGTGGCAGTGAACTTTTTGTCACCAGTATCCCAAATTGTGGCCGAGCGAGAGGCAATATCATAGCCAAGGAAACCATTGTTAATGCCCTAATAGCATCAGTATATAGCAGTACCTAAGCTGCTGAGGAACCATACCCAGTCGAACAGGGGAGCAGTGGCCACTCCAGTCCAAGTAAAGGAATCAGATTGCTTGGATTTCAGGTACTCGATGACCTCTTTCTTCTGACCGAAGAGAGGAAGCAGGCCAAGGACAGCGTCGTTCAGGCTGTCTGCCGAGAACTCAGAGGGCAGGAACCTGGAAACGCCGGCATCAATGGCGGCGTCGATGAGCTTCTTCTGGTCCGCAAACCCAGCCGCGCCCACTGCAGAGATCACAGCGTCCTGTCCAATAAAGGCTTGCAGCAGGTCGTCCCTGGAAAAGTCGGACTTGCGGACGGCGATGCCGGCAGGGAAGGTCGTGTCACTGGAGGAGCGAGTCAGGACGGTGACATTGAAGACCTTGGATTCCACAAGGCCAGCAAGAATGATCTTGCCAATGCTGCCGCTGGCCTGCTGCAGTTAGCAGGGGTGTATAGACTGCCAGGTAGGTCACCTACTCCGACGATGGCGATGTTCTTCAATGGGGAGGACATTGTGTTAGTGAAGTTGTGATGGTAGAAGATTTGTAGAGCGATACTTTTGAATTGCACTGAAATCCATCTTGTAGACCCCTTATATACTTTTCAACTGCTTAACGGTAGTTGACAATTGTAATAATTCTGCTTGGAAATCTTATGCTCCGTCCTCCGCCCCAGCCAATCATTACTCTCCATTTCCTCCATTTCTCATCTTTTTCTCCGTCCTCCGTCCTCCGTCCTCCGCTCTCTCATGAATCATCAGAGAACTTGAAATGCTGTCTCGATTGTGAATGTTTTGCTGAGAATGCCTCGACGAGAGATCGCCCCCGGGCGATCATGTCTAGAGTGTCGCCGCCGCAAGATCAAATGCGATCGTTCCCATCCCTGCTCGTACTGCGTGAAGGTCAGCATCCACTGCCAATACCCTCCACCACAACCCTCTCACGGCCATGTCGATAGTCGCGTCGCATCTATCAAACCAAAACCTCCAGGAGTTGGGAAAACGTCGCCCGATGTTGGAGTGACCTCGTCACAAGCAGGGAATGGAGGCGACCCTGCTCGAGGCACCGAGCGCAGCCAAGTACCTCCATTGCAGGGGTCATTCCAGAGCCTAATGGCTGGCTCATCGCGTCATTCTGCTGGAAACCGCTCGTCAAGCCTTCTCAGACCACAAGCGGCTATTGATCTCAAGGCTGTTCGTCCCTCGCTGGCATCGGCCATGCTCCTTTGGCAACAGTACCTACGTGTCGTGGATCCCCTCCTCAAGATATTCCATACTCCGTCCGTACAGCAGCTGGTTGTTAGGGCAAATTGCAGTAGAGAAACTCTAGAAACTTCCGGAGAATGTCTGCTGTTTGTGATATACTATGCAGCTGTCGCAGCAATGTCTCCGCTAGCCTGTAAATCTGAGCTGGACGGCGAAAGAGACATCTTGCTGAAGAGGTAAAGCCCTCGGGTACAGCATCTTTCCTGTTGCTAATGTACATAGGTATCGGACCGGAGTCGAGTATCTTCTTTCTCAATTGGACCTTTTGAATTCCACTAACATGACTGTGCTGCAGGCATTCACCCTCTACCTTGTAAGTCCCATGACTCACATATTGTTGGCTTTTGCTAATCGTTTAGATAACTGGGAGATGCGACCAGGATGGCCCCGACATCTATGCTCTGGTTGGGCTTGCTACTGGGATGGCTCTCAAGATGGGGCTCAACCAAGACGGAGAAGCCCTCGGACAGCCGCCCTTCGAGGTGGAAATGCGCCGGCGACTCTGGTGGCAGCTCTTCATCCTGGACATCCGGGCTGCGGAGGACCGCCAGTCGGAGCCTTGTATTCTGGAGTCGTCGTTCAATACGCGGTTGCCATCAAATATAGGCGATGCCGATCTCCATCCTCAGATGAGCAGACACCCTGTTAGTGGGAAGAACCGAACAGAGATGCTATATAGTCTTGTGCGCTTTGAAGGCAGTTACTTTGCCCGACAGATAGTCTTTTCAGATGGGTTTGACCAAGCTAATGCGTATATATTGTTGTCGACGAAGCAAAAGCGCCACGCGATTGATCTCTTCCAGGAGCGTATTGAGACCCAGTATCTTTCACACTGCGATGACAGTATCCCAATGGACAAGGTCACCATATGGTCCATCCGGCTCGTCCTCGACAAGCTCAGACTAGTGGCAATCGACCAGACGGCGGCAGCGGATGCCCGACAAGGGTGCATAAAACTCTTGCAGGATGCCCAAGAATTGCGAAGCTATGACGGAGGGAAGCAGTGGCTTTGGCTTTTTCAGACATACATCGAATGGGACGCATTGGCGTGTCTACTACGGAGCCTACGTACTGATAAAATCAGACAACACGATGAAGGCTGGCACACAGCCCATGATGTGTATGTCTACTGGAAGAACCATGAGTCTGTCCGACGGGACCGACGATGGGATCAGATAGAAAGGTTGTCGCAGGAAGTGTTTGCTACACGGAGCGAAACTCCGTAGGCAGCTACCGGCTTCAGCATATATTCAGGAATGGGTAAAGCCTGGATTTATCTGGGTACCTCACGCCCGTTGAATCCATGATATTTGACGTTCTTTCCCTACCAAGGCAGGATCAGGTCGCGGTTTCCTACTTCAGGTTGACAAACGCCAGCTCCACAGGGAAAGAGCAGCCAGCAGCCAGGCATAACAGGAAGGCGCGACGACAGTTCACATTGCCCGTAAGCCAGTGGCAGGCTGAATTGCCCGAGCATGTGAATGTTGGCTGGTCAGCATCTGGCCGACGGGATCGGTTATGCGGGATGAAGAGGAACCATTCGCACCAAATCCATACCTGGATTATTAAGAGACCCGTGGGGTGCCTCATATAAGAGTGCTGAAGTGTATCTGTCAATTCTTGATCTACCAAAATCGCAACCAAGCACCCACCATGACTGATGTCAAATTCTTCTTCTTCCCCGGTGCCTGCTCCCTAGCACCACATATCCTCCTGCACGAAGCTGGCATCGACTTCACACCATTGAAGGTAGAGAGAAATGGAACTGAAGTGGTATTCCCGCAAGAGTACCGCGATGTGAATCCTAAGATGCGGGTGCCAGTTATCGTTGTCGGCGATGAAGTCATCACCGAGCTTCCTGCCGTCTGCGCCATCATATCCCAGCTCTCGAAAGAGAAGAAGTTTATGGGACGAACACCACTTGACACCGTCCGAGTATACGAGTGGCTCAACTACCTCTCGGGAACCGTCCATGCGAGTGCATTCGGGCACCTGTTTCGCCCATGGAGATGGACGACGTCGGACGATCTTGAAATCCACAACGTAATCAAGGAGAAGGCTAGAGAGAACATCACTGTGTCCTTTGAATACATAGAGAGCCGGTTGAGAGATGGGATAGTGTATGCAGTAGGACATGACCTTACTGCAGTCGATGCATTTTTGTATGCCATGTACCGGTGGGCCAAGTCGAGTGGTCTTGTCTTGACGCCTTATCCAAAGTATGCACGACTCGTGGAGAACATTGAGAAGAGGGAGACGATGAAAGTTACGTTGGAGAAAGAGGGATTGGACAATATTTCCCTGTAAGGTCCAAAGTATTGCAACTAGGCGTGGATATATAGACTGCCTTGGAGGCGAGGTGTTGATCCATAGTCATAGATTAACTAAATCACCATAAAATAACTGGCTTCACTGTCTCTCCCGACTGCATATCACGGATTGCTGTCTCAAAGTCCTCGGCCTGATAGTACTTCACAATTCTTTGCAAGGGCAGTCTGCCGTCCTTCACCCAGGATATCAACTTGGGCACATACTCCTGGGGCACGACATCTCCCTCCACGACGCCCATAAACTGTCTTCCAGAGACCATGAACTCGTGGATGGGTATTGACAGAGCAGCCGTTTCAGGCGCTGTCCCAACCTGTAGAATCTTCCCCTTGAACCCCGTCATCTTGACACCTTCCGCGATTAAAGGTGGCACACCAGTTGTATCCAGCGTGATATTCGTCCCTAAACCACCAGTAAGACCAACGACAGCAGCAGTAACATCCTGAAGGGCCATCGATGGATCAACTCGGACCACATGCGTGGCCCCCAGTTCCTTTGCCAGTTCCAGCCTCGACTCATGCCGGTCAATTCCGATAATCTGTTTACACCCAGCAATCTTCGCACCCATAACTGCACTCAAGCCCACGCCCCCAAGGCCGATGACTGCTACTCGGTCGCCAGGACCTGCAGCTGCAGCATTGATGATTGCACCGCTGCCTGTCTGGATACCGCACCCCAGCGGCGACATCAACGCCAGATCTTCTCGCTTATCCACGAGCCCAGAAACATTGACTATCGACTCCTCCTGAACAATGGACAAGCTCGCAAAGCTGGACTGTCCGAAGAACTTCCCGTAGATATCAGGCTTAGACGCAGATTGCGACGACGCCTCGAAGACGTAATCCTCCGGCGCAGCCTCAAAATTAATCGCATTAAACTCGGCACAATGCGCGGGATGTCTCCTCTCGCAGGGCTCACAAGCCTTGCACGACGAGAACGACATGAGAACTGCGTCTCCGATACCTGCTACATTCGTGCCCGGCCCAACAGCTCGGACATATCCAGCGCCTGCATAATCTCAGCAACACCCTTAAAGCAAAGCAAAAAACAGATACAAACCTTCATGACCCATAACTCGAGGATAGTGCATGCCAAAGCCCGATTCCGCGCCTGCAAAATGGAGATCGGTCTGGCAGATCCCCGACGCGACCATTTCAACGAGGAGTTCCTTCTCTCGCAGCGGGCGCAGCGAGACATTCTCCAGCTTCCATCCTCCGGCCTTGAGCGGGCCGTAGGAGACGAGGGCGCGGGGAGACTTTTCATCTGCCATGGTGTAGTTTGTCGACCAAGATACTTAGGCGGCGAGCTTGATATTAAACTTGAGGTATCGGTAGTGGGTGGGACTATCTGCCGAGAAGCTTTGGCGGAGGTCGGTGGGGGTGGGATGAGGGGTGGGATAGCTTCATAATCGGAGAGAACTGTATTTTAACTGGACTACGAGGGGAAACATGGTTAAAAAGGGAATCGGTCTGGAGACTATTTGCCGTTGCTACAATAACCTATGATGCTCGGTGCACTGTAAGGTAGGGAACAATTGCGTAAGGACTCGTGTAGTACAGAATATTGTAGTGTATCACAGTCCACCTTTTAACGGATTAATGAAATTGAATGGAATGAACTGAATTGAATTATGCGTATTTTAATATTATTGAAGTTACTAAGACATCCCCCGTAAAGCCTTCTTCGCATCAACAGGCGACTGCAACCACTGCCTCGTCTCCGGATCCAGACACTCCTTCTGCGCATCCTCCCACTCGCTTCGAACCATATCGGCCCTCTCCTTCGACCGCGGCGTGATACTCGCCGGAAACTCCTCAGGCATACAGACAAACCCCTGCGTCAAGCGCTCCTGGTCAGGAATGATATCCTTCCCGCCCGCGTCCTTCGCAGGCTTGATATCAAACGACCACAGAATCCTCGACATACCCAAGAACAGACTACGTTCGGCAACGTGAATCCCAGGACAGATACGACGACCAGCGCCAAAGGTAAACGCATCCCTCTTAGACCCATCAGGGTTCGCAGCCGCGTCACCAAGACTCTGGCGGTCGTCCTTGTACCGGTCTGGGCTGAACTGTCTCGGGTTAGGATGACGCTTGGGGTCCATACCAATCGCCCAGACATTGTGCAACACTCCAGCGCCCTTGGGGATGAAGTAGCCCATGTACTCGTCGTCCTGGGTAACGGCGTGCGGGACAGCACCCATGATAGTTGTCGGCATCCAGCGCAGCGTTTCCTTCATACAGCCGCGGACATACTGCAAACTATCTAAATCCTCCATCACAGGAAGACGGTCGGGACCGACAACGCGGTCGATCTCCTCCTGAGCCCTGCGCTGGACATCCGGATACAGCAGCATTGCCTGGACGAATGCATACAGGGTACTCGAGGTCGTATCCGAGCCGGCCTCGAGCAAAGTGCCCGAGATATAAGACGCCTGGTCATCGCTGAAGCCCTCTTTCTTCTGCGCCTCGTTCATCCCAATACTGAAACACGGCTTGATGTTATCATTGCGGATGTCCTCTTTTGCCTTGAGCCAGTGGCCCTTGTACAGAGCTTTCTCGTGCCTGTGGAGCTCCATTGCCTTCTTCTTTGCCGGGAGAAGGAAGGAAGGGAGTTTCTGGAAGAAAGGGAAGAAGTCGACGAATGCAGCTGGGCCGGTCTGGTTTAGGTCCGCGAACTCGTTGAAGCCGTCGAAGAGCTGCATCATTTTGGGATCGTCGTAGGTCGGTGTGCGCCAGCCAAAGACCATAGTCGTTGTGAGAGCGTTGGAGTATCGGCGGATATGCTTGAGGAAGTCGTCGGGCTCGGTGAGGAATTGGTAGAGCATTTGCTTGTTCTCGAGCATCTGGTAGGGGATGTAGCTTTTTGATGTGACGACGTTTAGAAGGCCGTGGACCATTTTACGGAACTGAATCGTTAGTTGCTCCTATCTATATAGATATTATAGATTGTTGGCTCACCATTCGCCATGTTGGTCCGTACTCCTGTTTATAAAATCAGCATATGGGCTTGTGTTCACTTTCCAGTAGACATACCATCATCAACATCCGGAGACCGCCACTGCATAGCTTCTGGCCGATGTACATTTCCTGCCTGGAGGAGTAGATTCCACTGCGCCTATCGAGGAGCTCCTTGACAGCCATGTCACTCGATAGAACAATCATGCACTGAGTGCCCAGCATGAGACTGTAGATAGGACCGTACTCCCGCGCCCACTTCTCGAACTGGAGATGAGCGTCACGAGAGGGCATCTGCAGCCGTTAGATACAGTAGAGTATACTGGGGTGGACATAACGAACCTGGTGAATGTTACCGAGTATAGGTAGGGTTGGAGGGCCTGGAGGGTAGTTCTTCGGACGACGACCAATCTGAAGGAGACGGTAAACCAGGACGGTCGTGGCAACAGCCACAAGGGCCGGAGTAATTGGAAGCATTGCAATATTCTCAAGTATGAAGGGATTAGGCTTGGGTGTTGTAGAGTCTGATGAAGAGCCCCAGGATCCGACAAGGGCAGCGACCGGGGTGGTTGCTCATATTTATGTCTTTATCTGAGACCTACAGATAAGCTTCATGCAAGAAAATCTAACTACGAAATTACCTAGATCGTCTCGGTGTACCCCGGAAGTAGAAGGTAAGTCGGAGACGGAGGTGGGAGCTGTGGGAGACGCAGCGGAGTGGAGGTGGGAGGCCCAATATTGAGGAGCCTGATAATCATCATGAGCAGAGCTATTACACGTGAAAGATATGTAATTATAAGAGTTAATTGGTTAATCCCGATAGATATGCTAGCAAAGCTATGAAGCAAGGTCATCCCGCTATCCGGAAATCAGACAAGCTGAGAATCAAATCATTCACCTGGCGCATGCTCGTCTGGTCATATTTATTCAGAATCGAGTCCAGCGGCCCATCGTCCAGCCGTGCCAGTTCATTAACCCCCGGACTACCGGTTGAACTGCGTGCCGTGAGCTTGTCCGTCATGAGGTTGGCCAGGAGCCAGTATTCGGGACAGTAACTGCAGAAGCCAACCCGCTTCCACATGTTTTCAGGCTGCAGATCGTTGTGATTCACAGTTACATGAGGTGACATCCCTGGAACGAGGGACGAAGCAAACTGTTGCCAGACAGCCTTCCAGTTGTTCAGGGCGTGGTGGACCGGGGAAAGGAGCTGCAGACTGCCCCAGGAGTTTCGGTACTGGAATATGAGCGAGTGAATAGCTGGGCTGGATTAGCAGTGCTAGTTTGAAGACCTGTAAAAAGACTGACCGGATGTCAAGGTAAACAAGTTCAAGGGTCCCAAGGCCGCGAGACCATCACGCACTCTGACTTCCAAAGTATCTCTACAGAGAACCTGAAAGGCGCTGCAGAGCGAGATCTCCCAAAAGAGACTTTCAGAAGGCAACCAAACCTGGATCTGCTCGTAGCACTCATCGGCAGTCATGGCCTGGAAGCACGCCTCGGGGACGGCCGTATGGATCTTCATTTCCTTGATCACCATTCGAGGGGGCAGGTTGTTGAATATTGTAAACGCAGTATCGAGCAGGAATATCCACGTAAGGACCCTGGTTAATATAATCAGCAAGGCATGACCAGTGTCTAGAAGTGGCTCGCACCTGACGAATTCCTCTCGAACAGCAAATTGTAACCAGTCGAATTCACATCTCGCTTGTTGGCTATAGTTTATATGTCTGGCCATGGGGATCCCGATATCTCGACCTGTCTTTGCAATTATCAGCATGGGAATTCCAAACTGGGTGGCTGGCTTACTGAGACCAGAGTTGCAAATCGATTGCGACGAATTCTGCGTTTACTGGCATCGTCTCCTTCCCATGTCTGGTATAAACACACCATGTAGGCTGCCTGGAGGGCCTGGATTTTGTTTCGCCGCACACCCAGACTGCCTGACGAGAAGGAGACGTCGCTGTTGAAGTCCTCATCAATAAAGACCAACTCTTCAACACAGTTGAACCACGTCTGGGCGTTTTGGTTATCTGACGGATCGGGAGAAACACAGGCTCCTGTAGATGTCGTTAGATATCAGCGATAATGAAAGAAGGCATGTGAAGACTACCGATAAGAGCCATCGTGGCTAGCACAGCCGGCTTCGCCTGGACGGGGTCAAAGCTAGGCCGGTGAATGATATTAACATTGGGATGCCATATAGCCCAGTAGAACTCGAGATACTTGCGAAGACTCGGGGGCGAAAAGAATTCAAGACACATCTGCTCCAAAACAGGGGACCAGTCCAGCGAGACGGCACTGTTGCGAGGCTTGATGGTGACCACCTCCTTCACCAGTAAGAGTATCTGATGCGTCTTGAGAGACAGCGAGTTATCTAGCCAGGTTGTCGAACCTTGAATCACCGGCGACAGAATACATGTTCTCTGAGCTTCAGTCCCACAGTCGAAACTGGCAACGAGGCCTGTATTGCTGGTGAACTTGTCTAAAAAGCGCAGCGATCGGGTACAGTCCGTGTCCATAATTGGGGGAGTCCGTAGTGTTTGACTTTCACTCGTCATCGTCAAGAAGTCCTGCCAGCTGAGGCTTGAATAATCAAGGCCTGCAGGGAAGAACGGCGTGTCTGAAGGGCTGGGCATCATGTTTCCGAGCGGCGGGTTAGGCAGATCGAGTGGAAAGGCCGTGACGGGCATAAGACTGCGCTCGAAACTGGAGAAGTCCGGGTCCAGGTCAATAGGATTGGGAAGCTCAATCGTCGAGGCATCCGACTGTTTCCTGCCAGACGTGGGGGTGGCGGAGGAGTACTGGCATTGCACGCCCTGCGACAAGCAGCGCTGGCATGGCTGGGCAGAATTGCAGGCCTTCTTGAGCCGGATACAACGAATACAGGATCGTCTCCGTCCTGAAACGTGGCAGCTGTCGGTTTCCCTTCCAGAGCACGTTCGTATATGGCGCCTGAGGACGTCTGTTCGCTGGAAAGTGCTGTCGCATGCCGCGCACCGATGGGGCCGATCGGAGGAATGTGAACTGCTGTGGCGCTGAAGGTGCTCTCTGCGTTTGTATCGTTTAGAACAGACGCGACACTGAAACTGCCCGGCGTCCATGGTGAAGCTGGGGTATATGGGAGGATGGCCGCATTAGCACTGGATTGCCGCTACGATCGTGGATTGAAAAGCGCGGAGGGGGTGGAATGCGGGGGCAGATCCAGAATTGGCTTAACTGGATCTGATCTGGCGAATCAAAGCAGAGAACTGTCAATCTGCATTCCAGGGTTCGTCAGTCGCCACAGTCGGATCCCACTGCCGGGTTCAACTGCCGACACAAGTCCGTCTTTATATACACATTCAGCAAGCACGGATTGCTAGCGATATAATATTTAGGACTACAGGGTTTGAACACAACTATATTATAGCTTTGGCCTCGCTTGTTCCACCAATGCCAACGTCTTTCGCACAGCAGTCTGGCCCTGCTCAATTGCCCCATCGACAAACCCTCTCCATCCATCTGCCCAGTCTGCACTCGCAAATATAATTCGTCCCTGGTGTTGTTGTAGCTCCTGCAGGTATCTCGACGCACTATTCGGGCCCCAGCATGCCCAGACTCCTTTGGCATAGGGATCATTCATCCAGTCATGCGTTGCATATCCCTCAACCTCAGCATCGGGCTTGATATTCTTCCGGAACTGCTCCAGAATATGCTTTGAGTCCCTCTTGTCCGTGAGTTTGCCATTATATCCAAACCCAATGCACCAGGTCCCTGACGGCCGTGGTGATTGCGTTCCATTATGGTCGGAGAATGCAAACAGGAAGCTGGAGTCGCCGTAGCCGTCGCCGGTCCAGAACCAGCCTGGAAGGGTTTGGCGAAGCTTGAAGTGAATCTTTGCGCCCTTGTTGATGTGTCCATTTGTAGCAGCTTCGTGGCGTAGGGGTGATAGAGGGGGGTCGAACTTGATATCACCAAGACAGTTCCTAGAAGTGGCATGTTAGAGCTGGAATGACGAATAGTATGAAGGCACTCACAGTGGGATAGTTGAGATGAGAGCCTTTGCTGTAAACTTCTGTCCGTGAACACTGGTGACCTCAGCTCCTCTCGAAGTATTGCGGATGGCGGAGACTGCAGTGTTGAAGAGTCTATCGCCAGTATATTCCTCCAAAATGGCACTAGCAAGGGCAGTCATCCCCCCATTCCCTATCTTGTAGATACCGGCCATTTCCATTACGCCAGCAAATGTATGCCCGCCGAGCGCATACCACCGCAAAGCCTCCACAAAACCGATATCCCTCCCCGGCGCACTGCCAAACGTATTGGTGTTGGACTCGAACAAGTCTTTGTCTCGCTGCGGAATATCATGTAACGCATCCAGCCGGTCCTTCACAGTAAGATGATCGTACTTCTTCCAGAGGACCGGTTCACGTAACGAATCATGCGGGTATGGCATCAGAGCTCTACTATCCAAGCCATCGACAGAGAATACCCTTTCCGCAACCCGTTCAATGGCAGCAGCGCAATCAAGAATCGAAACCTCCTCTACCCCTCCCGATGCTGGGGTAAACGACTGGCTCGTTGGAGCAAAAGTGCCAGCCGACGTCTTTAGATTGCGATGTAGCCCATACCGGTGCAGCTCAGCATACACATGCGGCTGCGCCCAATGGACCCATGTCCCTCCCATCTCGAGATCCTCGCCCAATACCTGTGCGGTCCAAGTGCGGCCGCCAATGCGATCGCGCGCTTCAATGAGGAGGACATTGAGGTTGTATTTTCGAGATAAATCGCGGGAGGCTATGAGACCGGCAAACCCAGCCCCGATGACAATGACATCGTAGTGATCTTTGACTGTAGACAAGCTGGATTGGACCGCAGCAGTTTGAAGACCCTCAGTTGCCCCGGATGGCGTCCATAGATATCCTTCTCTGGAGTGAGACATGTTGTTCTACTATGCTGCAGTAGATAGAGTACTCTTGCGGGTAGCCACGCCATGAATATATGACCCCATCAGTGGAGATCTACGCGGAACGAAAGAGGACTTACCGAAGTAACAGACTATGGGGCATATCGAGAATACCTAGTAGTGCTGGAGACGCGATTGGCAGAGGAGGCCAAGAACTGGGGTTGCCACCGCACTTTTTTGCCTATTTGGGACAGCTATGCTTTGCCCCAGCCATTTCTTGTCGAGCTACCAAGTATGACGTTGTTGGTATTTCCCTATAATTCTGATGTTATTTAGGAAAATGCGATAGTCTTAATGGGAAGGTACGGTGATAAATATACTGCTGGAAGGACGATGGACAGACTGTATATTCTACCATGATCACTATCAGACGAACTATACAAATCTAATTTGCCTACAGCTTCGCAAATCGCTCCGTCCGACACTTCACTGCAAGCCCATAGCTGTCGGAAGAAAAGGTAATTGTGCTTCCCCTGGTGAAAAAAAACACATCTCCCGCCTTCACCGTGGTGGATTTGCCTGTCTCGTCGCGGAAGTTGAATTCCCCTATAGCTCGTAGTTAGCGAATGGCCGGTTTAATCTAGAAAGATACCTGATACCTTCAATGACAACGCCAAACTCATCATACTTGTATGTTGGCGGCGTCGCCTCTGGCCCCTTCTCCATGCGGAACCAGGCGCCGACGATGGGATCAGCGACATCCGTCCTTTCAGTCCCGAGCAGGTCATCTGTCCAGGTAAGCAGGTAATATGGATACTTTTAGTTTGGACCTACTGAAGAACACATTCGGGACCCCTGAGAGTGCAGGGAGCTTGAAGCGCTCGGTCTTGTCCTTGACTTGGAATGGCATTGCAACAAACCAGGTGTATAGAAACAATGCCTATGAATCCTATCCTTGAGCTAACTCTGCTTTAAATTAGCCTAGCTATCGGAATTCCTCAAGATAGCGGAATTGCGGCGGTCATGACCCAATCGCGTACTCGCGATATATGCACTTTTTTGCCGAATTGGGAAGCGCCCAGCCACCCCGGGCCGCGGACCCCGTCTCGAGAATCGTACTTACACAAACGCGGGGAGATTCGAGAATTAGATGAGTATTAAATCGTATATACGTAATGCAACGCACAGTAGGGCGCACTATTAATGCGGACCTAACCAAGGATCGTCTCCAGCTTCTCCTCCACCATGACCTCGGTCCACTGGACAAACTGCGGAGGGTCCGTGGAATTAGACACTCCTACCGCAGACTGGATATCACTTCTGGCCCATACTCTCTCCAAGATCTCCCTTCCGCGAGAGACTGATGCAAGTCCGACGTATACACGCACGGCGTCCAGGCGCGTCTTAGCAAAGTCTCGCCAGTGGAGCTGGACACTTTCTTGACTGGATATGGATAGGATTTCGGCAGATAGGTTGTCCCAGGATGAATTGCTTGAGGACTGAGAGGGAGCCTGGTACATTGGCTGTAACGTGCTGCCCGCGACGATAAGCGGAATTGAGAGCAGGCAGTTCACCCCAGAGCTCTGTGGAATTCCAGATATGAGGGTTAAAGTAGAGACAGCCAGAGCAATGATCTTTTCTGAGGATGACACCTGATGCATCTCTGGAGTGTCCAGCAGTTCCGGGAAGTTTCTATACAACTCCAACAATCCCGTAAACCTGTAGATCTTAGCCAGCATTTGTAGATCAGCCATGGTCGTCAATGGGTCAGCTGCATCCTCGACCATATCCTGGCTAGGAACTTGATACGAAAGAAGAGCCGTTTCTGTTTCTTTGGCTGACTGGAGGAGATCAGCCTTCAGCTGATTGCCCGCATCTCCACGAGAGGTCATGATTGATAGCTGCTTGAACAGCAATCGCTGTCGAGCCAGAGTCCCTGCCCTGGCAAGGTACACAAACAGTGGTGTACATATTCCAGTCCACGGGTTGGGGTGAATTTTGGATAAAGACTGGTGGCAAAAGGCATCAAGGTAGACCGTGGCGTCGAGTGGTTGGTTTATGAGAAAAGAGGCCATGGCTTCCCAGTAGACTATGATACCAGTCATGAAGCTTCGTAGGCGCGATGAGGAGGGTGTGAGAGAGGGTGTGTTTAGATGAGATTGGTCGTTCTGAGGGTTAGCAAGCCACCGTTTGAAGAGGACTCGTGCTTCGTGAAGATGGGTCGTCCCAAGGTAGGATGGATTGTGCCAGCCCTGTGGATGTCAGAAATATCTTGATACTAAGCGGATTATACGCACATCGGTCATGCCTATTAGAACACTGCCCAGTAGAGCCTCCGTTGCTTTATCAACCACCGGGCCGCGTCGCTGGCTTGGGCCTCTGAGCGATGCAATATCTGACTGTAAATACGACAGCGCCTTTGCTCGATAATCGCGGGCAGCAGCTGTCATACTGCTCTTCAGCACAGCCAGGTGAGCAGCAGACATGGAGAGAACACAATGATAGATAAGAGGAGAAGACGCCATGAGGTTCCCCAGTTCAACGCGGAAGCAGTTCTTATCAGAGTCAAAGCATGAGTTTATGCGACAAACCTGCACAAAATAATGCCGTGATATGCCTGTCCCCTGGTCCTCGAGGGGCTGAGGGATGGAGAGTGGAAGAGAGAAGTCTGCCCATTCTAGCCACCCCGTCTCGTTATCATGCCCATCACTAAACTGGCCTGGAATTTGCATATCGAGAAGACTGCTGATGGGGTCGAAATTATTTTGATTCCTTGGGGAGGGCCCATCCTGTCCCTCCATGGCTGTCAGAGTTTCGACGAGGAGGCTTCCATCTGGGCTTGAGTCCCAGCAATTTGCATTCATCATTGTACAATCCCGAGGAAGAGACGACGGTGATGGAATCTGAAAAGCATCGGTCGCATTTTCCACCAACCTGGTTGTACTGGGCGAGATGGCCCTTGTAGAGTGGCTGTTGGACGCGACTTCATACTTGGAGGACCATTTTAACGGGCGTTTATATCCAGGGCAGTCGAAGCCCCTGCGGGTACATTGGCTACAATGGGGATATGTCTCGTCGCATTTAATTCTCTATTTCCAGTTAGCAGGGTTGGTATCAGGCATTCTGCTCGACGGACCCTCTGTTTACAGCGCTGGCAGCCGGCTATAATCGTTAGCCGGGCGGTTTACAGTCCTAAAAATCAAGATACGTACTGCGAGTTTTGAGGCGGTTGCGAGGCAGTGGGCGCTGGTCAGGCATGGTTGCTGTGTATGATGCTTCTCCCCAGATCCCCAGAGCAAAAGGGAAGAAAGAGAAAGACTTCTCCGCACTGAACTCGGCTTCATTCCGCGCCTGAACTTAAACTTCTCCACCAGACTGGCTTATCTCCGGTATCAGTCAAGGTATGCAGTTACACTCTATCTACGGTGGACAGTACCATGATAACAAGATAATGAGCGAATTAGCTACTGCCAGCTGTGCATCTCAATATTAGGCCCCGTATACTCCCTCCGCCCCTTCCACGCCCAGTACACGACACTGAAAATCAACACTGCCCCCAGAATCAGAGACGAATAATTCATGTTCTTTGCAGTCACCGGCTGGTACGGCGGGAACACCATGAATATCGTCGTATAACTAAGGTACACCACCGATATAATGTTGATCGGCACTCCTAAACGTCCAAGCTGCCAGGGCCCGTAGACGAGAGACGTTCTTCGGCTTGGGAGCCGGTGCCAGAGCATCAGGGCTACAGGGACCAGGTAAGATACATGTAGTCCTAGAACGGCAAGGGAAATAATGGCGTTGAACGCGGTGGTAGATCCGATGTTGACGAAGCCCATTATAACAAGGACTGTGCTCGTCGCCAGGATTGATCGGGTCGGAAGCTGAGTCTTTGCGTCCAGCTTCGCCAGATACTTGTAGCCAGGAATTGCTATACTCATCAGATTGAGAGTTTCTAAAATAGAAAGGATTGGACGTACCCTTGTCTCTCGCTAGCGACCATACCATGCGACCTGCCGATGCCAGCAGCGCAATCGTAGCCAGCCACGCAGTAAGAATTAGAAAAGTAGTCATTACAGCACTCGCAGCTCGAGAGTCAGTGATGCTGCGAAAGATCTCAATGACCGGAAACCCGGTCGGGCTGTTGAGCGTCGTCTCGAGGTCGCCCATACAGAAGAGCAGAGCCAGAAGGAAGGCAAAGCCCATGGTGCCATTGATGGCGAGTGATCCCAGCATGCAGTACGGCACAGCGACTGCTGGATTGTTCATTTCCTCTGCAAGATGGATTGCTCCGTCGTATCCTATCCATGTTAGGTACTAAATCGAATACTGCAGATATCGACGAACCAGCCAACACATAGCAGCTTGAAAGCATCCCGATAGACCACGCCACCCCACTGCTCGACCAGCCAGAACTGTTGAGAAACGTCCCAAAGACAAACCCAGCAGAGTGCATGGCAGGAGTACAAGCCCACAATACAGCAAAGATAGCGATAAAGGCACAAATATGAATAACCAGGGAAACAGTCTCCACAATCGACACGAGACGGCTCCCCCAGATATTGATGGCGGTTCCCATGCCAATGAGAGCCCAATAGATGAGCGTTCCCTGCCATCGTTCCATTCCGTATGATTCATGGTACAGAGCGACGACCCCCTGGATCATTGTCGCCGATAGGAAGGGGGCGCTGGCTGCGAAGGCTATCCATCCGAATGTACCTGAACCGACGTGTTAGATTCTTGAAAACAGGCCTGGGCAGTGGCTACCAACCTATCCATCCTATGGACCAGCTCAGGGCATTTTTAATCCGTTTTGGGGCGAGTTTCGCTGTAAAATGATACTGCCCCCCAGCGGTCGGGTACCTGGTCTGTTAGCGGACTATAGCGGACTATAACTGGGATGGCTGTTGCGTACATGGAAGCAAGTTCTCCCAAAGATGCCGCAGTTGCCAGGGCTCCAATGATTGCCACTGCCTTCAGTCAGTTCATTACCTGGAGTGAACGCGGCCGATTCAACCAACATAGAAAGCCATATACCAACGAGACTGGCCCTCCACTAACAAGCCCTGACACCATGGTGCTTCCAAGCAGTTAGAATCTGCCATTATATCAAGGACATGAACTCACCTTGAAAGTGCCTCCCATGTTGCCATCAGAATCACGGTCATGGAGAGGATTGTCAGGCGCGAAAAGCCCTTCTAGTAGGAGTTAATTCGGAAACCCTTGTATGCGTCGGTTAGATCGCACCTTGAGCTCAAACGACGCCCCTTCATAGTGGCTTTTTCGGGCCTCGATCTCGACTGAAGGGTCCGCCGCCTGGCCTGGTGCCTTTTTCCCCTGTCCCATGATGTGCTAGCCCAACGAGTAAGTATATGGGAGGCGATGAGAATGGGAGATAGATGCAGCGTCTGAAGGTATGGGAAGGGTGGTCAATATATTGGCAGACGGGACCAAGTGACAGTAGGGCATATAGTTCCAATTATTACGGCCTTGCCAGCAAGAGATATACGCTGTAACTTATATAGGACGTCCGTATCAAACACGGTCTCTTTGCCCAGAACGATGTACGTGGTGCGGGCGAATCAGGGGCCAACAGTTAGCTACAGTATGCGCGTCCTCCAGCTGTCTTACAAAAAGGGCGGAACTGATACTAGGCCGCTATCAGAATCACAAGCTCTTCCCCCACATCTCAGCAGTGTCTTGTCTTGACCCCAAGACTGCGGGGAAGGGGGTTGATAGACGCTGGTCCGCCAATCGCATGTGGATGCGACGGGGTGGACCATATCAGCCTGGGAAAATCCTCAGGAGCTGCCAGCCAGTAGCAGCTGGTGTAAAAGCACTCTTATCTGTCATGGAACGCTTAGCCAGACGGAGATTCCGTTGTCGAAGAACAACCAACCTGACAGTCTATAATCCGGTATCATTCCGCCACCTGTCCATTAACCGCACCGACGTTAATCAACGATATAGAATAAAAGGGTCGACCGATACCAGCTGATTGTGGAAATTAAATTGGCTTATGAAGATGAACAGCTCATGCCTAATTAAGTAAATTATCACTCAAGGGCCAAGCTTAAATCCACCCCAGTTCAGCCGGCTAAAGACTCCCTGCGGATCAACCGCCCTCCTAATCTCCTTCATCCGCGCTATATTCTCTGGCGGGAACGTAGCAAACGCGTCCTGGAACTCTCCAGCATCGCCCATGTAAATGTGCTCTCTGGCCAACGAGAGTTGACGGTTCTCCTCGTGCAGGCTCTCTCCCAGACTCCGTGACCATGTCGTCACCCGGATATCGTCCTGGGCGTGGTCCCACCCAGTGCTAAATTGCCACCCTGCAATGGGTATCTGGTTAGCGGCATTAATGTGTATATCGGGGTGACCGTACATATTGTAGGCTCAACAGGTAGGTCCCATGTGTTGCCAACCGTCTTGCCTGCACGCACAGCACCAGCAGGACATAGATTGATTACGAATGTTGGATACAGCCCCTGGACATCGGCAAGAGTATCGACGCCATCCTTCCACGCTTGGTACATCTCATAGACCCGTTTTGCATCAGGGACGATAGAATGCTTGGTAAACGCGACACTATTGCGATGTTAGCGACGCTGTGCAATGGACAGAAGAACATACCGGAACATCTGGTTGGGAGTGATCTTGTCTTCAGTCCACCAGCGCAACGTGGTGACATTATGCATTTTCGTCGGCCCATCTATGGCAGTGAAATTGGCAAACTGCGAGGGAGGGTTACTGACACCTTCTTGTACTCCCATCAGTGAGGCCGAAGCCGCTTTGGTGGTAGCATTATACTGCACTGTGAGCACGCTCCCAGCGGCAATTGGGTCGGAACCATCCAGACGACTCATATCCATCGCTGCCTTGATAAAGTCGTATACCTTGTCCTCCTCAAACGTTTGAATAGTAGTACTGACTTTGGGAATAGGGTGCGTTTTCAGAGTAAACTTGGTCACCAGGCCGAAGTTATTCGCGCCTCCTTTCAACGCCCAAAACAGGTCGCTGTTGGTGCTGGCATCGGCAATAACTTGGGTACCATTTCCAAGTACAACATCGTAGCGCTCGACATTGTCCATGGCAAAGCCGTACTTGTTAATGAAATAATGGACACCGCCGATTAAAGTCAGACCGGGCACTCCGATGTCCTTCAGTCGCCCTCCGATGGCAACTCGGCCATAAGGATCCAGAGCCCTAATTACATCAATCCACTTCATCCCTGGACCGACTTCGATGGTATCATTGTGCACTTTGTATTCACGCAGTTTGTTCAGTGTGATCAAGACACCCCCATCGATATTGTTGGATCCAGGAAACTAGAATACCGCATCAGCGAACGACTCTCAGCAGATTAGGAAGCCAACCTACATTCATATGCCCCCCTCCCCGAATGGCAAATGGCGCATCATTGTCAGAAATTATTTTGACTCCATGGGCCACCTCACCCGCATTCCGTGGTTGGAAGATACAGGCAGGAGACAGATCTGAGCGGACATCCCAGAACAGCTTTGTTTCGGCCGTATAATTGGAGGACGAGGGCGAGAGGACTTCGGTCGGATAAGACTGGTATAGCTCTGCGCATGCAGACGATACCCCGGGGCTGACGTAGATGTTTTCTGGCCTGAATGCAGCAGATGCGTTGAGTGTGCTGCAAGAGCCCACACTCAACCCGGCGAGCACCACAGAAAGTATTCGTCCTGCCATTTGAAGATCTGCCAGATGCAACTTGTTCGCATTTGAGGAGGCTCGAAGTCTGGGGGGGAGGTCACATTTAAAGACACGGCTCGGTCGGTGTCCTCGGGTTCGCATTAGACTGATCTAAAAACATAGCGGGCTAGGCATCCCCATTAGCGAGAGCAATCCCTGTAATACCAACGGAAGTTCGTTTGACCTTGACTTGATCAGCAGTGGAGCAGTCGATCTACGCTCGGGTTCGGGTTCGGGTTCGGATCCTGAAACTGTGGATATTAAAGATCGATCTGCAGGATTGTGAATAAACTGCAGAATAAGCTACAGCAGAACGACTGGGTAAGGCCATTGTCTATCCGAAACGAGTATGAGGCTCAGCCTTGTCCCTGGTATTGATATTTCATGACTGCATAGATTAACTCATTTCGCATACCAATCATAAACAAGTCCACCCAATTGCTTCACTTGGCCATCGTAACCACTCTCGATACTCCGGATCCAGAGCGTTGAACAGTTCGCCCATGAACTTGTGGCTCAGTCCTTCCAACCACCACATCCAGTCCAGCTTCTTCACCAGGACACAGAAATAGGCGAACACAATCAAGGCAGGTGGTGATTTCTGCTGGAGGCAATCCACGACCCCATCAGGAATCTCAAATAGCCAGGGCATGACCACAGTGGTGTCTGCCGCTCGAGAAACGTCGCCCATGATGAAAGCAAATGACTGGGAAAGTAAATCCACGGCCTTAATGTACATCTCCCGCTCTGAATGATTGGAAACATGCTCCATGATGAACTCTCTCACCTGCCATACGTACTGCTCTCCATCAATAGCCGGGGTATTCCGCCGTACATAAGAGCGTCGGTCCCCATTGTTGAAGACAGGCGCAAGAACCCCATGCCGAGACATGTGCCTACTGGACTCTAAGACCACCTTGTTTCCGCGGAGGAATGTCAGCCATTCAGGAGTGCCGCTTTCTCCAAGTATCAGAGGATCGTTTTGTGTATGTGGACGACTGCAAGCATAGATGCAGGTCAACCATGAGAACATGATCACTGCTGCCCCTTGACCTTCAACTAGATTGCTGATGTTCGGCGCGACGACTTGCATGGCTGCCATGTGGTGCGTATGGGCTTGCTCAAGGCACTCCTGTCTGCGGTCCGCGGAACATAGACGATAGAGGTGCAATGCTGAGACTGCGAGAATCGAATGCATGACGAAGGGTGTAGTAAACCCTACCTTTGGAGCCTGCTCTTGCCACATTTTCTGCACCTCTGGCTCGGCAGAAAGTGTCCGAGATGTTTCTGTTGTCCAGTGGTGAAGAAGCTCTAGGGTAAACAGAGGTAAGGCTCCCAGTATGGTAGATCCGGCTCCAGATTCAATCCCTAAAGTGTCTTCTGAGGCCTTTTGGACCCAGGCCTCAGTCGAGCTCTCCGGAGAGGTCCGTTGCGAGATGCTAGTGGTCTTGGTGGTGCTTCCCGTTGCATATGTACAGGGAACCCCATATACTTCGCACTTTTCGCATCTCGGCTTCCTCTCGTCACACTAAAGGTCATTTCCTGTCAGCGCGATGGCAAAACAGATAAAATTACAGACTGGCAGGAATTGGGTGGACTACCTTGACTTTGCGCTTCTTGCATTGCATACAGCCATTTCGGGACTTTCGGTGGTATCTCCGCCCTTGTGTTGACGAGGCGTTCAACATGGTTTATTTATCCGGCAAGTAGCTGGCCGGTAGGTAACTATATATATCCATGGGCCGACTGCTGTTGCCTGGAGATGTGAATCGTGTTGCAGTCCTCCTGAAAAAATTGAGAGCCTGCGATGAGTAATCGAGCACGGGCCATGAGGCTGGCTGTATATTTTATAGTGCCTGGATTGCAGCATGAATATGATAAGATACCCTTTTGCCGCTTTTCTCGTCTATTCCGAATTGAAATTGATGTGCTAGCTCTTTTCAAGGGACGTGGTGTCATATATTTCACCTTGCATATACTTCTTATCTTAAGAGATTCCCTGGGGCCGAGAAAGGGCCTGGCGGCTAACCGGGGCCAATCAAGACGAAAACATAAATAAAAATAGCCCTGAAGAGCACCTGCAGCTCTCCAGCTGGCGCTTATGCTGCCCGCCGTTGCCTCCGCTTTCCCCTTCTCAACTCCCAGGGAACAGAGGGAAAGGTTAAGGAAATATCATACCCAGCAAAAAGAATACGCCATCCCCCGAGCAGCACGAGCCGTATTCGCCGAGTCTGGAGCCTTTATCAGAGGGCGAGATGGACTTCGAAGACAATGGCCTCCACATTAACGGAATCGACGAGGAGGTGGAGCGAGTATACGACTACGACAAGGGCGGCCACCACCCTGTCTATTTATTACATCTCCATCGCGGTAGACATGTTTGGTCCCCTCCCCGAGCCATGGTGGTCCTCCTGGGAGGGTCGAGAGTACTATGAACCAGACAGCTCCCGCGAAGATACCAGCTTGCGAGGGTTTTTAAAACACCCGGTTGCACATACCCTGAAGGATATTAACGGCGAGACCCAGCGTTCCGCCATTCCTCAGGAGGAGCTAGAGCTGTTTGGGGACTTGTTGGAGAGTATGTTCCAGTACGATCCAGCAAAGAGGCCTTCAATTGAGGAGGTCTTAAAGCACCCGTGGTTTGCCTTTGCAGCTGAGATGTCTTGATACCATTCTTTATTACCGTTGATTTGAGCGTTATACTGTCTTGCAATCTTGTTTCGCCTCAGTTTCTCTACTTGCCGCGGCGGTCTGCTGGCCTTTTCTTTTTCTTCTGGGTTAGAAATATACAGCATTGTTTTTAAATTACATAAAATTCGTTCCGTTTAGAGCGTCATCGAGCAATTGTTGCATTAAAATAGGTTCTGCGTAATCAATTGTATGCTATACGACTCGGACTGCCATCCAGTGGTACGGAAATAAGTTCTGCTAATAACACTGGTCACACGGTGTACAGAATTACCCTTGCCTGCAATTACTCGCTCACGCGTTGTATATCGCCATCTGGCTTTTTAATGTCAGTACTGGAATACGGCTGAATATTGCCCTGCTTAGGGGCTTCGGCCTCGCGTTCATTGTTGTAGTACGCATCCGCCCGCCGGAAGGGATTATACGCATGGGCAAAAACAGAATCCAACTCTTCAAGTGTCCGGCCCTGTTTGGACATACAAGTTAACCATTGTTCGATACTATCGAGAAAAGGGAGGAACTGACCTTGGTCTCCGGGAGAAAGAAAAATGTGTAGAGTAAGGCTACAAGGGAGACACTGCCAAAGACCCATCCGACACCGAAGTGGATATGCTCCATCATGTACGGGATGACGAAGTTAGTTACGAATGCCCAGATGACGTTCCAGGCTGTTCCGACTGATTGTGTCTTCTCTCGAAGGGAGGCGTGGGGTATTTCAGCGCCCAGTAGATATGGGATTGAGCCGCCACCAGCCTATATATCCGCAGTGTTAGTTAAATGGTTTCTTTTTGGGATTATTGAAGACCCACGTTATAGAAGATAGTGTATAGCATGAACGATGCCACAATGGTATTCCTGGAAGTGGTTGTAGGATGGGCCATTCCCCCAAGGCCAGCAAGCACATACATCCACAGCGCCTGGAGGGAGTAGCTGAGGAAGAGCGTATATCGGCGGCTATACATAGATTATTAGCACATAGTTCTAGATGGAATAAGCTGGAAAACATACCCCAGCCTGTCAACAAGGACCATGGCCAAGAGCACTGCCACGAGGTTGAGAACACTACTGATGATTGGGTATGTATATGCATTCTCCGCGTAGCCGTTCTGTTGGTAGAACTTCGTTTGGAAAGTCGACACGAACGCTTGTCCGGTTGCCTAATTTGATTAGTTTATGACAAAATGCTAGAGGTTATGACTTACCTGTTGAAAAAAGTAGCAGACTATGACTATTATAGTGCGGCGGAGGTTGGTCCCCTTGACGAGGTCAGCCCATGCGGCTTTGTGGACGACTTCGTGCAGCCCCTCTCGGATTTCCCGAAGCTCTTCATCGCAGGCGCCATTCGCCCTATCTTCCACTGGGCGGAGCTTTCGGAGAGACGCGATAGCACCCTCGTCCCGGTCCTTGGAGAGAAGCCAGCGCGGGGAGTTTGGAATGAAGATGGTGCATATAATGATCACTGGGAGGATGCCATGTTAGGAACAGATAGTAAAGTAGTATCCGGGCATACGTACAGACTGGAAATATAAGCTGGAGCCCTGTCACTGTCTTCCATCCTACACCAGCAGTCTCTTTCTCGTAGGCCTTGTTTACTCCACTGGCAATGAGCCCTCCTGCTACAAGGAAGAGTTGTAACGAAACCACGACAAGACCACGGAACGAGGCTGGGACAATTTCTGACTGATATGTACTGACATGGTACTAGTTAGTGATGTCACAGTTCCTTCTACTCAAGGGGAGCACTCACGTCACGTCAACCTCTACTAAACCAATAGATATGTAAACAATGATTCGGCCGACAATGAATTGCGCAAGACGTCCACTCCCGGGACCAGAATCAGCGGCTGTAATCTCAACTACGAGATACTAGTAAGCATGAGAAGCTTGCTTGGGAGGTTAAACTGACTGATAACGCCGATGATCGAGATGACCGAAAGAGCATGAAACACCACACGGTGGCCGTACTTCTCAATCATCGGACCGGCTGAAAAACAGCCAATAAACTTGCCAATAAAGGCCAGTGATGACAGGAGCGACGTGTTCAGCGAGTCGATCTCATAGGCTTGTGTGTCTGCGTTATAGCTGCCGAATTGGTTGATGAAGCCCTGAACAAGGTCAGCCTGGAAACGACTCTTCAGTTATAGCTTCATACCGGGTTTCCAAGGATTCCTCCAAAGCTTCCCGTGTCAAACCCAAACAGCATATCCCCCGTAAGCAGACAGAAGCAGGAGAACAGCAACATAGGGGTCGCCATCATGACCGGCCGCAGTTTAAAGACTCACACAAAAGACACTTTAAGATACACAACGACATGTCAACCAGGAAGGACGGTAGATGGTGGTTTATGAACCCGATTGTACTTCAGATCCACAGCGGAGACTCCCTGCTTTAGCTACGATGGCATAATCCCCCCACAACCTGGGGTAATGCCAAACCAACCATTGTCGCCGATCTGCTTCTACTCGCTCGGAGCCCGAGACTTTTGTTTAATTTCTTCTTGTCTGCTCCGAGCGAGCCTTGTCTGTTCCGAGCGAATTGGGCGCGCTCCGAGCGAGCTGTCTCAACTGCACCACCACCCCGTCTGCTCTACCAATCTGTCTGCTGATAAATTACTGTCGCAATCCCGTGTCCACTTGTCGTTATAACTAAAGATTTCCTCGTCAGAATACTGAATAATTTTGGAGAAACTCGCCCGCTTGACTCGCGACAATCCGCCAACATGGGGAGCACTCCGAAACAACCCAACTTTCTATTCATTCTCGCCGATGACCTCGTACAAACCCTTCCCCATATCTATATCCACCGCTAATCCTTCGGCAGGGCTTCTCAGATATAGGCTGCTATGGCTCGGAAATCCAAACACCCAACATCGACCGACTGGCCGCCGAAGGGACACGCATGCTCAATCACCATGCCGCCGCCGCCTGCTCACCAACCCGAGCAATGCTACTCAGTGGAACAGACGCGCACCTAGGTGGCTTAGGCACTCTGATAGAATTCAAACAAAACGTCCGGGGCGCAGAGCGGTGGTCAGGCAAGGCGGGCTACGAGGGCTTTCTCAACCGTGACGTGGCTACTTTGCCTGAGATCCTGGAGGACAATGGGTATTTTACTGTCATGTCTGGAAAGGTATTCACGAACCAGGTGCATGTCTGCTGTATACTTACTTTATTAGTGGCATCTTGGTATGCGCACGTCGCAAGGGCCATGGGAACGAGGGTTCCAGAAGGCATTTGCGATGCTTCCTGGATGCTGCAACCACTATGGATGGGAGCCGGTGCAGGAGAAGTTTCCCGTTGGCGGCCGACCTATTCACGCCGAGATGGGCCAGAAAGTCGATATGTGCGTAAGGCCCAGATATTATTTGGTTAATGCGTCTTTGCTGATGCTGACCATACTAGAACACCCAACAAGACAGAAGACCCCGAGGGATTCTACTCGACCGACTACTACACCGACACTCTGATTAAATATTTCGAAGAGCGAACGGAGGAGGAGAAATCGAGGCCCTTCTTCTCGTTCCTACCATACACTGCGCCCCATTGGCCTCTACAGTGTTCGCGCGCACAGCGTGATAAGTACGACGCCCTATGTTACAAGTCATTCATCCCAACTAACCTTACGAAGATACAAAGGAGTCTATAATGATGGCCCGTACGCCCTACGCGAACGCCGGCTTAAGAAACTGGTCGAGATGGGCATCATCGACGAATCCGTCGTCCCCCATAAAGTTGAGACCAGCAAAGTTGGCACTGGAGAGTGGGACACTCTGACGGCAGAGGAAAGAAAGCTGTCGACTCGTGCAATGGAGACGTATGCCGGCATGGTGGACTCGATCGATGTTAATATTGGCAAGGTGGTCCAGTATCTGAAGAAGACTGGCGAGTACGACAACACGTTTATTGTCTTCATGAGCGACAATGGGGCAGAGGGGGCAGCGTACATACTACCTTGTATTTGCTATGGTTACGGAAGTTGACTGACATTTCACAGGCTCGAAGCAATCCGTGGGTATTTTCGAGCCTACATACTAATATAGGGAGCTAACATGGGCTACAGCTGTCTTAGGAACCGACATCAAGTCAGCCATCCACAAGTACTACGACAACTCCTACGACAACATCGGCGCCTACAACTCATACACCTGGTACGTCAACACAACTTACCATAGACAGACACAACTAACAGCTCCAGGCTCGGGCCACTATGGGCACAGGCATCGACTGCGCCCTCAAGGCTATTCAAATGCTTCCCATCCCAGGGCGGCATTCTAGTTCCCTGCGTAATCAAGCCCCCTGCAAATAGTTTCCCCCCGTTATCCCCAGGCTCATTCAGTCGGTCATTTACCACGGTCATGGACTTTGTTCCTACATTTCTTGAGCTGGCGGGTGTAGCTTTACCACAACCTACAACTAGCAGCAGCCGCGCGATGACTAAATTCCGCGGTAGAGAAGTGCATGCTGTTCGGGGTAAATCGTGGGTACCGTTCTTCGGGCGAGGAGAAGGTGTTGAACAAGATCCCACATGGGCAATCCATTCCTCGTCTGAGCCTGTTGGGTGGGAGCTCTCAGCCCGTGGAGCGCTGCGCAAGGGAGACTGGAAGATTGTCCATTTTGCAAAGGCGCAGGGGGGCGCGGGAGAGGGAGGCGATGGATGGGAACTGTTTAATGTAGTGCAAGATCCCGGGGAGACGAAGGACGTAGCACAGGATGAGCCAGAGAAGCTTCAAGAGCTGTTGCAGTGTTGGGATGAGTATGTGGTTGAATGTGGAATTGTGTGGGGAGAAAGCGCTGTGGCGCCAGGGCTGGGCAAAGATGAGGCACCAGAGCTGTGGGAGGACGAGATGGAGTTACAGAGGTGCTGGATGGATGCTCGAGGGGGAGTTACGCCTGGATGTTAGTAGGTAAATCAATGGCCAGCATGTATCAAATATATCGCCGGAATATATATATATATCTAATGTAGTCAGCCTAATGAATGTCCCGCTAATTCCAACTTAAATTACCATTTCGCAACTTCTCCAACTTCTTTTCTCATTCTTCCACATTCATCTTCCGAATGGATAATATAACCCCCATCGCGCCACCTTCTGATATCGAATGGCGTCGAGCGAGAATTCATCGGACGCGCACAGGATGCCAAACATGCCGATCTCGGAAGGTCAGTGCTGCGAAATGCTCGGACTGAACCGGTGTGAGCTCACCCCAGGCAGATCAAATGCGACGAAAAGAAGCCATCCTGTACACAATGTTACAGGGGAAAAAGAGCATGCACCTGGGCCGCAGAGGAACCGAAACGTACCAAGGTCGCGCGTAGAGCAAACGCGACAGCGTGCGAGGGATGTCGCGACAAGAAGGTGCGTCTTACTGCCATAGCATCATGCCCTCTAACATAGCTATCTAGCTGAAATGTACCGATGATATCAACAACGCGTGCGAGAGATGTCGAACACTCGGCATTGAGTGTGTGAGACCTCGACGGCGTGCTGGGCCTGCATCGCCGACTCTCTCGGACAGCTCTCCGCCAACAAACACAGTGTCCTCCCGAGGAGTAGAGCCCGGTCAGCTACCAGAGGGAAAAGAGCTTCACAACCTTGTTCAGCTGTACTTCGCATCGGTCTACAGTAAGATGTCTTCTATGTGGAATTATCCTAGTTAACATACGTTAGATTTCGGCTTCTTTGCCTTCATCCACCCGCTCCATTATCAACGCCTCCTCGACAATGGCAAAATCCCCCGAGAGTTGACTCTAATAATGATTGCCAGCGCTGCTCGGTGTGTGGCTACGATATACTGCGCGACATGCCGACTATTAATGGGTTTCCTAGGTTCGGTGCTCCAGCCACCCCTGAAAACCTTGCCAGAGCAGATGCCTGGGCAGATGCGGCCATCGGTGCTCTTCTCCCGCGTATCTATCAAGGATTCGGGGTTGTTCAACTTATGGTGCGTAGAAATAAGTCTGTTTTAGAGCAGCTGAATGGGCGATTTGTCCCCACTGCAGGTCTAACTCACGCTACAGGCAACGCTCCTTGCGCAACACTATGACCTCCACCGAGGAAAGTTTACATCGGCGTGGCTTTTGGGAGCCAGTTGTACCCGGTACGTATTCTCATATTCAAGCAGTGACAGCTACAGACTAATTCGCGTAGCATGATGCAAATGATGTCGTTGCATGTCTTTGATCAGGCATACCCCGTGGATTTCCCGTCACGCCAACGCCTTTCACCTCTCCTGTCGCGCGAAGCCCTTCGTCGAATTGCATGGGCCACGTTCTATCTGGACTCAATGACTGATGGTGGTCGATATGGCTCCCAGACAACCGATGAACGCGCATACCGCATCCAGCTGCCCTGCGACCAGGAGAGTTTCCTGGGGGACGACCATGCACTAACAGAGCCCTTGATCCCTGGGGATATTAACACTGCACAAAGTATGAGGGACGGTGTACCGCATGCGTCCCTTGACATGTCAGCATACCTACTACGCACGGCGGCGGCTCGTCGTCGCGGACTTCACTTTGCCTACCGTGCCTCATACCAGGAACATACAGTCGAACAGCTATCTTCGGATCTATTGCTACTAAAGGAGGACTTGGGGTCCGTCTTTGCTGACTTACCGCGTCGCTTTCAGTTTAATCCCGATAACCTGATTCTTCACCGTGACCGACTGCCAATGTTCATTTTACTGCATATTTTGCGACGTAACCTGTTCATTATTTTGGGCCGTGCTGCATTACAAATCTACCTACGAGATCATTCAAAGATAGAGCTGGTATATGACGTTCGCCGCAGCCGAATATCGCATGCTCTTGCTGTCTCGGACTTGGTGGCTGCCGGCCTGAAGGAGAACATCACCTTTGACCCACATATCGGTATACAGGCCTATGTCGCTCTCGAGAGTACAGTTACCATTTAGTCAGCAGTTTAAGAGCGTCTTACTGATTTCATTCGTCCAGTTCTACTCTTTGAGCCGCGTCGCTTGGCCAGTGTCGATGGCCCTAATGACTTCAATAACACTATATTAACAGAAGGAATCGCCCACTGCTTGACAGTTATTCGAGACATCTCTACCAGATCAGAATTCTCCAAGCATTTGGTACGTGAAGCTTAATTATCACGGATACAGACCAAGCTAATAAATGCAGTATCTGGAAGCGATTCACCGTCTTATAAAATGCGACTCCATGCACCTCCTACAAGAGACAGATCTCATCCTCATTCGCAGGTTCGTCTGGCCATTGCCAGTGAAAATAACAGGATAGCTAAGATCAACAGCAAACATCCCCTTGTCGGACAGGACGCCGCAGAGTTTGATTTCCGAGACATGCGAGGAGCCAAATTGGAACGCTTGAGCAAACGCAAAAGGACAGCCAGTGATACTGCAATCAATGCCACCCACGATGAAGTTCTACTAGACGACTCATTGAGTCAAGGGACTTCCAGCCGCTCGACTGCCTCTCCTCAACCAGCAGCTTTGGGCGTTAATAACCCCCAAACGGATGTTCCTGAAAACCGTCATTCCACTGGAGAAACCCCTAGTGCTCCCTCTATTCAAATGGGAGACTATGGTATATTTCAAGATGGGCAACAATGGAGAGAGCTCGTAGAGCCCGGTAACACAGACCATCTGTTTTCATCGCTCAGCTGGCTCTGGCCGTTTGATGAATGGAGTGATCAGATTGCGCCACCGACTGGTCCGCCGGGGTTTATCTAGGAACGAGAGCGAGTGCACATAACTCCGCTTGCTGCGCTGAATGTGTCTATTCGGGTGCTTCTCTGATTAAAAACGCCGGAAATAGATAGGAATGCACTGATGTCAGCTTGGACGGGGTGCATAATTATTATGCGGAGTCCGCGGGCATTGGACTCCCGGTGTAAACCAGGGTTCTGGCTCATAGTTCCGGCTGGCGGGCTTTAGCGAGTTGTTACTCCATTCCAGGTAGTGAAAAATACTTGATCTTAACCATGTCAATTCAGTGCATCTGAAGTAGGAAAGATGCCCCACACACCGAGGGTTGTATATTCGGGGCTGGCGCAACATGGACGCCAACCTCCCCCAAAAAGGATGGTTGAAATGGCTATTCCGATGGTTGCCTGCATTCACAATCAGGCCCCGGCTTCCCAAGGGTAAAGGTAAGCGCGGTATCGTGGAAAAGATCTTTTGATTTAGAGCTTCGTAAGAGTGATGAATATAATAACGCTTTAACAGAATACACCCAGCATGTATTATAATAAGAGAATGCCTTATTTGAGGGTCGTGATTCCATACTATGAAGTTGTAGCAAAACCTGTCTCCAGACTCCCCCTTGATTCCACGGCCTCGGGATTGTCATAATATTATCACTCCGGTCGGCAGAGTTGAGACCCGGCAACAATCATTCATAAAAAGCAGAATTGTGCTCTCGACATCCGGCATGTAGTACAAAAGGCTCAGGTATGGCGGCACCGAAGAGAGTACGACGCAATTTCTGGCGACTGGAATTCCTCCCTTGTCTCGAGGACCTGCTATTCTACACCCACTTACGCCACCACGATTCGAGGATTTGTATTAAAAAACGGGATTCGCTTGTCCGAACAACCTAAGACATTTTAGGCCACCTCTTCCCACGCTCCCATATTTCAAAGGTTCCAATGGATGCCAGTCCTCGTCGATTCGATCAACCCATCTCTGAACACACAATATGACATTGAAAAAGGAGAAGAAAGTGCCGGGGACCTTACACGCCAACATAGCGATTAGCCAAGCGGATAAAAACGACCATGCCCGTCACGATTCAGGGAGTGTCTCACGGCCGAGCATGTCGCCTGTGATACCTTACGACCCGCTCAACAACGACAGCGAAGTGAGACTGGCGACTTTCGATCTTAGCGACGATGTCGACCGGCGACTGTCAAGGGATACAGGGGAAATATATCCCGCGGGATGGAAACTAGCCACCATCATGGTTGGGCTGTCTTTGGCGTGCATATTGTCGGCACTGGTAAGTCCACACAAGCTCCAGGCCTCTTACGCTATCCTCGATGCTAATACTGTACAGGATAACACGATCCTCACGACTGCAATCCCATTGATCACCAAACAGTTCAACTCTCTAGACGACGTGGGCTGGTATGCAAGTGCCTTTCTGCTTACTACCTGCTGTGTGAGCCTGACCTACGGAAAGCTGTATACCTATTATCCCATAAAATGGACCTACCTTGTCGCGCTTGGTATTTTCGAGGCCGGCTCGCTGATCTGTGGAGCCACCCCTAGCTCACTAGGGCTAATTATTGGGCGTGCTATTGCTGGTATCGGGGCTGGCGGAATTTTCTCGGGCTCATTACTTATTGTTGCACAGGAGACACCGTTGCGGCTGAGGCCTATATACACTGGTATAATCAGCGCCACATACGGGGTTGCTAGTGTTACCGGACCACTAATTGGGGGCGTGCTTACGGATAATGCCAGCTGGAGATGGTGTTTTTATATCAATCTCCCAATTGGGGGTGTTACCTGTCTCTTCCTTCTATTCTTCTACAAGGCTAGAAAGCTTGCGAAGGCCGCCGTTGGGTGGAAGGATGTATTGTTGCAGCTGGACCCACTGGGCCTTCTTTTTTTCCTGCCATCCATGGTTAGCCTGCTGCTTGCATTGCAATGGGGAGGCACCGAGTATCCCTGGAACAGTCCTCCGATAATTTCCCTATTTGTTGTGTTTGGCGTGCTTATACTGGCCTTTGTAGCGGTGCAGTGGTGGCGGCAGAATAAAGCCACGATCCCGCCGCGCTTAATAAAGAACCGGAATGTCTGGGGTGCTTCTTTCTTTATATTCTGCCTGGGGTCATCATTAATGGTATATTCATACTATGTAAGTAGCCCGTTCCGAGTAAGGGCAAATGCTGATATGGTTCCTAGCTGCCTATATGGTTCCAGAGCGTCCAAGGTGTGTCGGCAACACAGTCCGGCATTCTTAACCTGCCCATGCTCTTGGCCACTGCAGTGTGTTCAATCCTCGCCGGAGGCATTGTCAGTGCCTTGGGCCAGTATATGCCTTTTGTATACTTCTCTCCCGTTGCGTTGACAGTTGCTGGTGGCCTGCTGACGACGCTTCGAGTTGATTCAAGCCCCAGCGAGTACTTGGGGTATCAGGCGCTGCTTGGTATTGGGATGGGATGTGGAATATCACAGGGCGTGGTGGCAGTGCAAGCCGCGTTGCCTCCGCACGATGTCCCTAGTGGTACTGTTGTTTTGATGTTTATGCAGACCATGGGAGGGGCTGTGTTTGTTTCCGCGGCGCAGAGTCTCTTCCATAACAAGCTATTGGAAGGCATCACCAAGAATGTCCCCGATGTGGATGCTAAGAAGGTTATTGACGCTGGAGCTACGATGCTGAAAGATACTGTATCAGCAGAGGCTTTGCCAGGAGTTCTGCAGGCATATAACTCCGCTGTCACATGCTGCTTTTATATTGCCGTTGCATTTTCAGGCCTAGCTATTGTCGGGGCTTTGCCCATGCAATGGATTTCAGTTAAGAAGAAGGCCTAGGGCGTCATGTGCCTGTGCTTTACCTCGCTATGAGCAAACATTTGTCTATAATAATACGAGCCGTCGTCGACTTATGGTTCTCTGGTTTTGATAGACGAACCAGGAATTAGTTTTATAAACATATAATTTATATGTTGAAACTATATGATCTATATGTATAGTCCCTTGAGCGGGGCGATATTAGTACTACGGCCATATAATTTTAGTTAGAGGTCTACTACTTGTGAGTGTCAGGGCTACTCTATACACCCAGTTGAAATATAACACCAACACCAAGGGATTATATGTAGTACGTACATTCATTATAGGCGAAAGAAGGCTCATTAAGTCAGATATACAATACGGAAATACGCATAAAGCAACTATTCAAGAACCTGTTAGAAAACGGACCGTCATTCGGTATATCTCTCTTTCTGGCGAAGATCAATATTCAACATCTTGTTCCTGTCAAAAATGGGAACAGTACTAGACGCCAGAGATAGGGCAGAGACTGTATTGCAGATTTGCTCGAGAATGACACTGGCAGATGAGGCGGCAGTGAGCTGAGTTGAAGTGATGACTTCAATCTTAAGTCGGTCGTCCTGGGAGAGAGATGATATGGATATATTATTCGGTGTGCGGGCAGGCTCCCAGCTCGTTATTTTGCAATCGATGCCGTCAAGGGCATAGACCTGGTTCGGGTCGACGTTCTGGTGATGCACAATGCTCCCAAATATGGTGTCTTTCGGCCACGCGGTGCTGCGATCGATGATATCTTGCAGGTCTGACATTTCAAACTCGGCAGTCCGATCCAGCTGGCTCTGGACATGTTCAAGAAGGTCCTGCACTGTCCAAGTATGCTTGAATGATACCCTGGTCGGCACTGTATTTGCACAGGGGCCCATAACCTGGGCCACCTCTGGAGCCTGGATGTTACGGCCGCTGACAACATGGCCAAATACAAGGTCCTCATCTCCCGTGAGCATTGACAGGACAAATGCCCATGCTGCTATAACGATCGTGGCCATGTCTACACCAGGGGGTAGTGAAGGAAGCGGGATATCCTTTGACAGCATGACAGAGCTGCTTGCAGCGCGACGGTCCCCACCGAGGCTGACGTGGTTTATAATCGTCATCGAGGCACCATCAAGGTATTCCCTCCAAAAGGAGAAAGCCTTGGAAGTGAGCTGGGAGAGTCGATGTTGCAAATACAGGTCAAAGCCAGGTGCCGCCCCGAGCTCGCTGCCTTGGTACAGGGAAGATATGTCCCGGAATAATCCTCCCCAACAGCTGTCATCGAATTGCGCGTGCGACATTCGTACGGTCATAATATGGTTTGAATCATCTCCTGACACAAGGGAGATTCGAAACGGACAAACACCGAATAGAACCGGCTTCAGAGAGTCCTCATGACAGCGAGATCTGGCAAACGCAGCCAGATCAGGACTGTCCGTCGTCGACTGGACGAATGGCACGGTCGCCTCGCGGAGTACGACCTGGATGATCCTGCCATGATGGGGAACAAATGCAGCACGTAATATAGAATGACGTTCGATGCTAGAGGCACAGGCCGCTCGCAAGCGCTCACGATCAATCCGGCCGGGGATATGCCACATAAAATAGGTACAATGTGAGTTGTTTATTGCAAGCTCCTGGGCGCCTGTCACAGGAAGGGCATCGAGTATATTATCTGGTGACAGCTGGTGCGAGCGAAGCAGGCTTTCTTTAAATGATGCCGGGTCCTTGATTCGAAGCAAATTAAACGGAGCAGGGAGCGAGATGGGACTTGGCTTAGGGCATATCTCACCAAGAGCGCGAGCCTGGTCGGCGAGAATGGGATACGCGAAAAAGTCAACCAGGATTATGCCTTCACCACGCGCGATGTTCATGAGTTTGAGAGCGGCGATCGAGTCACCACCAAGCTGGAAAAAGTTGTCTGCCAAACCGATGCTATCCGGCGGGACATTCAACACCTGGGCCCATAGTAGTTGGATCTTCTTCTCTGCAGCAGTTGACGGCACCTGCTTCACATCGACCGCCCGTTGATTATGGGTGTATGCTGCCAGTCCTTCACGGGCCAGCTCTGCAGCCTTTTGGCACAGCTTGCGGCGGTCCTTTTTACCGGTTTTCGTCAGTGGTAAACGCGACAGAGGAATGAATACCGCTGGCACCATGTAGCCTGGCAGCCTCTTCACTAGTTGGGCAGTGGCAAGCTGCGCCGTCTTTCTGCTACCCTCGCTTGGAGGTAGGAATATATCGTGCTCGGAGACATGTGCGAGGTCAATATCAAGATCCTCCCAGATAAAGGCTACCAGCATTGGTGTATGAGCACCCCATGATGGAGTTATGATCTCGGCCACTACATCATGAGCACGCTCAATGCATTGTTGGATATGTTGTTCGATCTCACCCAGCTCAACACGCTGGCCACGGATTTTGACTTGGTTATCCTTGCGGCTAATAAAGCGCAGCGATCCATCCACGTCGTATTGAACGAGGTCCCCTGTTTTGTACAATTTGCCGCTGATATCGGAACGGAAGTGGGAGAGCCAAGATGGACTCTCAATAAATGCCTCTGACGTGATATCTGGGCGGCCGATGTAGCCATCGCCAACAATCGGACCATCGATTAACAACTCGCCCACCGCGCCAATCGGCATCAATATATTGGGGTCGTCTGGATCAACAACCCAGCAAAGACACGCTGTCGGGAAACCGATATTAGATGGATCTGCGTCCTTGCTGACAATCGGCTGAACTGTCGAGATAATGGAGCACTCTGTGGGCCCGTATGCATTGATGAGCTTGACGTCTGCACCCCACAGGTCAACGTCGACTTCCTGCATTCTCTCACCGATGAGGACAACAGTCCGGAGTGTTGGAATATCCTTTGGCTTGAGCGTACGGCTGACAGTCGGAGTAAATTCAGCCCAGGTAACTCCAAGCTTAGAGGCACTTTCCGCGAGATTCTCCTGGCGAGCATTCTCCGAAGGGATACAGATACATCCACCGACCAGTAATGTTGCAAGGGTTTCAAGAATACTCAGGTCAAATGCGTAGGAGGCAAATTGGAGCACCCTTGATTCCGATGTAAGATTATATGGCCCGGTGAAGGCGGCTGCTCCGGTGCTGAGTCCCGCGTGTTTGATAACAGCACCTTTCGGAACTCCAGTCGAGCCCGACGTAAATGCAACATACACTGTATTGTCTGGCGAGACATACGAGGGTTCCCTCGTCCGGCTGGTGTACCATAGAGGCTCGTCGCCATCAATGACCACAATCTTGGGTGCCAACTCCCTCGCGATTGGGGTATGCAGTTTTGACGTCAGGACCATCGGTGCTGAAACCTGCTGGCACATAGCGTGAAGGCGCTGGATTGGATAGGATGCATCCAGTAAGACAAAGGCACCACCGGCTTTCATAATGGCAAGCATCGCTATTGTCGTCCACTTTGACTTTTCAATACAGACGGGTATAAGAACTTCAGGGCCAACGCCAATGTCCGCTAGGTAAAGTGAAAGAGCAGTGGAGAGCTCGCTAACTTCCTTATAGCTGAAACCGCCATCCCACGCACATATAGCAGGCCGATGTGGCTGGGACTGGCAACGCTCTTGGATGAGGTGATGCACACAGCGATCGACTCGCTCTGGAACCAGCTTATTCCAGGCGGCGATTTGTAGCTCGTCCTCTTTGCTGACGCGCTTAAGCTGCCCTATGGCAACCTCTGGCCGGTCTATGATCTCGTTTACGGCGTGGCTGAATGAACTCGCAACGCTCGCAGCTTGGGTGTCTGCTATCAGTGTTGACCAGTAAGTAAGAGAAACGTGCACGTCGTTCTTGTCGCTCCGGACGTTGACGACAATGGCATACTATTTTAAAGTGTCAGCTCCAGAGAGTCACCTCGATTATCAAAATCAGCAATGCATATGGTGGCCAATGCTTACCTCCGATGGATCATGGCCCCCGGAAAACTTGATATTTATATCCGAGCTTTTGGCGGGACCGGTCGAGGCCCCCATCCCACCTTTCTGTAAGGATATCGCCGTGTTGAATAGTGGCTCCCCCGATGTCCCCGCAAGGTGTAGCATGTGGGATAGTGAATAATGCTGGTGTTGCACACTTTCGATATAGTCCGATTGCTGCCTCTGCAATACGGGAAGTATGGTTGTTTCTCTTGCGAGGTCCAGGCGGCACACGAGCATTCCAATAAATGGTCCAACGATGCCTTCAATGCCTTCAACAGGCATGTCTCGGCCAGAGGTCAGATAACCGAAACATACATGATCCGTGCCTGTATAGCTGCGGAGCACTAGTCCCCACGCCACGGACAGCAGATTTGACATGGTTAAATCACGGCTCTCACAGAAGGTCTGGAGGCGAGCATTGTCCCCGAGATCAACGGTGACGCTTCGTAGCCGCCTTGGTCCGCTCTCGACATGGTTTCTAGGAGCAACGGCGGGAAAGAGGCAAGGTTGTACATTTTCAAGATAGGCTTTCCAGTATGTATCCGCGGAGTCTTGAGGAAGGCCTTGAATATAAGCAATATACTTTCGATACAGTGGGCCTGCCCCGTTTGGAAGGGCATTTACATAGGCAAGTTGAAGGTCCTGTTGCAGGATCTGGTTTGACGTGCCATCGATCAAAGCGTGGCTTATCTCTAGCATGCAGTGCACTGAACCCCCTGATGTCGGGCGTAAGACCAGTCTGTGAGGAAGCTGGCCCAGATTGCTCATGAGCTTCTGGTGATCAAGCAACGAAGTCAGCTGGTCGTTGTCGGACTTTTCCATGACAGAGATCTCCGAAGAAACCGATTTAAGGACCACCTGGTCTAGATAGCCGTTGTGTGACAGACTGGGTACAAAGACTGTTCTAAGAATGGCGTGGCGCTGTACGACGCGTCGCCATGCGTGCTGCAGCCGTACAAGGTCAACAGGCTCAGAACCTGCGGTTGGAAGGATATTCCACAGTAGACGATTCCGGTAATATGCAGGATCCCTCGCTTGGCTGAGTAAAATGCCCTGTTGGATTGGCGAGCACGGATAGGCGTCCTCTATCTCGACATCGGGTATTTCTAGGAGCGATAGGGTCTTCTCCACGAAGTCTGCAAGGCTGCCGTATGTCAGCCCAAGTAGTGGAAAGTCACATAGCGTGTATGTCGCGGCCGTCGTCGCCAGCAGCTCAGCAGCCATACGCAGCGACTGCTCGCAGTTCGCCAGCCACTGCTGGATGCGGGCTTGGTGATCCATGGACTTGCTGTATATGAAGTCGAAGCGAAGGCAATTCTGCTGGACGCCTGCTAGGACATCGATCAGCGCAAAGCGTGGCGTTTCCCCAGCCATGTCCGATGGGCTGTCGTCAAGTTGTAACGGTGCCTGCAAAATTGCTCCCTCGCGGTTGAATTGTTGGCACAGCCCAAAGTAGTTGAACGCAATCTCCACCGGTGCTCGAGTGTGAAATGCCTTGCGCCCTGCGGGGTTTAGATAGCGTGAAGCAAAGTAGGCCCATCCATTGCTCGGGACTTGACGTCGAGCATCCTTTGTGCGCCGCACAGCGTCCGCGATGGAATCGTCCACACCCAGCCCGATGTGAGTCGGCCACAGCGTAGTGAACCAGCCCACGGTCCGAGACAGATCAATGGCGGGGTTCCATGGTTCGCGCCCATGCCCTTCATTGAATATTGTCGGCGGTGGACGATCGGCAAAGGTCTGGACGAAGGAGTGCAACAGCGCCGCGTGAAATATCTCCACCGGTTGGGTTCTGAAAGCGTTGTTGGCAACGCCAAAGAGGGTTTCCGTTGTCTTCTCGTCAAGCGTAAACCCAGACTGCTGCGAGTCGCCAAACGTGTGGCCAGGAGAGGCAGTGCCCCAGTATTCCTGATGGACCGGGGGTATATCAAAAGGCAATGCTCTCTCAGGAGTCAGATGCTCGCGGCTGTAAGCAGCTTGCATGTTGCACCATCTCTGGAACGACAGTGGTGAAAGGGAACAGGGTTTGCCTGATCTCAGGTGGTCCTCCAGGTCCTTTAGGATAATTTTCCAAGATTCCAAATCAATCACTAGGTGGTGTGCGACTAAGAAGAGATACTGCTCGCGGTCACCAAGCCGGAACAAGTCAACGTGAAGCAAGGGCCCGGAGCATATATCGAGGCTGCGCTGGCTTGCGCCCATGACAGATCGTATTTCATCCATGCTGGCCACTTCGTGCTCCTCGAAGCAGTAGCTGCTGTCCGCCTTCTCCTTGACATGCTGGGTCCACACGCCATCAGGGGACTGACTGAACCGGGCCCGCAGCATTGAGTGTTGACCGACAATGGCCGCAATGGCATTGGCATATGCTTCAGATGGGAGTTTCTCTGACACTGGAACCAGGATGCTTTGGTTGAAATGGTTCACTGCCTGTGGCTCATGCTCAAGGAACATAGCTTGGATGGGGGACAGATCGAAGGGCGAGTCAAAATCCTCACCTCCGCTCAAAGAGGCCATGTCATGCTCCTGCAGAATCTTTGCGAGACTGGCAATTGTCTTGAGCTCGAAGATATCGGCCACTGTGATGGAGAATCCGGAGGCTCTGCATTTTGCAGCGACCTGCATTGCCGTGATGGAGTCGCCGCCAATACTGAAGAAAGTGTCGTCCATGCCTATACGAGAGACCGACATGTTTAGTGTCTGTGCCCATACCTTCTGGAGCATCCTCTCAGCCGGCGTTGAAGGAAGTGACTTGTGCATCTGGCGACTACCGGACAACCTCTCCAGGTCATCGCGTGTGAGTCCCGCTGCCTGTTGGCGAAGAAGACGGCGATCTGTCTTGCCTGCCTTGGTCAGAGGCACATAGGCGAGAGGGATGATAGCAGCCGGCACCATGTAAGTCGGCAGCCGTTCTGCTAGATGTGTAAGTACCGTGGCCAAGCCGTAGTCTTTTCTGGGTGCGAGGAAGATATCATTGTCTGTCCTCTCTGTCTTCTCTGTATCGGAGTCACCAAAGGCCGCACTCCACACAAAGGCCACCAGCATTGGTCCACGGGCTCCCGGTGGGCTTATGATGTCTGCCATTACAGCACTCGAGGGCTCGAGACACTCCTGGACGTGGTACTCAACTTCACCCAGCTCCACACGCTGGCCACGGATCTTAACCTGGTTGTCCTTGCGGCTGATGAAGCGGAGGGTCCCATTGGCAGCGTACTGTACCAGATCACCCGTCTTGTACATCTTCGTGCTCCCTCGACTAGAGCGAAACAGCTGCAGCCAATCTGGGGGCTTTATAAACGACGCTGCTGTCTTTTCCGGGTCTCCGATGTAGCCACGGCCTATTGTGGGACCCTCAAGCAGCAGTTCACCCACGGCCCCGATTGGCATGAGTCTATTGTGATCCCCCCGGTCCACTATCCAACATGAACAGCCCACGGAGCGTCCAATATTTGAGGGATCCGTGTCTGAAAGTGCGGACGCCACGGTAGATGCTGCGGCACACTCTGCCGGGCCATAGCCGTTGAGTAATGTCACATGCGTCGACCACAGTCGGATATCACTTGCGCTTAGTGCCTCTCCAACAAGTACTAGAATCTCCAGTGTCGGGATGTCTCCTGGCTGCAGTGTGCGAGCCACTGAGGGTGTAAGCACAGCCCATGTAATCTCCATCTCCCGGGCTACCTGGCTCAGGTTGCTCTGACGGGCGGTATCTGAGGGTACACAGATGCACCCACCCGCTATCAACGTCGTGATTATCTCGACAACACTTGCATCAAATACATAGGATGCGAATTGCAGTACCCGGGAGCCGGGGTGGATGTGGAATGCCTTGCCATGCGCAGTGGCCGACGTACTGAACGCAGCGTGGTGAACAACAGCACCCTTGGGGGTTCCAGTAGAGCCGGATGTAAATATCGCATATAGCGCATTTTCGGGCGTCACGGATGACGATTCCCAGTGCTCATCGCGGCCGCGATGTTGCTGTAAGTGGCCTTCACGCCATGCAGACTCATTGTCCCCAAGCAGTACCACCTGTGCTGCCAGCTCACCTGCTGCCAACGCATTCTGCGTCGACGACACAATAACGGATGCTGAGACAGCATGGCAAATACCCTGAAGCCGGCGCTTTGGGTGTGATGGATCCAGTAGTAGAAAGGCGCCGCCTGCCTTTATCACTCCAAGGATTGCGATGATTGCCCACCGTGACTTCTCAAAGTATACGGCAACAAACACTTCTGGGCCAACACCAAGGTCTGCCAGGTGGATGGCTAGGATTGTGGAAAGCCCATCAACCTCCCTATAGGTTAGATCACCGTCCCAGGCACATACAGCGGGCGCATCGGGCTGGGCCAGGCACCGGTCGTGGATCAGATGGTGGACGCAGCGGTCAATTCGTTCTGGCACCGCACTGTTCCATGCCATAAGCTGCTGCCTGTTCCGGTCTCCAACCAGGTCGATCTGTCTGATCATTCCAGCCCGACTTGAGAGGCCAATTACTTCGTACATGGTGTGCTCGACCAGTCTGGCAATATCGATCGCCTTTTCCTGCGACAACGACGAGGTCCAGTATCTCAGGGACGCCCCTATGCGTCCTGCTTCGACTCTTCCTTCAAGCACAATGTCAAACTATACAGCCTGGATTAGAAGCCGTACAGAATACGTGGCCTGTTTCTTACCTCGCTTGGATCATAACGCTGGGTCTCCTCTATCTGTATGCCGGACTTGTCACACTCCGTTGCTTTCACCTGCGGCGGAAATGTGACACAGGTATTGTAGAGAGCCTGGCCTGAAGCACCTATCCCGTGGAGGAGCTCTGCGAGAGAGAAGTGCTGAAAGGACAGACTGTGGAGAAAGTCACCTTGGGTTTTCTCTAGGATTTCGGAGACCAAATGGCTGTCCTCGAAGTCGATACGGCAGATTAGCATGTTGATGAAAGGACCAACTGCATCCTCAATTCCCTCAAGGTCAACATCACGGCCAGATGTCATATAGCCAAATATCACGGTGTCGGTTGCAGCGAAGGCCCGCAGCACAAGGCCCCATGCCACATGGAAAACAGTGGCCAACGTAATTCCGGTTTTCTCGGCAAAGTTGAATAGGGCCGAGGACCTCTCCAGTTCTATATCAACAGTACAAAACTCATTTGGGATAGTCGTTGATTCATCAAGGTGTGGGAACAGGCATGGCTCGCAGTCTGCCAGGCGAGTCTCCCAGTATACCTGCGCCTCCTGTGTGCGGACTCCTCGGAGATACGATATGAATTCACGGTATTGCAGACTGCCGCCCAGTGGAAGCCTGTCAACATATGCCAGCATGAGGTCACGCTTGATTATCATCATTGATGTAGCGTCAACGAGGGTGTGGTCAATGTCCAGCGTGCAAACCAATGATGAGGATCCGCGTTCCGATATCGCCAGCCGGGGAAGTCTTACCTTTACTCCCTGGTTGGCCATTTGGGCACTGTGCAGCGTCTTGCAGTCATCAGCATTAACTTGGCTCTGGTCCAGCAATCTACCCGTGCCGCGCCCTAGGAGGACTTGGATGGCATACGACCCCTGTACCATGTTGGCCATGCAAATGGTCCTTAGTATATCATGGCGATCGACCACCATGAACCAGGCACGCTTGAGCTTATCCACGTCAACCGGTTGCGACTGATCCGCAGCCGTGATCCGCCACTCGATGCTCATCCGGTAGTGCCCCGGGTCTCGTGCTTGACTCAACAGTATGCCCTGCTGTGTGGGCGAGCATGGGTAGGCATCCTCAAGCCCTGTTGATCTGGATAGACCCGCCTTCGGTAACTCGCGTAAAACCAAACTGTCAAACTCGTCGGTAGACAGGGCCAGAAGCGGGAAATCGCTCAAGGTGAACACACCCTCCATTCCGCATAATCGTTCCACGAGTTGCTCCAGTGACTGATGGTACCCCTGAGCGAGTTTCTGGAGGTTCGCACGGCTGTATGATGGATGGGCGGCCGCTATGTTGATGGACAACTGTCCATCGATGAGGCTAGCAGAGACTCCAAGAGGAGAGTACTGTGCCAGGACGTTCTTGATCGATAGGCCCATGGACCCCCGTGAAAGTTCTTTCATTGTCTCTCCCTCCCACGGGGGTGCCTTCAGGGCATCGAACGATACCAACATGTCTGGTGGCACGAAGTCCCCTTCTGCTGTAGTCGCGTCGAGCCCATGCTGTGCAGAACGAGAAGCGTTCCCCAGTCGGTACGTGTCCTTCACTTGCCGGAGCATGTCTACAGCGTCTGTGGTGCCATGACCCCGAATCTGGATATGTCGCAGCGTGGTGAACATGCCCACTCCTTCGAGGGCACACTCACTGTTATCCAGCAGCTGCGTTCTCTCTTTGCATATCGTGATTGAAATACCCTTTTGTTCAGCGGAACCTTGTAGACGTGAATGCAGCAGAGCCGCCACAACAATCTCAGCAGGCTCAGTCCGGAGAGCTATATTGGAATCACCAAGCAGTCTGCGGGTCATTCTTCCATTTAGAGTAAAGCCTTCCTCCAGATAGGAGACACTGTGACTATGCACGTTGTCTGCACATCTGTCATACACCACCGCCCTGGGCGTTAAATGTTGAGGGGCCACTGCACAGTGGTCGTGGCCTTCTGAGCTCTGCTCGCACCACGACGGGAACAAGAAAGGCCTAGAATCTAGCAACGCGGTTTGCCCCTGAAGGAGGGCGTCAAGGTCACCAAGAATGACGGTCCACGAACCTGAGTCAATAACTAATGCGTGCGCCACCAGACATAAGAATTGGCCATCTCCACCGCAATTGAAGTGGCTCGCAGCGAATACCGGGCCTTTTTCAATATCAAGGCCTATCTCCGTCGCTGTAACAGCCTCAATGGCGGTCACACTATCAGACGAGCTAAGGGACTGGCTGTTATAGGTGTACGTTCGTTTGATGTCAAACGGCACGATAGTCTGCCTCCAGGCGCCCTCCGGGGTCAGGGCAAATCGGGCTCGCAGCAGGGGATGACGCTTAACGAGCGCATCGGTCACCGTGCGTAGGTATTGAGGCTCGAGTCCCTGCTTCATCCCGACGACTATTCTCTCTGTATGAAGGTTATGCTCTGGGTGTTGGGAAAGGAGCAGTGCCTGAGCAGGTGATACGTTGAACGGCACCATCCCTGTGCCCTCTCTACTCCCACTGTCACACGCTCGACCGGATACCAGGGCGAGATTACGGACGGTCTTGTGGTTAAAGACATCCTGTACCGTGATGTTGACTTGCGCAGCTCGGCATCGGGTTACGAGCTTCATTGCAGTGAGCGAGTCACCTCCGATAGCCAGGAAGCTGTCATCTATTCCGAAGCTCTTCGCTTCCAGGCCCAATACCTCCATTAATAGAGTATGGAGGGTTTTCTCGATGCTTGATCGCGGTGCAACTACGTCCACTTTTGTAGAGGCGTATGATTGCAACTGCTCACTCGAGAGCGCATTTGCCACTGCTTGCAGCTTCCGTCGGTCAATCTTTGCAGACACTGTCAGCGGAACATGGTGAAGTGGGAGATATATCTGCGGGAGCATATAGTCCGGTAATGCAGACCGTAAACTCGATTCTATGGTGGAGATGGCCTCGCGAAATTGGTCGTCTGGTTCACGCAACAATGAAGGCAGCGGCGAGATGCCATCCTGCTCACCAGAATAGACGAATGCAGCTAGCATTCCGTGCTGCCCTCGTGGATTGATCAATCCAGCAATCACCTGGTTGGCGCCACGGAGGTTCCGCAACACCGCTTGCTCAACCTCTCCTAGCTCTACTCTTTGTCCTCGGATCTTGACCTGTGTGTCCTTGCGGCCGATATAGATAACGTTTCCACTAGAGCCGTACCGCACGAGGTCACCTGTTTTATATAGGCGGGTCTGCCGTGCTGGCGAACGAAATTGCTGCATCCAAGACGGGGAGTGGATGAATGCTTCTGTTGTTCTCTTGATATCGTCGAGATATCCCCTTGCCAAAGATGGACCCTCAACGACGAGCTCAGCTATTGCACCAATTGGGGCCAGTTTATCATGGTTCTCAGGGTCCACCAGCCAGAAGTTGGCATTGGGAGAAACGCCGATGCTCATCGGATTGGTGGTCGACTTGACATCTTGTTGAACACTGCACATTCCGGCCCACTCTGTTAGGCCATAAGCATATAAAAGATTGAGCCTTCCTTGCCAGCCATTGATATTGCTCTTGCTCAAAGCTTCGCCACCGACAGCCAAGGACTTTAACTTAAGAGGGCCCTCGGACGAAAGTTGGGATACTACGGAAGGTGTCAGCAGCGCCCAGTCAGCGTTCATTCGATGCAAAGCGCCCAGCAGGTCATTAAGCCGCTCGTGTTCTGATGGGATGCAGACAGTGGCCCCTTTGGTCAGGGTGCAGAATATTTCTACCAGGGAGACGCCGAAGGAATATGATGCAAACTGGAGCACACGGCTGTCCTGCCGGATGCATAGCGAAGCCCCATGGCAGGACACGGCGGCTAGTGAGCCGTGATCGTGCACACAGGCTTTGGGCCTTCCAGTACTCCCCGAGGTGAAGAGGATGTAGGCCGTGTGGCTTCTCTGCACAGTCCTGGGTTCAACATTGTACATGCCGGTGATCATCGCGATGGTGTCGTCGGACACCGTAATAACGGTTCTCGTCATTTCCCCCACGAGGTGGGCACATTCATCTGATGCCAGAACAAGTGTGGCTTTGACTTGGGTGATAATATCCTTCAGGCGTTTCACGGGGTGTGATGGGTCTATTGGCACAAACGCGCCGCCGGCTTTCACCACAGCCACCATTGCCACGATGGCCCACAATGATTTCTTAAAGCAAAGGGGAACCATTATACCAGGACCGACTCCGTGGGAGGATAGAAGCCCCGCGAGCCTGGTTGAGAGGTCGTCGAGCTCCCCGTACGTTAGCTCCCCATCCCATGAGCAAACTGCCTGTGCCGTTGGACGAGTTAGGGCTTGCCGAGAAATTATCTCGTGGATCAAATGCTCCGGTGGTGATGACATGGGTTTGTTGTTCCACCGCGCAATCTCCTGGATATGCATTTCACCGACCAGGCTGACATCCTTGACCAATGCCATGGGATCTTGCATGATGCCTTTGATTACCTGCGAGACTGCTGCCTCCAATGACCTGGCGTGTAGCTCGGAAAGGAGCGTGGGGGAGTACTGGAGGAGCAAGCTCGGCGTCGAACTTTGCAAATTCACGACAAACAGCAGCTCGCATCCCTTGGACGATGGTTAGTACATGGCCTTTCTAGTCGATTTGGGATTTACATACCGGCCCGTCTGCCCAGGCAAAGTTTGCTGCCGTGGTTGTTCCATTACTTTCGCCTGCGTGCCTCCCATCCACTGTTGTGAACCATACGCCCGTATTGAAGTGCGGACAATTATTGGGTTGGAAGGGGTTAATCCGATGGCTTTCTTGTCCCAGGAGGCCTTTGACGGTTGTATCGGGATCTATTCTGACCTCCATCACTTGGATACCATCCACAGCTGCGCTGTCCCCATTTTCTGCCAGCCAATTGTGGCTCACTCGAAAATGTAAATTGTCGAGCTCGACATACCGACGAAGAACAATAGCCCATACTGCCGTGAAAGAGGCATAGAAACTTGTTTGGTTGGCCGCGCAGAACCCCTCAAGCTTGCGCAGGTCATCAAAGCCCAGGTCGACACTCCTGGTCTTTACTTCCCGGCAAATATCTTCACCCAGGGCTGGGAAAAGACAAGGGTCGAATTGCATCTTCGACGGCTGCAGATGGGTAATGTCTGAATCGGATAGTCTCGGCTTTCAGCTGTTGGGTTTGAGACGGATGTGCGGATTTGAACGGGATATAAAAACGACCTGCGTGGTCCCTTAACACCCGAGTTGGCTTATCCTTGTTTGAGGCGGCGGATACTGTAATTTACGCGCGGTCCTTAGTGAAATATGAGGCACTGCATGCACGCTGTGGATCGAGCGAACCCCCTCGAACTACAGCCCAGGTAAGGGGTGTGGGAAGTAGTAAACAGAATTCCAGGCCTGCCACCCGCAGCCTATCACTTGTAAACAACCCTCCCTGGACGCCAGCGTGATTTTCCGGGCTTGGCTTCCATCTCTCACCGCGTTCTACTGTTACACGGGCTGCTCAAGGTGATGTCAGTGCTGAAACCCTTCTGGACAAGACCTGGAACTGGGGATGCTGGACAGATTGGCGTTTGGCATAGGCATCTCCGGTCGCCGCACCCGTATGAGCCAAAATTGCAGCTCGGGGATCAGACGTCGCTGTGTGTTTATATAAAATAAAGTCGTATTTTATCATACCAGTATGTGCTACTACAGACGGCTATACCGATATGGCAATCGCATCGGCAGTGGGAAATGAGTCCAATCAAGACTTCGGTGCATCTGCTTGGTCTGATGAACCTTAATTGCCAACCGTGGGCGTCCTGAGCAGGCACAATATGCAAGGACTTGGATCATCCAACATACATGCTTTGCCTTCACGTTACACTAGGAGTATGGTGCAGGTATACCGCTCCGCTTGGATGACGAGGCTGCTGCCTGTATCGAGGCACGCCTTCAGTACACGTCAGCCAACGAGATGCCGCCACGGGATTTACACGATGGGCTTTCATGGTACTATCATTGCTAGGGCATTATGGTGCTATGTCCAGCTGCTCCGCGCCTCTAGGAATGCCTGGAAACGCAGTCAAGCCTGCTTCCCATTGTTCAAATACCCATCGTACGTCTATTTGAAGTTCGGCTTGAACAACCGCAAAATGACACGGGCTGAGGCTACCTTTTCATCGGCGGTCCCAACCAGTCTCACCCTCATCGGTGGGGGCCATTTAGCGCAGGCCTTGCTGGAGGGAGTCTTGAGCGACAGTTCTTGGGCCGCCCATTGCCGCATTGCCATCACAGCCCGCCGGAGCGAGCACGCCGACGCGCTACATCCAAGTTCCCAGGCACTCTCGTCACCGTGAACAACAACGACCCGGCGATATGGGAAATGGAACTCTGTCCTGTATCCGATGTGCAAACAGGGGCGAGTAGCCATGTGCTCTTCATCTGCATGCGGCCAGTCGATGTTGCGGGTGTCTGCAGGGAACTGGCTCCTACGCTGGCAGATATAGCAGTAGCCCAGCGCCCAACGGTGATCACTATGTGTCCTGGTTTCACGATCTGACAGCTACAGTCATGGCTCCCGTCTGGTACTGCCGTTGTGCGCACAATGCCGAACACCCCAGTAGAGTGTGGAGAGGGGGCAACAGGCATCTTTCCCAGCCCCAATTCCGGGGCTCACCGGGTGGCGATGGTCTCGACGGCGTTGCGAAATGGGTCTCCAACTATTGCAATTCTCGAAGAAGAAGCCTTGCTGGATGTAGTAGCCGCCATTTCTGGGTACGTCCTATCAAGCACATCGCCTTATCCCCCTCCTAGGAAGCTAGACATATCCTAATTTGTATCATCAGATCCGCGCCTGCGCATTTTATTTTGTCATGGAAGCGCTCATTGCCGTGGGCGAAAAGCACGGTCTACCTCTAGACATAGCGAGACAGCCTGTAGCTCAGTCAAGCCTGGGTGCAGGCCAGCTAGCCCGGGATACATTGGCGCGCGTGCACGACCTACGTACCGGCGTATGTGTGCCGGGGGGAAGCACTGAGAAAGCGATTGCCCATCTTGAAGAAAATGGACTCATGGGTGTGATAGAACCGCCGTGGAAAGGAGTTTGGATGCGAATAGACGCATGAAAATGGTGGAGTAGACGCTTGTCCCAGGAAGTTACATGTGTGGTTGAAGGCAGCCGAGCTATTCCACCAGACACGCTATACAGTCATATGGGACCCTCCACAACGATCGTCGAATATATATCAATATTGTCGGCCGGTATGAGAATCGCTAAGACCTACCAGAGCTATGTTGAGGGAAATATGGAGACAGTAGCTGAAATTTTGTTTGATAGCTGAAGTGCTTATATGTAATAAACTGCACCGTTGAAAGCCTTCACTACATATGAAGACTGGTTACTACGCTCTAATTCAGAGTCTGATAAGTACCTGTACAACTAGAGAATGCTTGTAAGATCTCACGAATAATTAAGCTATCTAGAGTAAATATATTTGTAATTACAATCAAAGGGGACATTCTAAAGGCACCCGTAGTGCGTTAAACATGTACTTGTAGTTCAGGCCCCAGAGATGATCTCCTTTCCCCCTTTGAACTGTGTCGATATGCAGCCTTTATATCAAGAACAGCGTGCCCCTTCACCAGCCGGAGGTCAATATTAATACAAGTGCGTCTTTA